ATAAATTTTAAAGGGCTTACAAAAATGAATTTGGATGCCTCAAATAACGATTCGCGCGGACGATGTCGCTGACACAGCTAAATATAATATGTCCATCAACTATATATCACCAGAACGGAGTGGAAGCGTATGGAGGAGGCTCTTACCGCAAAACGTGTCCCTGACATTAACTAATATGATTAAACAGGAAACGAAACGTAAAATATGTTAACAGTTTTGTTTTTTTATTTTATTTTATTCCATTAACTTTATCGTTAGGAAAGTGTGAAAGGAATCTAATTCTAGACTACTCTCATTTTTAAGCTATAAACGTGAAACAGGCACTTAAAGATCAATCCATTGTTTTCACCAATGAGTTTCTTACAGCAGTTTGTCTAAAATAAATCCCTTTGTCTGCATAAGACTCGATTCTTTATTGAATGCTTCTCGCTCAGATATTTTCATCACTTTCATGTCAATCCTTGACCTATATTCTCTTATACAATTGCCATTGTAAGTCATTCCATTGGTGTAATCTATACTAATGTTATAAAGCTAATGAGTTTGTTTGTTTGAACGCAATAATCTCAGGAACTAATGTTTCGAATTCATTAGTTTGGTTAGAGTAAAGGTTAGTTAGGCTATACAACATCATGACCAACCAATAGGAGTGAGGATCAATGGAAAATGTGGAAAAGTGGGGAAAATTATTAATCTTTACTGGTAACCGTCTAGATTAAACGGTTTAAGAAAATTAAAAACGTATGTTATAAAGAATGATTCCCCCCTTAAGCGGTCTAAAAAATATGTCCAACGTAGTCAATCGTTTGTTATTAATTTGCAATAACGACGATACGCGGACGACGTCGTAGGTAACAGCTATAATTTATAAAGATTACAAAAAAAAATAACCCAAAATATCTATTCTACGCATACGAAGTCGCGGGCTCAGCTAGTTTTGAAATATTCACAAATGGAGTTATAGGATTGCCGCTTTCAAAAAAATTATCTTTCTCCAAAAGGTCAACAGAAACAGCGATTACGTAAAATAATTTAAAATGGATTGTAACCCAAATGATATTTAACTGCGACCCGACGTTTCAAGTGCCTCCTCGTGATCTTGGCTGCTAAAAACAATCTAAAAGATGGTTCGTATAAAACCTCCTTTGAAATAGTATTCAATCAATATTTGCGTTATGCTTTTGTAAAGGTTGTACTTCCATTACACAAATGTATGGCAAACTAACCCTCAAAGCTTTTAAGCGCTTTCCGTAAATAATGAAGGGATTGTAAATTAGTTTTACTATCGCCTGTGTCGCCATACTGTCTGTAAAATTATTCGATAGCGCTATATGACCTGGAATCCCCAATATGTCTATGCTCACTGTGTTGCCTGACGCGAAAATCTTTCTAGAACATACAAGAAGGTGTTACTAAAATATAAATTGGAAATTACATTTGATTGTAAAGTTAATCAGTAACAATTATTTAAATGAAATTTCTATGAATTTCAAATCGAGCCTAAATAAACAAATGCGTATTTTCTGTTTTCACATATACAACTTAACATAATACCTTTTTAAATAAAATTAAATAATTTAATACTAAATGAATAAGTATTTAATAAGTCATGACCTAGATACAACATACTGTGTGGTGTACAAATACCCAATCATGAAATTTAAGCTTAAAATAATCAATGAGTTAAACATTAAAAAAACAAACAAATTATTACTTTTCTAAAACATGAAACACTTGGATTCCATCCATAAAACCATAATATAAATCCACATTTCGGTTATAGACTGTGGGGTCTGAACCTTCTGTCAAAATAGGTCGACCGCGTCTCTTGTCAGTCCATACTTCTCCGTCCTACTCTATCATAAAAAGGCATCTCTTTTATGAAACATAAACAGTTACCAGTCGGTTCCACACTGAATAAGGCTAAAGAAAATCATACAGTGTCCTACGAAGTACACGCATGCGCCCTATGTTTCGCCAATTGCAGGTTTTTACGGACAATCTGCATGTTATCGTGTCCACGCCTTCGATCGCCTTCAAACTCGCTACGTCACTTTCCGAACTAACGTATTTTAACTTTACGATTGACGAAATTATTTTATTATATAAAGAAAAATATGTAAATAGCATATTTGTCTCTTTATTATCTATTTTATACAGTTCTTACTAGTTCTTCTTGTTCGTTCTACTGATATTAAATGTAAATTGAAATTAGGTTTTAACTATTTTTCTACTTTGACTTTGAAAAATGCTGTTTAAAAGTAAATAAGAAAATTAACCTTAACTCAATATGTCAGATTCAGATATTTTGAAATAATACTTGCCCTGCGAACATTCTTTAATAGGTAATAAGATAGAGAAACTGGGGCATCATTTAAAAATATTGTATTCTCCTTGTATTTTTAATTACATGACGGAAATTACGTTTAAAGGGTACGTTTTTCAAGTTTGACTTTCCGCAAAGAGGATCGTTAAAACTCGCTCTTGAATGGCTTCATCTGGTTTTGAATAAAATTAATTGAGCTAAGTCCATCGCTGTGTAAATGAATGATAAAAACTGTTTGATGTTATTACCATAATAATGAGTATAATAGCTTTTCAGTGAGTTTATGTTTAATCATTTTGGAGTTTCGCGCAGCCTATAGAGTTTTCATAATTTTTGTTTAATTACAACTATTTTTTACGTACACTTAATTAAATGGGTATACCAATTTGCCTAAATTTATCTACGGACTTTCTGAACTCATAAATCCTAACTCGAACTTAAACTTTTCTCAAATTTTTTCAAAAAAAAAAAATTTTTTTTTTTTAAGGGGAAAAAATTATTTTTTTTTTTTTTTTTTTTTTTTTTTCCCTTAAACCATTTTAAGTGATAGTCCCAGTTATAAACTAATAAGTTGCCTTAATAATAAAAAAATGCCCGCGCTGACAAAAGTTTGGTGGGCCTTAAACCTAATAAGAAGAGACGGACTGGGTTGCACAACCTGCAGTGGGAAATATAATACGCTGAAACAATATAGTTTTATTGACAAAACAGCTGTAAAACAAACATTCCTAATTTATTATTACGTATTGGGTACATGGATATAATCAATGTCTCGTACTGTCTGAAAGCGGAAAAGACGTGTCACAGTCAGCTCGGAGGCAGCTGGTCTGAATGAAACGTTCCGGGAATTAAAATAGACGTACCTCATTGGAAAATGGCGCTATCTCGAATTCTAATGAGCGCCGTTCGCATTTTGTTCACGTAAAATAAAATTAGCTTTGACAATGGGACAGTAGGTGGACTGACGATCATATTAAATCTATAATATATTATTGTAACTGTAGTTTCAGTAAGTGGGTAGCTAGAACGTCCGTTTGTGACAAAAAAAATTCAAACAATATAATTTTGTGTTTAGTTTAAATATTCTATATTCTATTTGATGTAGTCAAACTTTGATAAAGGAGGACAGACAACCAAGCCCCAAACCCCAGCCATATACCATCTCAACATGACGTTGTCAACTATTTTGGGCACTTGGATATTCAGAATAAACTTCACGGTCGTTTGTGACCTAGAAGAAATTTTCGATATCCCTACCAGCCATTTGATAAAAAACTACAAATAATAGAATACATTTATTAAAAGCGCGAAAGTTTCTCGTTCAACGACAATAATATTGCTCCTGTGTGATTTACAAGGAATCCTAATAATGTGTGATTCTGTTTTTTTAACGGCCAGAAGAAAATGTATGTTATGCCTGTAGGTGCCGCAGTTAACATCCCGAAGCCATACACATAATATGAACACAAAAATGTACAAACACATACGAAAAACACAAATTGTTTAAAAAGTTTTAATACGGCTAAATACGTTTTTTGTTTACAAACAATTTTTACGTATTGTAATCGACGAGCTTTGTTTTGTTGAAAATCGGACAGCATTAAATAATTGAAACATCCAAGCATTTTTCATATCAATCCCCGAAAAGCTTTTGTTGTCGTTTTCGCAGTATTTTACGTTGTACACTGAAATAAAAGTTGAATGTATGCGTTACGGAATATGAGGGCGATATAAAAGTTGAAATCGACCCAAGTGGATTACTGGAATAATTAACATATTCATGTTTTAACACGAACCGTACGAAGTAATGACGCAATATAATTCGCTGCGGCGTTGTCACTGACGTTGATTTCATTTTTGAAACGAGGAATATACCGGCCTCCCCTTTACTGAAACTAACTTCTTTCAGTTTATATATAACGCGATATATATTAGTTAAACTTTTCTGAAAATCACGTGGAGACTCGAAGCCTCGGGCCGTAATTCGACTAATATATATCGCGTTTTAAACCGTTACAGTGATTTGTTTAAATGTGTACTACTCGCATAAACTGCAGACAGTATTTAGCTTCGTTCATTTAAAATTAATAGTGAAGGCATCATGAACACAATGCGTATTGTAAGGACGTACTGAAAGAATGCTTCAAATCTCTTATCGCTGCCAGATTTTTTTTATGATAAAGGGGGATAGAAAAGCACGGGGTTGTCTTAATGGAAGTTAAAATACCATATCCTACATTTAAACAAGATGCGATAATATTTTGGTTATAGATATTCGGAAATCAACAGATTGAAACCGAAACGCGATACACTTAATGGCTTTTAAATAAAACACTTTAACGGTTTAAAACGCGATATTCGGTTGCTTTGCAGCAGCCGTGGTCACGGGGAGGCTGCTGCAAAGCATCCGAAACGTCGGGCCGAAGTTAAAAATAATTTTAACTCATATATCGCGTTTTAAACCGTTAAAGTGTTTTATTTAAATGTGTACTACTCGCGTAAACTATAGACAGTATTCACTTGATGGCTTTCATCTGTGGAAACAATTATGATTGTCTTCAACATTTATTTTCTCGGAGCATTATATACTGTATAACCGAAACTAATTTATATTATTAATATCTGTAACTAACCTATTACTATATAAGAGTAATAAGTTTATATGTTTAAACAGCAGAGGCGGTAAGATCGCAGATGTTGCACGTGCGCCGACGCAGCAGTAAGGAGCCGCGCGGCCTGTTAGCGACGCGGCCACCACCCGGCGCGCCATCTAGACAACAACGCGCCTAGGATTTATTATACGGTACTTAATAAAACTATGTAGGTTGGTATGCGCTTGAATGTTAATCGAAATAACGACATTAATAAATTTATAACTTTTAATACACCCACTGTAAATGGTCAAAATTATCCTATATTTGGCAAAGTAAATTTAATATGTGCTACTCACATCTGTGTCTAACGCTACGGCGTAGCGAGCGCTACGATACTGATTAGGTGCTGGTTGAAAAGGTTTTAATTATTACTAATTATGTTATTCGAAGGAAACAATTTCACGGTTTAAAATGCGAAATATATTAGTTAAACTTTTTAAAAATATTTTTAATTACGGCCTGATATTTTGGATACCTTGCAGCAGCGGTGGTCACTGAGAATTGAAATTAATATTCTATTTGTACTTCGTAGGTCGGACATGAAAAATCTCGCTCCTTTGCTGGCTGTCCCTATCAGCGAATACGTGGTAACTTTCATCTCTCTGGTAGCCGCGGCCACACTGTTTTCTTGGACGACAGGTATCGTAGAACTTCTTGTCTTGATTGTTAAAAAAAATGGTATCTGTCACACGTCAGCTAAGGTTTTGAATCTACGATATTAATTCACACTATACAATTCTTAGCGATGGGAGAATTTTGATAGATAGGTGATACTAAGTTCACTAAGTCATAGAAAAGTTTACTTTTGGGTTTTCTGTAGACTAAGTGTTACTATTTGATGGATTCATTATTTGTTGTTTGTATAGAAGGGCGCTCCGCCCGTAGGTGGTTGGCGGAAGATCGCGGGCGCAGGGAGTGTAGCCGCGCGCGCTTCCCCTACCACACGCACCCGCCCATTCACTGTTAGCAGGTAAAACGAATATTTGTAAGTATAAGTAATTAACAGTGAAAAACTTAAAAAAACAACAAATTTTATAAATTAAAAGTCTATTTAGATTGAAAAAAAATTACGACACGGTCGGGACTTGACCCGGTAATCAAACTGTTCTGTGCTGCTTCTTTAACCAATTGTTAAAGCAGCACGTAAGTCCCGTAAGTTTGAATCTACATTGATTTTAATTTACATAATAAAATCACGTGCATAAAAAAAATATTAAATTTTCAAACAACAAATTTTGCTTCAACTATCTACTTCAATAAAGGAAACTTTATTTACACATTACGCTTTATCTACATTATTCAATATAGGAAGATGATTGTTTTAAATACATGTATGTTCTAATTATATTAGGAATGATTTCTTCCAACCAACATTATTGTTCAACGTACGTAAGTACTTCGGCTGACAGGTTCAAACAAACAAAACTAAGACCGCTTAAACGTTAATTGCATACTTTATAAATGATACTTCAAGCTGACTTATCCTTGACCTTAATGTTGAAGAAGAAGGAAAAAATATAAAAACGAAACGTTCACTACTGTAATATTTATACGAGTGTTTTTCCGCTCGTATGACGAATCTTCAACTGACACTTGCCATTATCCACGTCGGTAACTCGAGTAAGATTGACTTCATAACGCGACAAAGAAAACGCGACTTGATCAGGAAATCCTCTTTATGAGCTTATTTAACGAAATTTACGAGTTTAGTCTCGTTTGAAATGTTTACATTGTAGATTGTACTCTACGGTTATTCATGTATGTACCTATATTTGCAAACTAGCTGTGTCAGCGACTACGTCCGAGTAGGAATATTATTTTGAGCATTAAAATTTGTTTTTCGTAAGCCTACTTTCATCTTTAAAGATCAGTTACCCGCGACGTCGGTCGCGCCCCGTCGTTCTTGCAAATTAACTCTATAGATAAAGATATATAGAGTCGTAAAGAGAAGTCATGCTTTTATACATATTTTTTTTGGTACTTTGAACCGTTTTCGAATCGGAAACTCATTAATATGAATAATTTTTCCCGTATTTCCACATTTTCCGCTGTTTCTTCGCTTCTATTAGTCACAGCGCGATTTTTAATATATACTTTCACCAACACGAATATATTTTTCTCGAATTAATTTGAACCAGTAGTTCCTGACATTAGATAATATAAAATTTACAAAGAACGTATGATGTTATTTATAATTGGTAATTAATAAGTAATATGGTTGCAGTAGGCAGTTCACTCAGTGGGAGTTCGATAGACAATGTCCGAAGATTTGGACTCGATCAGCGAGGAAGAACAAAGTTTGTTCCGACCTTTCACACGAGAGTCATTGTCCGCTATCGAAGCCCGCATCGCAGAGGAACATGCCAAGCAAAAGGAACTCGAAAAGAAGCGCGCAGAGGGCGAGGTAACGACCCAACCCTATTCTTGTACAGCTATGAGTGTGCTCACATATGTCTAGTGCTGCCATAACATAATTTACGATGACAAAAATGTCTGATACAGTACAAAGTTAACGACAGGTACATGTTTGTAACAGCACACTCGATACCTTTCAAGTACAGTACGTCTGACGAATTTTTAAACTATTCCAGACCGATTTGGGGCGGACGAAAAAGAAAAAAGAAGTAAGATTGCTTGCTTGCCCCTTTTACCTTTTACGGATCGTTTTAGCGGAAATTTAGCAAGTTATCGCTTAACGAAATTCATTCGAAACTCACAGACTCCATTTGTATTGGCGTGACGTTTGTCTTGGCGCGATAACTTGCATCGCATTCTGAATAACGCATAACGCATTAAACGCATTTAAGAACACATCGCTTTGTCGGCAATATCTGTGCGAGTTTGGCTGTTACCTTCGTAACAGAGAAACTTAGAGATGAATAAAATTGAAGCTTACATTTCTTTGCCAAGTCACATCGACATATTCCAGACAAACCTTACAAAAACAGCAGATATATTGATAGCCGTAAAGTCCTGAACCACCCGATAGAAGATAGTGCCTGTAGCGAACCTAATTAATGCGACATACAGTGAATAAGCCAAACCTTGTGTTCCTAAGGACTTAATTTTAGGTCTGAGGATTGCACTTATGTAACGTAACCAAGATCTAGCACACGACAATCACCCAATCATGCATTGCACACGAGTGGCTCCCGCCACGTCATCGGCTACGGTCATGTAGGTCTAGGTGGCATCTCCTGGCTAGTTTAGTGCAACACTGACGACCCCCTATTTTGAGGCCTTCCGATTCCTCCTTGATAATGTACAGGATTGACATATTGTCTAGCGACGGTGTATGACAATCCTGTTCTGTGATTTATGGATTTCGTAATAGTTTTGTAATTGGTAATTTGGTTAAGGTCTCAATACTCTATTTTATATATAAAATGTTTAAAGATTTATAAATTAATTTTTTTTTTAACTTAATAAAATTAATAAAGACCGGTGGAGGAAAAATTTACGAATTTGTTTTAACACTGTCTGTTCACGCGAGTTGTACAGACCAGATAAAACTATTTAAACGGTTGAAACGCGAATTATATTCCAACTAAAACGTCGGGTTATAATGAAAGATAAATTAACTTATATATTTTACTTTTACATCGTTAAAAGCGTTTTATTTAATCTCTTTCGGTAAAATATGAAGAATTTCAATGAATACGGTTTGAGTCGGAATGGTAACACAATAGCGGGGCCCGTTATGCAATACGCTTCTAGTTTGGCAGCGAAACGCATCATGAATACACAGGCAGCACGATTATGAAAACCGCTTCCAATGCGCTCACAAGACATGCTCAACTTCGTAATAATACTCGTTGCTGTTGACGCGAATTCTCATTTTTCGAGAGATTTGAAACATTAATATTACAAAATCTTTGAAATGAAAGACTTGAGTCACGCCATCTATTGTTTTGCATTGTAACGAGATGCAGCTTCAAATGCTTTTCAGGAAGTGTGATCTCGACGACTAGTTGAAAAGCATTTATAGTGCCTTCAGGCGTTTAACCTTTCATTTAAAGCCACGGAGACAATAACAGTATTGTTACACCGCCTTACGTAGTTTAATAATTATCGCATACGGACTAAAAGAAATTGAGGAAACAGAAATTCTATTGAAGAGCGTTGTCATATGCATGGACGGCGGTCTGCACCTAATACATTTACAGTAATCTAATTAAATAATATGTTTATAGCTTGCTTATATGATGACGCTCTTACTTCGAAGTTAATCACGAAGTTTGACATATTTGGAGTTATGTAGGTGCGATACGATGACGAGGATGAAGACGAAGGTCCGCAGCCGGACGCGACCCTGGAGCAGGGTCTGCCACTGCCTGTGCGGATGCAGGGATCCTTCCCCCTGGAACTTGCCTCCACACCTCTCGAAGACATCGATCCTTTTTACCATAATCAAACAGTGAGTATTACAGAAAATTCTAGAGAAGCGTTACTAGGAGATCATTATATTGATAAGATTTGCATAATGTACATTCCTATCCAAGTTTGGAGGATATATTAGGTTATATTCCGCACTTCGTATTCCTTTTAAATTCCCACTCAGGCTGACCTTGTATATTATTGATGTAGCTGCGGTAACATTTGTGTCCCTGAATCAGACCTTCACAAAATAAATCAACTGAATACCGACTACAGACTCTTTTAATTAATATTTTAATACTTTTTTCCTACAACGACGATTGAGCTTATATTAAATTAGTGTATTCTGAGTCTAGTGCTAAAAATACTGACCCAAATTTTAGTACTTGCAGCGTCAAACGATTCGTTATTTGCGAATGAGTCACATGTATATCACGTTTTATAGAACTTGAGGAACATTGAAATAACTTGTTTGTAAAAGATTTTACAACGTAAAAGAACATTTATAATACAATGGATATTATATAACAAACCCGTACTATGGTTGTATATTAATTCGGGATGTCCACTTACTACCCCCCGGGTTTTATCAAAGTTATCGCTTAAAATTAAAAAAATCCTGCCTAGTAACAACAACAGTCATTATATTTCCTGATTATTTGTTGCAGACGTTCGTAGTGATAAGCAAGGGTAAAGATATCTTCAGGTTTTCGGCGACAGATGCTTTATGGATGTTGGATCCGTTCAATCCAATAAGGAGGGTTGCCATATACATTCTTGTGCACCCCCTCTTCTCTCTCTTCATCATAACAACGATCCTTGTCAATTGCATCCTTATGATAATGCCCACCACGCCGACCGTCGAAAGTACTGAGTGAGTATCTCTTTGTTTCCCGTTTTATTATGTGATCTATACCATCTAATCATATTTCGTAGAGTGCACGATAGATTCAAACTATTAGCGTTCAGTTTAGTAAGTAACATAATAATATCTTAGTCAGAAGTATCCGTCGATAGATTAAACGCGTCTAGATTACGATGTGACCATGGCAAACAGTTTCCTCACAGAGCCACACCTCATTGGGTTTAACTGCAATACATTCGACACGATCACAGTCCCACCGAACAACTTGAATGCAGTTCCTAGACATCTCGTATGAAACCAATATTTTATTTGACATTTTCATGACTCTCTTAAATTTCTTGATTTCAACTTACCTAAAGGAATGCATCTGTGACCTCATAATGTTAAAGTAGACAAAATAACCTTGCAACAGACCACTAAAGTGTTTAATTAGCGTACATCTATAAATCCTTCGACTTAAATCACATTATAAGGTGTGTTACACTTGTAAAATACATCGGTATGTACTTAATATTTAATCCATTTAGTACTAGGTGTATGTAGTCAATTGTTCTAATAGACTCTCTACACTTTTCTGAACCATAATTACTGATACTAATTAGATTTTCTTATTTAAATCATAGAGTAACTATGAGAAATGTTTATGTATTTTTACGAGCGGCGTTCCACAATGGAGGTGAATTTTTCCAGAGTTATCTTTACGGGAATCTACACGTTCGAATCAGCGGTGAAAGTAATGGCCAGGGGTTTCATTCTACAGCCATTCACATACCTTAGAGATGCATGGAATTGGCTTGACTTCGTAGTTATAGCTTTAGCGTGAGTAGTAGACAATTTTAATAAAATAACAGTAGAATAACGTAACAACTATTTAAATGTAGTTTTTATTATTTTCGATGTCTCTCTATAGAAATGTATAGACAATATGTAATAGACTAAATGGCGATAAGGAAACGAACATACAATTTTTAAGATTTGCAGATAGTAGTGGAGGCTGACAATATGTGATTAGTAAATGTATAGTTAATCGGTAGTTAGATATATTAACCTAGCCGTTGTGTGGGGTGTGTGTTGCAGTTATGTGACGATGGGCATAGATCTCGGCAACTTGGCCGCTCTCAGAACCTTCAGAGTTCTACGAGCGCTGAAGACTGTGGCCATCGTACCGGGTAATCTATTTGTGCTATTATTAACTATCTAGAGATTATTCAATGTCTAGTCTAATTCTTAGAGTCACGAGCTTTACGTAGACGTTCGGAACACGTAGGCTTAGGTGAAATTTGAAATATTTAAGTGTAAGGAAGATAAGTGAGTATGTCTTTAATAGAGGGTTGTGAACGCGTGTGTTGAATAAGTAATAAGTTGTCCAAATAACAAATGGGATTACTCTTCAGGTTTGAAGACGATCGTTGGTGCTGTCATAGAGTCTGTGAAAAATCTACGCGATGTGATTATTTTGACTATGTTCTCTCTATCTGTTTTCGCGTTAATGGGCCTACAAATCTACATGGGAGTGTTGACGCAAAAATGTGTAAAGGTCTTCCCAGATGACGGTAGTTGGGGCAACCTAACTGACGAGAGCTGGGAGAGATTTTGTCAAAATGAAAGTAAGATATACGATATATAAATGATACGAGTATAGTGTAAAGCGTGAATTTTTCGATGTGCTAAAAATGAATTTGCGACAGACATGTCTGTATCTGTTGTACTGATTAACTTTAAGAAGCAAAAAGTTTATCACTGTTTTTCGGGCTGTTCGGCCGACGTAAGCGAGCAGAGGTTCCTCGACGTTGCGCTACCACCGGACAGCACGAAAAACAATGATAAGCTGAACGATGGCCGTGAAAGCCTTACACAAATTATTAGGCAAATAGCTGTTCAGACTTCTGTACCGTTGCGCACTTAGTGCATTGCTTCTAATCATTGAACACGGGACGCAATGAGTGACTGACTAATTGTAAACGGTTTCAGCGAATTGGTACAGTGAAAATGGAGACTATCCTTTATGCGGGAATTCATCGGGAGCGGGGTGAGTTGAATACCTAATTAATATTTGCTTTTCTGTGGAAGTGTTGTGATGGGATGAAAGTCACGACTTAAGTCCTAGGGTAGGAAATAGTATCTAATAGGAAACTATAACGAACCATCAATATTTGTACATGTCACAATAATCTCATTATCTCGTGTAACAACATAAACTTACTAATAAATCAAAATACACCTATTAATGATTAAATACAGTATTAATGTGCTTACACAACTCGAATTCAAAATAATATTTAAGCTTAAATACACATCACTACATATTCTAATAGTGTCTACACTGGCGTCCCATTTATATCAGTAAAATGTTTCTAAATAATTACAGCATTCTGCCACATTTGCTTTAATATAACTTAAGTATTATCTGCAGTTTACGCGGGTAGTACACATTTAAATAAAACACTTTAACATTTTAAACGCGATATATTTTTATTTATGTTAACTACGGTCTAACGCGACGTTTCGGATTTTTTGTTGAGGCCGTGGTCGCGGGGGGGATCGAAAATGAAGGGTGTCACAAATGTCAAAGGCAAGTCTGCTGGCGAACAGATTTGATTTTATTTGATTTTGACTGGATTATGTAACATGATTCGCGTTTTAAACTGTTAAAAGGTTTTTAGTTAAATTAAAATAACCTTATAACGATATTTTTCCTTGTCACAAACAAATTGAGTTTTCTTTGTAGGCAATGTGAGCCAGGCTACATTTGTTTACAAGGGTACGGACCGAATCCCAACTACGGTTACACGAGCTTCGATACGTTCGGGTGGGCGTTTCTATCAGCCTTCCGACTGATGACGCAAGATTATTGGGAAAACTTGTATCAACTGGTAACTTTATATTTTTAGTATGCTTACTATACTTCTGATGATATTTTCCTTATCAACTCATATATCAATAAAACACTATGCATATATAAAACAATATGTATGAGTTACTTTGAAAAAATTTCAACGATGAGGTGTAGGATACAAGTCCTGCCCTGCGGAATTTTTTTCAATACAAATAAATACTATGTGACATGTTTATATCGGGCTCTATTTCTTATCCTATTAAAATTCCTTTATAAATATATTTTTTAACGTTTGTTCGACTTTTGTAGGTTTTGAGATCAGCTGGCTCCTGGCACGTCCTTTTCTTCGTAGTGATCATCTTCCTCGGTTCATTCTATCTCGTCAACTTGATCTTGGCCATTGTCGCCATGTCGTATGACGAATTGCAGAAGAAAGCTGAGGAGGAAGAACAGGCTGAAGAAGAAGCTCTGAGGGTAAGGGTTTTGTTATATTTGCTGTTTTTACGTGTTGATTTTGTTTTTATTTAGGCTTTTTGTAAAAATGTAGAGAATCATATTAAACGGCTTACGTAAAGCACACAGGGATAGCTTTGAGAGTAATCATCTTCTCTATCATGGTCTTTAGTCAGAATATAGATTATATAAATAAGACAAGTAGTTCCTGAAATAAGTGCCCAAACAATCAATTTTCAACTTGAGATAAGCTAACTAACTAAAACATAAAATTAATAGCAATTTTACCAAGTGTTTTATTACAAAAATAACCTGTGTTATCCTGTGTTTAAATTAGGAAGCGGAACAAAAAGCAGCAGCACGAGCAGATAAGCAGGAAGCGAGGGAAGCCCATGCAAGGGAGCAAGCTGCTGCGGCAGAAGCGGCTGCCTACGCGGAAGCCCATCCCGCTAAGTCACCCAGCGACTTCTCCTGTCAGAGCTACGAGCTGTTCGTGAACCAGGAGCGAGGCAATCAGGACGACAATACACGGGAACGCATGTCACTGCGAAGCGACCCCTTCCAGGACTCGGTGAGCACACAGCCCACGCACAAGCCTGCCAACGACACGCACCACGACACAGCACGCCGACAGAGGAAGGTCAGCATGGTGAGTATGCGGTACCCACGCGTTAAACCGCCGCTGACAATGATTTAACTTTCAAAAATCCACAGGGTATTAACATCATTATAAAACTTTGAAGTCTACTTGTGGAAGCAAGTAAATTTAAATATATAAGAATATCTTTATTACCCTTACAATATAGTCTACCTCTACTGTACCTACTTCTTTGTGTAAATATCTTTTGAATTTGAATTATTACAACAAACAGTTGAATGATTCCGAAAATTTTTGCTGAACAAGACACTGGTGTTTACACTTATAACCAAATAAAAGTAAAAGTTAGTAGTACAGCGGAGGCGTAGAAATGTAATAATTTAATTATCTAATACGAACAGAACTTATAACATTGATGTTTGCCAAAAATATTTATCGAATAACACTGGTAACACTCAAACATCCAAAAGTGGATCTTGACCTCCGAACCAGTACACCTCGAGATGAAATGAAAATATTACTTTTATTGTATTAAAGATTAATAATAATTAATATAAACGAGTTTTCCCGTCTTCTCAATTGAGTGTAATTGAATCATTGTCAGCTGAGATTTCTTTTCAACTTGATTCACGCTTCCCAAATGCACGAAACGAATAAAGTACTTAAGGACATAGTAAGAATATTTGACACATGCAATTTCAAGTTGGAAAGATGTTCAATATTTCAGATGAATTGTCTAATGCTCAAAGCTTTGATTTATGTGACCGTCCTTTTTGATGTTAACACTTTCCTTAAATATGCAGATGTGACTCATGCGAAGTCTAAATTCATTTAAATTGGAGACACATCTGAATATTTTCAGTTTAAATATTTATTTCTTCTCTTACAATATGATTACTATTACGACACTCTTTGATTTAAAATCTATGAACACGTTTATTTGAAACTTGGTTTCGAGGCATGCTATTAGATGGTCTTTTCATTTCTTTTTACTTAATGCAATCATTTTTGGGCCTGCAAACGTTATTATTTCCTCAAACAGATTGTAGTGATCATTGCATTCGGCTTGACATAGGTACATCATTCTAGATTGCAATAGGTTTCATCTCGATAGTACTTTCATGAAAATAATAGTGAGTTTTTTTGCGTTATCTTTAATTACACTCATTCGTAGCATGAGTCTTTATATGGTTATATTCATCATTAAACAAAACATCAGTAGATCATTGCATCTTAGTTTGCCATTGATAATGTCTCCAATAATATTTTACTTGCATACATTTAAATTCATTTAAATAAAACACTTTAACGGGGAGACTCCCCCGTGACCACGGCTGCTGTATAGCATCCGAAACGTCGGGCCGAAGTTTAACTAATATATCGCGTTTTAAACCGTTGTTTTATTTAAATGTGTACTACTCGCGTAAACTATAGACAGTATTTATTTAAATTCATAATTAAAAACGAAGGTTATAACCTTCGATAACCTTATAAGGTTATATGGAATACTATTGGAGAAATAATCTATTGTCATGTTAGATTGTTTCTTTCATTTTGTGAGCGATTGAAGCGGCCGAGCTGAGACTGAACATATCGTCGAAGGAGAGGTAGGTTCGGTGAACTAATTTTTCATTAAATACTTCAAATATATTGAATCCATTAATTCCTCAATTCGATGTGAGACAGAGGCTTTTCGCAGAAAGAAATTAACAGTCCTCATGACCATAGATGTAGCATCAAAACGCGAGCCATCGCTACAATAGGATTAGAAGTATGCGAAAGTGCATGTACTGTAATATCATAATATGATAATACTTCATGTGTTTATAAACAAAGTTACTTGACTAACTGTTGCTTTCAGTCATCGCTAACGCTTTTGTTTTTATACAACGTTATTACCACATTAACTGCATCCGTTACTTAATCTTTTATTTCGACAACTTATTCTTTCTTCATTCTGGCACCGCCGTAGATCGTTGTTACATTTTTCCTTAATTAATCACTATATTTGCTTGGAGGCTGCAATCTTGATCCTTTATTCCAAATTGTGGTTCCTTATATCTACCCTCTGTCCTTAGTGATCTATGTCTAATGAAATTGCTGATCGGAGATTGTTTAAAATGTCTTTTTCTGTGCATTAAAGGTTCCCCATCCTGAACGCATTAATAAATATGGACAGTTGTCATATGGGCCACTGCGGGAGGGCTCACAGGTTTGTCCTATTCTTCATTGGTGTTTGTGCTCCCTCTCCTTCCGTTGAATTAATTCTAATTTGAACTATTGTACCTTTTCTTGGCCTAATTTGTGAGACCCTACATTCAAAAATACAATGTCAAATTGCAGCAATTCATGACAGTTCACAGACATTAAATTCACTTGCTAGTTATTTTAACAAATCATGATTTGATGCAATACGACAGGCAAACATTTTTTCTTTATTGTTTTTCACAGAAGATTTCCCATTCAGGTAATTATTATTTTTTCTTATTGTTTACTTGTTTATTGGCACATGAAAGTAAACTTCTTATAAGGTAGCATAATACTCTTAGTTACATCACGCATAAATTCTCAACAAAGCCTCTGTACCTGAAAATCTACTGTGTAGTAACAACCCAAACATTTTCACTACTCTATCTGAATTGAGGAACATAATTTTGTAAGATCAAATATTAGTATTACTCGAATCCAAAATAAATAAATACTTTTGAGATGAATAAAGTAATAGTTACAAACTTGTAAAAGGGCTTTGTACTAAAGCAGTATACTGAGATGTAGAAATGCTTCAGGCTTCTTTATCGTTACCTGGGTCACCATTCAATTTACGAAGAGGCTCGAGAGGTTCTCATCAGATGGCTTTAAGACCAAACGGAAGAAACAGGTATCCACCAGGAGCTGATCGGAAACCATTGGTTTTATCAACATATTTGGACGCCCAGGAACACTTACCATACGCTGATGATTCAAATGCGGTAACACCAATGTCGGAAGAAAACGGCGCTATAATTATACCTGTCTACTACGCGAATTTAGGTATGTAGGTATTTGGATATTAATATTTGGATAAGTAAATAACTTTTGAAGAGCAGAGTAAGTCGTCATCTGTGTCGCTTAAATTAATATTACTATCAAACATTGTGTATTATATTGTTATATTTTTTTAATATTGATCATAATAATTTGCAAAAATGTAAATGTATTCGTTCGTAACAAATGTAGATAACAAGTGATACGAACGTATACTGTTTCTACAGTTTTTAAATGTGTAGTAAAACCTTTTTTTAGGATCAAGACATTCCTCGTACACATCACACCAGTCAAGACTATCGTACACATCGCACGGGGACCTTCTAGGAGGAAAGGCTCAGACGAAGGAAGCCAGGCTTCGGGGACGGTCTGCGTCGAGGAACCACAGCATCACCTCCCAACCCCACGCCTACCCGCTGCCCAGACAAGAATCGTCGCTGGTATCTCGACCATTACGAGAATATGTATGAGCTTATCAGTCTTTTGTTATAAGCGTCGACTAATTATTTGCCAGCGTAATGACACACGATCATTTACACACGTAACTTTTCACTATCGTACACGAACATAATAGATCGAAAGAAATATTGCTGTGCAGCACTGTCCATTGTTATTAGCAAGTGTGTTTGTGTGTGTCGTTGTTGTTGTTTAGTGGTGATGTTGTTTTGTTATTTTAGGAGGTTAGCACGACCGAATGTACGGATGAAGCTGGAAAAGTTCTGAAGCAATCAAACGACAATCCTTTTATAGAGTCGTCTCAGCAGCCAAATGTTGTAGATATGAGAGGTGAGGTTTCATTTGTACTCAGTCTAGTAACAATCTCTTACACACTTACTATGTATATTATATGCGATATTAGAGGTTACACTAATAAACATTTTAAATTAGATAGGAATTGAGCTACCTATTCAAATGTTAATTCTATCATTTCACTAGTAATGCAACTTATAAAAACTTATAAATATATTTTCCAGATGTAATGGTACTAAATGAAATAATTGAACAAGCTGGAAGACAAAGCAGGGCCAGCGAACAGAATGGTATGTATGTCATTGTTATTCTGGTTTGTGTTTATGGCGAAAACATTTACTAAAGCCATGTATTGATTGGGACAGCCACGAACTAATTTTAATATTCACATTTAATTATTTGTCTTTAATATAAATCGTGTGACGAAATTTGATTTTAATAACCTATAAGTATGTAAAATTAGTTCTGGTGCTATGAATGCATTTTGTCTTGTCTTTAACTTTACAATAAACATGTCTGTTGTCTGTTTACGATTTTTTCTGTTTTATTATACTTATTTCAAAAGTGTTCGCTTTAAATGTACACACAAGAAACACCACATGTGTATAAGTTAACACTATGTATACACACGAAGCATATGACAGCATACACATACGGTATTTGCTCATTATGCTACAAGCATAATTGGCAAGTTACATAACATTACATATATTATATGGGTGTCATTTATGTTCAACAAATATTCGTAAAAGAGCACTAGCACATCCTGTCTTACACAGAAATACTTTTATTTGCGCTCCTCTTTCACTTGTAACATTACAAAGTACCTACTATTTACCTTAAAGACATAGCCCTTCGTATAGTAATCGTAGTTATTATTTTTATTTATTTCTCAAAACATTTCCGTAGAACTATGCCGAATTAATAATTATACGAAAGTAACATTAAAGACATATAATATGCTTATTTTAGAGATTTTCTTTTTCGCATGAATTATTGAAGTTCGCTTATTTATTAAATATCTGCATTAAAATTTAATATATATACAATTGCGACTGAGGTTTGCTTCTGCTTGTCATGTAGAGTCTAATGTTTTCAATATTCATATTTTTTGAGTACAAAGACAGATTCCAAATGGAAAAGAAACCATTGTTACATCATCGCAGTAAAGTATAAGTTGGTTTATAGTAAATAGCTTCGCTGCAAACAAGATTACGCTACCTCATAGCGAAATAAACCTATGGTTTTATTAGCACAGTATCCCCGCACATAGTTTAAGCGTAACATCCAATTGAATTAATTGTATTCGTTTGTTTTCTCGTAACAAGATAAATGACAGCCGACAAAATTCAAAAAATATGAATATTGCTTAGAACTAGTTTCATTGGCTGTACTATTCGTAGCTATTGTTGGTATTATTGGGTCAAATTAAGGTAATAATGAGCGAATACTAACAAGATTATTTTTGTCTCTCCCCTCACTACACACACACTCCGGTAAACGTGACACACCAGTGTCAGTGTACTACTTCTCAACAGCTGAAGATGATGATGAAGGACCCACGTTCAAGGAGAGAATGCTCGAATGGCTAATGAAAGGAATAGACTTCTTCTGTGTGTGGGACTGCTGTTGGCTCTGGCTTGAATTCCAGAAGTACGTCGCTCTTTTGGTGTTCGATCCTTTCGTAGAACTCTTTATCACGTTGTGTATCGTTGTCAATACTCTGTTCATGGCCTTGGATCACCACGACATGGACAAAGATATGGAGAGAGCATTAAAAAGCGGCAACTATGTGAGTCTCTTTATTGGTAACTTTATGTTTATCATTTGCTTTGTCTGAATTAATATTAACTTCAATATTAACGAATTTCAGTTTTTCACTGCAACATTTGGTATTGAAGCGATGCTTAAATTAATAGCAATGAGTCCGAAATATTACTTTCAAGAAGGATGGAATATATTTGACTTTATAATTGTGGCCTTATCGTTACTGGAATTAGGACTCGAAGGTGTTCAGGGTTTGTCCGTATTGCGTTCATTCCGATTGGTGAGTTCTTTTTTAATTCGATTACGATATAAAACAATTTTTTATCTCTCTTAATTATATTGACTATTTATACAGCAATTATCCGTGTTTCTAACACTTGGTAAAGGTATATCGAATTGTTTATGCCGAGAAAACAAAGAGAATGTTAAGAAACTGTAACTTTTATCTGTTGTTACAATTAATGACCTATTTTCAGCTACGTGTATTTAAACTGGCTAAGTCTTGGCCGGCGCTAAACCTTATAATATCCATAATGGGTAGGACAGTGGGAGCTTTAGGGAACTTGACCTTTGTACTTTGCATCATTATATTCATATTTGCCGTGATGGGGATGCAGTTGTTTGGGAAAAACTATACAGGTTCAAATGATAACTGAAATATAAGGCTTGATTGAATCCTTATTCAGCTTTACACTATCGAACGTCCCACACAGGGCTTTGATTGAATATTATTTTTATAAGAATTGTTCAGTACTCGCTGCGGCTTAACACGGAATGTGGCTCCCAGTGGGTCTAGAGAAATCTCGTTATAAGCCTATCACGCTTACGATCATAATTACTACGCTTTGCATCGAGTAATTTAGCATTTGACATGCAGCTTCGCTTGCGAAGGGTATTGCATCGGGACAGCTGATGGGATCTATGTCACATCTCAACGCCAACGACCGACACAAGTTACATAAACATGATGATACTTCAAAATAATATCAATCAAAACGCTCTCCCAAACAGTAGAAAACGCAATAGATAGTCAACATATATCCCACTCATACTGAATCAAAGTAAATGCACATGTTTTGAAAGAATACTGAAGCACACATCCCGCTAATATTAGTACGTAAGGACCCATAATCATGAGGCGGTGGCAGTGGTTATGGGTCTTTTGTGAGAGGCCGCAGTAGCATAGGTGAAGCGCCGGCAAGCGAGCTCGTGTGACGCTTTGTTCACAATTTATAATTGCAGCTTCGAGTATTCAAATTGGCAAAGTCGTGGCCGACTCTTAATTTACTCATCTCTATAATGGGTAGGACGATGGGTGCCTTGGGCAACCTGACCTTCGTATTGTGCATCATTATTTTCATATTTGCCGTGATGGGTATGCAACTATTCGGGAAAAATTACGTGGGTAAGTGGTGATTGGTGGGAGTACGTTGCATGTTCGTTGGTGTATGATTGGACGTTGTTGTTGCGGCGATTCGGGACAGTGAATTTATTTCGATCAAATCGTAAACCAAATGTTTCGGCCGCGGCTTATCGGAAGAGAGTAACGGATTAATCTTGAAATACATTCACTGAAAATGCTAAAGCGTGGACGTGTAAAATTGTATTTTCCAAATTCGAAATCCACACTTTACGTGGGATCGCCGTCTTACTGTCTAGAGATCATTGTGTTGATGTGCGTCACACTGTTATGCTCATGTTGTTGATTGGCAAACGTCGTCGTTATGAACCCAAGTGAGCTTGACCTTAAACTATAGTGTATGTATTTATTGCAGCCCCTTAGCGATGGCGCCTCACTTGTGAAACGTTAAAGCAAGCTTCCTATCCTTGAATTCATTTTCTTGTCATGCCATACCATATTTACCTTTATTCCATATTTCTATTGCTTTATTTTCCATCTTTTAAACTAAAGCTACTTTGTGTACGTTCCCTTATAGACTGCTATTAATATAGTGGATATATATAGTTAGTATGCATGGTCTGTCTGATAAAAGATACAACCATAATCATTTTCAACTTACAAAAAGTTTTCGTAATGTATATATCTTCGCGTCGGGAAGCCAACTGTTGCTATGGTATTTTTTAAACCGAACCTTGTGCATCCGAATCCGAATGTTTTTATTTGAATCCGAGGGTAACTATGCCCCTTTCTTCGATTAGTTTAAACTATAATATCAGTGCCGCATGTCTATACGTAAGTGACTTGTAATGCTTAAAAATGATATAAAGTAATGGCTATAGGTAGCTACATGCTATATTGTATTTACGTAGAGGCTTTTAGTTTTTTATTATAATTAAATTATAAGTTACAACACGTTTAATAGATAAAGAGATAAAAGTGATTCTCTTGGTTAAAAAATAAACTAAAGCAAGAAAATGTTGGGTACATCATGAAAGTCTATTTAATTTGACAATTGACTGCGTGCACAGATTACGTCGACCGATTTCCCGGAGGAGAACTGCCGAGGTGGAATTTCACAGACTTCATGCACAGTTTCATGATTGTCTTCCGTGTGCTTTGTGGAGAATGGATAGAGAGCATGTGGGATTGCATGCTTGTCGGAGACGTGTCATGTATCCCCTTTTTCTTAGCAACCGTCGTCATTGGCAATCTTGTGGTCAGTATTTATTTGTTTAATCAGCGTCAACGCAATCAGATTGAAGAATATAAAAAATAAAAATCTTTGAGAGACAGACAAAGACTATAAAATAAACTTATGTTTTTTAAAAGCATTCATAATATAAATTCTTATCACGAATCCTAAATTAGTGAAGACTTTTAATTTATTGTTAGGCTTGGAATTATAAATTTCAAAGTCAACAGTAAGAGACTTTAGATTATGAAAATGCACGTCGTCTCTTCCAAATAAATATTTTAGGAATATTCTATCACTTAAATGAAGGAGCGAAACCGTCGATATATTTTATTGATTAATTAATATAAACAAAAAATAGTTACTAACTACGACTCGCGTTTTAAACCGTTATTACCATTTTATTTAAATGTGTACTACTCGCGACAATACATGGTTAAATAATTCACAATTTCAGGTACTTAACCTCTTCTTGGCCCTGTTACTGTCAAATTTCGGCTCCTCGAGTTTATCAACACCAACTGCGGACCAAGATACGAATAAAATTGCTGAAGCGTTCAACAGAATATCCAGGTTTACTGATTGGGTCAAGCGAAGTGCTGCGGACGTACTGAAAATGGTGAAAAACAAATTGACCAATCAGATAGCGATACACGCCCCAGGTAAGATGAGTGTACAATGTTTAGAATACCGACAGAGTGGCATGTTTTGTGTGTTTACGCATTACAAAGTTGAATTATACGATGTTGGATAACACACTCATATAATTTAAGTTATTCCAATGAAATAACTTCATATTTGCAGAGGTACTACACTACCTTGCATCTGTCGTACTCTTTTAAGTAGTCAAACCGGTGTGATACATTTAGTTCTCATGGTGTGTTTGATATTAATGTAATAAATTGATGTATTTAAAATTTTAAAGCATGTTGTTGAAAATTGTAACGTGCGTTGCTTGTGCCCTAGCAGTCAAGTGTAGAAAGTCCTAAACATACCCCGATACACTCGCTCAATAAATATTATATGTATTTATATATTTTGTTGTATATTTGCTTCATATACGTGTTTAAATGTAGTATAGAATAAACGCTTTGTGTGTTGTGCATGCAATGTACAAAAAATATATATTTTTTACTGTTAACTAATGTCTATGTTATTAAGTTACTATTTATCAATCAATATGTGTGTATATCTTAGCTTGGTAAAGATTCTTAATGTTTAACGGCGTATTAATAGATACAAATTACACTATTAATAATTATTATACAACTTTGTACTTCCACGTAAATTATATCAATGAATTATAAATATAATTATATATTATAAAGTATTTTATATGTAAAAATGAAAAATATAAGAGGAGTCGTATCATAATCGGAAAACTATTTCAAAATTAAATTTGGTCCTGATCTCATTTCTATGCTTGGCTGTGGCGCGGCAACTGACGCACGGGGTGTAGGTTTAAAAGCGGCTTTATGTGGCCGCTGTGTTTCTTCAGAGCGAGTCGACAACGAGCTAGAACTGGGTGCTGATATCGAAGATGGTGTACTATATAAGGATAAAAAGCTAAAAGATCAAGTGGAAGTAGCGATAGGCGACGGCATGGAGTTTACAATACCAGGTAATCGCGATAATAATATTAAGTAAAGGCAATAATAATTACTGAAGTTAGTGAGTTTAACTAAGGATACATCAACAGGTGACAATAAATACAAGAAGGGTAAAATATTAATGAACAACATAAACGCTATAACAGACAACCACACAGATAATAGAATAAATTGTGAAATAAACCATCATGGATATCCAATACAGGTGACGTATTATTTCAATTCATCACAATAGCAAATACCGAATACTTTAACTTCATTTCTTAATGAATTAATTATAAATTGCAGGACGATGATACCATTAGTCAGAAGTCGTACGGTAGTCATAAAATAAGGTCATTCAAAGACGACAGTCATAAAGGCTCAGCGGATACAATAGACGGAGAAGAAAAGAAAGATGCTAGTAAAGAAGAGCTTGGATTGGAAGAAGGTAATATCAGAATTATAGTAAGTAGGTAGTGTAAGAATACTTTTATGAAATCGATTTTAAATTATATGCTTTCAAACCAGAAATGATTGAGGATGAAGAAGATGGGAAATTGGATGGTTTAGCTAAAATAGATATCAAAGTAGCTGCTGATGAAGATGTAGTAGACTTAACACCAGCCGACTGTTGTCCAGAACCTTGCTATTCTCGCTTTCCATTCTTGGCTGGGGACGATGAGTCTCCTTTCTGGCAAGGATGGGGTACTCTTCGTCTAAAGACCTTCAGATTGATTGAGAACACATACTTTGAAACGGCTGTGATAACAATGATTTTACTCAGTAGTTTGGCATTGGTATGTTTACACTTTTATTGCAAGCGTGTTCTATTCCTATAATGGCGAAACCGTTTAAAATTTATATTTTTTTAGGCGTTAGAAGACGTACATCTACCGCATCGGCCTATACTCCAAGACATCTTATATTACATGGATCGTATTTTTACAGTTATATTCTTTATTGAGATGTTAATCAAATGGCTTGCCCTCGGATTTCAAAAGTACTTTACCAACGCTTGGTGCTGGCTTGACTTCATTATTGTGATGGTAAATACATAGACGATTGACTACTTTTCTTTGACTTTAGTGTGAGATCAAGAAATAACCTCGGTCGTGCCTTATACATAAGTATAAAGTTTATAGATTTATACAAGGTCTTTTTAATTAATAGGTCAAGTAGTCTAAGTTACAGGAACATTATGGGACCATGAATAAAACGTTTCCGACCCCAATAATGTATTACTAGACATAATAAGTGGATGCATAGGACAACTGCATATACATTCCTAGTTGTCGAGTTTTCTAGCTGTATTCGGTCAGGTTAAAAATACAGCGTTTATTATATAATAAATTTGATTGATAATGACGGGTGTGTTAGTTGTCGCTAATTAACCACGGCGCGGTGATGGCTGGCGCAGACGACATCCCAGCATTTCGCTCCATGCGTACATTACGAGCTCTGCGACCACTTCGTGCAGTCTCCAGATGGGAGGGCATGCGCGTGAGTACGCGTAACGCGCCTCTCCGACACCACATACTTCTGTCGCGATGCCCATTACCGTCTACGATTTCTTTTATACCTTCATGTATTAAAGCAATGTTGTGTCTGTCTTTTACATGGGCAACGCGACACTTCAGCTTTGGTTGTTCGGTGTTCGTTGCAGTCGAGAGGACACTCGCTGTGGAAAGCTCTCAGTGTCTATTTGATGTGCGTGAACCGCTTTATGTTCTCAACCCGTGATTCCTCTTGCAACATCTGTGCTAATTAAGAATAAACCAAGAGTTATTGAGTGCATGGTGTGAAAAAACATATACTCTAGCGCTGATAACTTTGTGCCGTTTTCAAAATTGTTTTACTTCTGTTTGTATATTAACTATCGAAATGAAACAAATTGCTTATTTGTAAAAATAAATGAAAATGGCACATTTTTCTTTTAACTGCCTTCAATGTATTGTTATTTTAACAGATTATTGTATATTTTTAATTTCTTACTTTGTATTCCCACTTCGGTGTCTATTGAGAGCTTTTCAGGCATTCTTCGAAAACATCTATCGTCAATTGTTTTGTTAGTAGCTAGCGTTGAAAGTCTTCTGCCATATACAATGGCTACTTTATTTTAGGTCTGGGCGATGTATAATTGGTATTGTATACTGAATATTAGATGGAAACTGTAAATATCAAATACAAGTGTTAATTTGTCAGGTGTCACTTATAAACTTCGTAGCGGCGCTTTGTGGTGCTGGAGGCATTCAAGCATTCAAAACGATGCGAACACTTCGAGCTCTGCGTCCGCTCAGAGCGATGAGCCGTATGCAGGGCATGAGGGTACGTACCTCATCCGCAGTCGCCGCCTCCAACACCATCCGAACACACTCACCTACAACCCACGATCAGTTCACATCTCATAAACTCAATATTTCCAGTTTGATCTCTCCGTATTACCTTCGCTAGTCTATTTGACTTCATCGACTGTCTTGGTTCCTAGAGAAATTTTCGATGGCACCCTTGAATGGCTTGTAACATCATGATTATCGTATTTGTAACTATTTTTGGGATCGTTTCCAGAGTATTCCATTTTCATAACTCGGTCTCTTAGTTTGTCTTTGACTTTATTTCAAGCTAGATAAATACTTAGTTCTAGTGTGTTTTAATAGCTCATGCACTTTAGATCCTAGTAAAGTCCTTGCTTAAGTGTGCTAAAAGCGGAGCGGCATGCAATATGCTCCTATCTTCCTGCAAATCTGACAGAGACTTGGTAAGTTTTATTTTTTCGTAGTAGCTATGCATGAACAATGTTTTTATGATTGTAAACGCTTATTCATATAATTTAGTAGTACATTAAGTAGACCACTACAGAGTTTCATTTCTCATTTCAAGACCTTGCAATCTAGCCAGTTCACAATACTAATACTTTAACTAGTGTCCAAGAAATAGAATGTTTGGCCGTTAGGATTGTGTCTGTATTTATTTAATGTTATTATTCCATATACAGGTGGTTGTGAACGCCTTGGTCCAAGCCATACCATCGATTTTCAATGTGTTGTTAGTGTGTCTTATATTCTGGCTCATTTTCGCCATCATGGGTGTCCAACTGTTTGCCGGAAAATACTTCAAGGTAAATTACTCGATGGAATTTGATATTCATTGATAAACAGTTTGTATTCTTACAATGTCATTTTTTTATAGTGTGTAGACATGAACCACACAACGTTGAGCCATGAAATCATTCCGGATAGAAATGCATGCATTTTGGAAAATTATACTTGGGAAAACTCACCGATGAACTTCGATCATGTTGGGAAAGCATACCTTTGTTTATTCCAAGTAGCCACGTTCAAGGGTTGGATCCAAATTATGAATGATGCGATTGACTCTCGAGAAGTAAGTTACTTAAATTCATACAAAGTTTTATCACATTCATATTGAAATTGAGAATATTTTTCATCAATCGTGATAAATTTTGCAGGTCGGCCGTCAACCCATTAGGGAAACAAACATCTACATGTACTTATATTTCGTCTTCTTCATTATCTTTGGATCATTCTTCACTCTTAACCTATTCATTGGAGTTATCATTGATAACTTTAATGAACAGAAGAAAAAAGCGGGCGGCAGTTTGGAAATGTTTATGACTGAAGATCAGAAAAAGTATTACAATGCCATGAAAAAGATGGGATCTAAAAAGCCACTGAAAGCTATACCTAGACCAAGGGTAAGATGTAATAAATGCAAATTCTCCGTCAATTTCGTAATAACGCGAGGGTTACGTTATAAATCAAAATGAATTTAAATATAAAATTATAAATATAATATAACATTACAATAAATTATTGAAAAGCCGTTTTTATATAGTTTTATTAACTTTAGTTTATCGGGCATGATAACGAGCCGGCCACAGATGTAAAAAAAGCCTTGAAGCTTAATCACGGTTCGGCTGAACTGACTGAAAAGTCTTGGATTTCCGAATATCCAAAGCCACAATACAGCGCATCTTGGTTAGATGCTATAGGCTGGGGTTATTTTACCTACCATCAAGGGCTTGTCTGTACTCCGTTGTCATAAAAAACTCATAATCTATTTTCATTTGCAGTGGAGACCGCAAGCCATCGTCTTTGAAATAGTAACGGATAAGAAGTTTGACATGATTATAATGTTGTTCATCGGATTCAACATGTTGACCATGACCCTAGATCATTACCAACAATCTGAAACATTCAGCATGGTCCTCGATTACCTGAACATGATATTTATTGTAATATTTAGCTCAGAGTGTCTTTTGAAAATTTTCGCTCTACGCTATCACTATTTTGTTGAGCCATGGAATCTCTTTGATTTCGTCGTTGTGATGTTTTCTATACTCAGTAAGTTAAATCTTATAGTTTTTGATAAATTAAATAAATATGCCTCTAAAGATAATACCTTAAACTAATGAAATATACAACACACTGATGTTTATTGTTTTTTGTCAGTACTCGTTAGTAATTCTATGATTTGATTTTTTTCTTTCCAGGTTTGGTTCTGAGTGATATTATAGAGAAATACTTTGTATCCCCAACTCTCTTGAGGGTTGTGAGGGTGGCCAAAGTCGGTAGAGTACTGCGTCTCGTGAAAGGTGCGAAGGGAATCCGAACACTTCTCTTCGCATTGGCTATGTCACTGCCAGCTCTGTTCAATATATGTTTGCTGCTGTTCTTGGTCATGTTCATTTTTGCTATCTTCGGAATGTCGTTCTTCATGCACGTAAAGAACAAAGGTGGTCTGGACGACGTTTACAATTTTAAGACCTTCGTACAAAGTATGATATTACTATTTCAGGTGGGTACATAACATTTAAAAATCATAGATTTGTCAAAAGATAGCATACGACTAGACACCAATGCAATAAAAACATTTTCCAGATGTCAACCTCAGCGGGTTGGGATGGTGTGCTAGACGGCATAATCAATGAAGAAGAATGTGATTTGCCCGACAATGAGCGAGGCTACCCTGGTAACTGTGGCTCAGCTACCATTGGTATCACCTTCTTGCTATCCTATTTGGTGATATCTTTCTTGATCGTTATCAACATGTACATTGCCGTTATTCTCGAGAACTATTCACAAGTATGTGTCTGTGCTATTTTCCCGGTCAACATGTTGTTTGTCTTGAATTAAACTTTTATATCCATCCCCTCAATTACAGGCAACAGAAGACGTGCAGGAAGGCTTAACCGACGACGATTATGACATGTACTACGAAATCTGGCAGCGATTTGATCCAGAAGGAACTCAGTACATCCGTTACGATCAACTGTCAGATTTCCTTGATGTTCTAGAACCACCGCTACAGATTCACAAGCCAAACAAATACAAGATTATATCGATGGATATTCCTATCTGTCGAGGCGATATGATGTTCTGTGTAGATATTCTCGACGCTCTCACTAAAGACTTCTTTGCTCGAAAAGGAAATCCTATCGAGGAACCAGGCGATATCGTCGGACGGCCCGGTGAGGTCGGGTACGAGCCAGTGTCATCGACGCTGTGGCGGCAGCGCGAAGAGTACTGCGCGCGGCTGATACAGCACGCGTGGAGGCGGCATAGGCGAGCGCAGTCTCCGAACGGGTCGGTCGGACCGGGCGGAGACGCCGCGGAGGGCGCAGAGGGCGCTCCGACTGCGGTAGTGTTGGACGGCGGAGCGGGAGGCGCCCACGTAGTCCTGCAAGCGGCAGGAGCCGCGCCGCGTCCACCCGACCCTGCACCCCCTCCCGCGCCCGTCTGACCCGCACTAGCGCTCGCGCTGCTGCCCGCGCTCATCGATGACGAGCCCCTGCCGCTGCCCGCACCGCTGCCCGAGCTCTTGAGCCCACCCAAGCGCACTTAATTATTTTTTACGCTAGATATTTACTTAGAGTCGGCGGGCGAGCGAGGCGACGCCTCCGAACGATAAACGTGCGCGTGGAACGCGAGTGTTCATCCGAGTGTTTATATTCGTACGGCCGAAGCTTAAGAGATTGTTTTGCGACCGATGTTCGCGTTTATCGGTATCGTTTAGTGTTACACGTTACTTTCTGTACCCGGAGTGGAACGGTGTTCGAGAGAATTGTATTAGTGAGCACGCTATTTTTTGTCACTAGTTCTATAAGTATCGGATGAATTGATAAATTCAAAATGCTTATTTTTGTATTGAAAACTAAATCACTACCTTTATAAATGTAATATGGGATCGAGTTAAACCGCTGTGGGACGTCATTTGTCTTCCCCAAAATGGTTTCGCACAGAGGTTAAGTATGGAAGAAATATAGATGCAGTAAATGCGTCTCGAATTGAATAAAGAATCAATTTGCAGCACGGCGTTGATATGTTGTGAAGAAACTAAGCTCAAATTATGATTCTTATTAAACTAGGGCGAGACAAATTTCGACAAGTTGATATTTACACTGTTTATTTGAAATCGTCCGCGCGATCGGGCGTTAGCGAATCGTATTTAATTAATATAGGTGTCGGCGATGACCGCAATCCGAGGGAAGCAATGAATACAAAACGATCCGTCATCCCCCGGAGCGTCATTGCCACCCCTATGGCATTATTTCTACGCTTAATAAGCAATGGCGACGCCGATTCATATCAATTATGTCCATGATAGTTTTAATATTCCCAATTTTAAGCTTCTCGTACCGGAACAATATAAAAGTTTAACCTTCCATGTCGAGGCCGGTCGCCTCAGAATTCGAAGAAGAAATTTAGAAAATTTTTGCTACGTTGTCTTTATAAGCTTAGCAAATCAACAGTGAAATTGGTACCAGAGTTCACTTCCGTCCTAATTCAATCGCATCATAGGAATCGAGCCATTTTACGTAATGCGCACCTTCACGTAGCTAATGTAATTTCCTTCCCCTGGGTTACATTACCTTCGCATGCGGCGAAGCGCCGCGCGACTCCCCACGCAGCGGCACTAGTCCGCCGCAAAGTTACAACTACTTCACGAGAGAGGTGCAATGATGTGACACGTGGACAACGGCTTCACTCGACGTAGATTGCATTGAACACTGGTGACAGCACCGTCACGTAATCGCGTCCCGTTCTCGTGGGGTACCTCTAACCGATAAAACTGTAGGTATTCAATTGCCAGCTGGCTGGTATTGCTTTGGTGTAATTTATAATATTGTTCTTGCACACCATTTTATCCAAGATCTCTCTCGGTACGTGCATTCGACAGCGTCGAGCGGACCGATTCGGCTATCTGAACGACATGACCGTAATTATTAGACATAAGTAATTATAACGACTAAGAAACGTCCCTTCCCGAGTAAGATAAAATATGGAGGGTTTTATTTTTGCAATTCCAGTTGCTTTATTCGAAACATTCGCGATTGTAATATCATAAACGTACGCCTATCGCCATAGCCACGTTAACACCTCGTTAGTAAAGAACTAGATTCGTGTAATGTCTCTTCTAGCACAATATACCTAATAAAGAATGTCTTGCGGAAGTTTAAGTGAATATTACGGATTGGTCAATTTTTTAGTCGAATGTAAATATTGAAAGCTTAAGCCGGGAGGAGCCCGACTAGCAACTCGCCACACTTATATCGTGTTACTTCGTCACTGTATATCGGCGTTTGCGCATATACGGGCTTCGAGCAATAACGTAACGCGTGCTGGAGTTTCGCTTTTTATTACGAAACCGTCACGAATAGTTGTGCGTTGGTTGTTTTTAATTCGTTTTAACAAGTGCATTATGAAAAATGGAGCGTGCTAATTGTCGCAGAAGTCGGTGTATTGTATGAGACGCTTAAATTTTTGCACATATTTTGAAATAATAATTACGGTTACAGATAACGATTAATATAATATTATTGTAGATACTTTTATAAACGGCGCACGGGAGGCGGGCCGGCGAGGTTCCCCATCGCTCGCACGTCTCTCGTGCCTTCAATCTAACGGTTTCATAAGTTACGTTCCAGTTGCAAATTATAATGCTGTAATGGATAACATCGTCGTGTTCAGGCATTTAAGATAGGGGAAAGGAAATGGTCGAGCCCTACCCCGATTTGAGTGAAGGTTACACGAGACGGTTTTTTTTATTAAAATCAAAACTCATCTTAGATCGAGAGGCAAATAAATAATTAACTTTATTTATTATCGTTGCTCGCTTGCGTAGCGCAACCACGCGGTCGACTTTCAAACCCAATCTCATCGGACTCGGCGATTTTCTTCTCCGTGAAATTTTATTTTTGTTGAGAATGTAAAAATAATTGTGTTGGTAAAACCAAACATTTTATCTACTATTAGGCACAAAAAAGTTGTGTTTATATAAGTTAGACAATAAGTTATAATATCATTGTATTATTTCTTTTGATTAAACTTATGACAAAAAGTGAGTTCAGTTTGCTGAATGAGAGGTTTGAGTATTTATTATATTATATATATTGTTGAAGTTTGTACAAAATAAATTAAGTAAACGATAATATAGAACTTGACTGCTTTATTCCTTGTTTTATTTCAGTCATTTCTTCGACTAAATAAAATATTCCAAAGACACAAAGAGAAGTTTATTTTATTTCAAGTCTATTACTAGTACAGTCCTTACTCTTTAATGTTTTTAAGTTGTCGGTAATAAAATTTGTAAATATATGTAAAAGCAGTCATCAGCCACTAGATGTTGTAAAATAATATTTTAAAACCAGCTCCGTACAACTCGGACAATAAAATTCGTCAATGTCCATTTTTACATTTATTTTGTTTTTAAATAATACATAATACGATATATAGGAGTATAACTGTACATTTTGTAAATTACAATATTGACAACAATAAAAATAGTATTTTTGTGGACTATCGAGACAAGACTAGCCTTTATTCACTTGATTAAATTTTATAAAATTTTCCGATGTCACTTGATCGTCTGTAAGAATTGGAGATGGATAAAACTTTTATTTTTAATAAAATAAAGTAGGTACAATAACTAAATAATAAATAAAGGTAGATAAATTATGTCGATTGTATTTCGCGGCAATTTTGCAGTTACTTGGGGTTTCGAGCAGATTATATCATCCTATTCGAGGAATTCGTAATCTCCTAATTATGATTTCTTAGTTACTACGGCCAAACTGTTCGAGAAAACCAAATAGTACGTATACAATAATATTGCGTGTTAAATATTGTTTTCCAAGAATATCAATTAAATTATGGTAAAATTTTTTAGAACTTGTCAATATATTCACTATTTGAAAATGTTTTTGACAAGCCTGATTTTCGAATAAAATGAACTTTTGATATCCCAAAGATTCTTCATTGAATTTGATTGAATCATTCTTTTAATAAAAAGATATACAAGTAAAAGCGAACACCATAATATAATTAATACCTGTTTTGGTATGTACAATTTAATGAGGGTTATGGCTGACGAGAGTCTACTCCCATGGTGGTGGTCTACATGAGTACCAAACACTCACCACATACTTCATCAGGCCTTACCAGGTCTTGTAGGAGATGGCGCCAAGGCGTCCCTGAAGCAACAACTATGTTTAGGATGGAGATACGATTATCTGTGGCATTTCTCGGCCCTTTGCTGCAATATTGTGAGAAGCATTCCAAATACCGCCAAAGTCATTAACAATTTATTTTCCAAGTTTTAATCTAATAATAATAAAAATAATAAATTTTGTTTTAGTTTACATTATTGTAGCAAAGTTGAATTATATTGGGGGTGTCTAAATAAAAAATAATAATGATGTTACTATTTTTATTTCCGTCTTAACATACTTATTGTGTCTTAAAAGACACACATACAAGATGCTCACCATACATTACAATAATGAATATTAACATATCACTATTTTTACAGCATCTATATTATGTACAATGTATGTGTGTATCCGTCACAGTTCACACCACGATCAGTTGTGATATTGGTGAGACGCCTATTTCAGACACGATGCTGTTTGTAATAACTACTTTAAAATATTCGACGTATAGCGCTTGTTGATAGATGTTATTGTATATTTTAAACATAGGATTTGTGGACGACTTTTTCAATAACGACCGAAGCAAGCGCAAATGCGAGTATGGTCTTATCAAAGTATTTGAATAAAACAATATAAAAAGCTCTAACAAGATTTGTCTTGGAGATCAGCATCACCCAAAATTTTTAAACTCTTTAAAATAATGTATTTTTATAACATTCAAAGTGATTTATTTAAAAGCACTCGCGTAAAGTCAATACTTAAATTAAATAATCACTGTATCTTTCTTTGTCGCAATTAAATTGCTGCATTCAAATTTTATTTTATTGTTTTTGCTACTGTTCTGAAATAGGCGTCGAGAACTATAACCACTATCGCAGTTCACTATGTGAACGCGTTTAAATAGCTTTGTTTATACTTAAAGACAATATACTGGCAGTGCAATAACTTATGCACGACGCGTATCCGATTTTAAGTTAAGGATATGTAGCTGTATAGTAACTGTTCCCTAAGCGAATGTCTAGAAACCTGCGAAAGTGCAGGCAAGCATGTCTTCATTCATATTGAGGCATCCGGTGTTGAGTGTCTGTGCAAAGTTACAGTGCACAACAGTTCTTGACAGTCGAAGGACCATTTTTGATATATAGCAAAATTTATCTAATCTACATCGCGTTAGAACTTGTCCGCAGCATTTACAAAGCAGTCGTTCGTAATTTTATCCGTGATACGAACCTAACGCATCGGCAACGACGGGACCGACGCGTACCTAATTCCAAAGCCTTCGAGGCGCCAAATGAACCTTGATCACAGAATAAAACGCCATTGAACTATCTTATAAGTCTGATAAATATTCTAATAACAAAAATAGGATTTTTGGTAAAAATATTTTCTCGCTTCTTACAATTAACAATTTTTTTTAAATCTTGTGCCATTTATTGACTGAGATAAGATCGCTGAGTAAATATAAATATATACATATAGTGAGAGGTATACTATGGAGTAAAATGAACTAAGCAAATCGTCCACGTTCGAACGAGTTCTCTAGGCAAGCTACACTGCGCTAACATACAATTCTTCTAAAAAACACAAATACACCAAACTTACTATACTTGAAAACAATAATATAACCTCAAAGATGGCTTTTCAATTTTACTTCATTCGACTAACCGGACAAAACAATATACTATTACAATAAAAAATCTACTCGTCACCGTCGAAATTAATATGAACTAGACACAGTTAGTATTATGGGAGATCTGATTTATTACAAAAATACTCTTACAATTAATAAAACTTAGCGTAAAAGACGAACGATTATTATTTATTAAAAAATGATTGTTACAATGCTCGTATCTACTTCGTTATGTTACGACAATCTATATTACACATGACATTTTTACATCTACATAATATTTTTGTCGTGTCATATCTAGGTTTGTCATGTAAAATGTTTTGAACACACGATATTTTTATGTCATTTTATTATTATTCAACGCATGCTTTGGTAGATAAAACGAGTGAACGAAGTGTTCTATAATTATATTATAGGTCGAAAGATATCAATAGAAATTTCTATAGCAGTAGTGAAATATATTAAAGTCAGCTTTTCCACGTCTCGTATTAACTCTTATCGTATATAAGTGAAGTCCAACCCCTGTTCTATATTTACACATTCGCGTTAATATCTCATTTAAAACTAGATTACAAGGAGACGAAACCTATTTCGTCTCCTTGTAATACATTTTAAGTCCTAACTTAAAATGTTTTTATAATCAAAAACCGTCTATATCGAGATGCGAAACGAAAAAAGTATTTCGTTGTAAAAAACAACAGTCCGGAACCGAAATGTATTAGTGTTTCGTGTTGCGAGTGATTGAGATGCACTAATGAGTTTGTGTATGAGTGAGAAAGAGAAGGATTTACTCTGTGTAGTCCCAGCAATCCTTTTCGTAGCCCTCGTGCACGTGCTCCAGAAGGACCTTACGTCTGCTGTCACAGTATCTGAAATTGTGACAGACATTCAAATATTAATTCCTTGATCAATCTTTAACTAGTAAAAAACAAATACTTTACTATCAACGGTATTCTATGTCGTATATATGACAAAAATTTCATAGTGCCATTTTGCTATTATCTAAAAACTACATGTTTGTTGTATGGAAGCACCCGTTTATATTAATATTGTTCTGTGTTTAATATTTGTTGTTATAATGGCAGCACAGTTTTAACATCTGTGAAATTCAACAGTCTATCTCTTCATGAGTTACATTCTGTCAGCAGAGTCATAATAAGACCTAAAACATAATATCCAAACTACATTTTAATAAAACACTTTAACTTTAAACTTGTTCGGCCTGACGTTTGGGATGCTATCCAGCACCGGATCACGGGGTGACTAAAAATGCGTATTACTCCCATAAGCTATAGACGGTCTTCAAACTCCATTTTGAATATTTAAGAAATTATTATTATTATTAATCAATCTCTCCACACAGAACTATGTTTTCATAAGTGCATCAAAGTTTTCACAATCGTAATTTGGACTTACACATACATAGGTTGAAATTTTTTTACCTAATAAATTTCTATGTGTTTTAACCAACCTGTACTTGTCCTGCACCTTCTGTTTGATGTCCGCAAGGTTCTCGCTAGTGATGTCCCGCTCGAGGTACTCGGAAAGCGTTTCCGTCGCCGACTCCAGGTCACGCTGGTTGTCCTCAAAGATAACCGACTGGTTGTTCTTGCGCAGGTAGTACGCGAACACGTATGTGTACATCAACGTTTGCCGGCACTGGCAAAGGATATCCACCGCCTTCTTCAAGAACTGGACCTGTAAATAGCATAAACTATTATACTCTGTGCCCCTTGTATGAGTTCGATTCCATGTTAAATAAGATTTATCTTCTCACCTCGATCCAGCTCATGTTGTGCTGTTGCATCTCTTCCATCTTCGCCTTCACGGAGGCATACAGCTTGGACTCAAAGCGCAAGGACTGCATGTGATTCATATAGCGGTTGCAGTAGAAGAGGTACCGCTGGAGTGCCGCCCGCGACCTCTCTTGGGCGTCCCGGGCTGCTTTAGCTTCGTCTTCATCATATCTGTCGCAAAAAGGTGATAATACCGTCAGGGTTAAAAGTTAAATTTGACGCATACATTTCTAACTTATTTAATTTAATAATTTATTAATTTTTATTATAGTAGAAAATAATATATAAGAGTAATTATTTACAGAGGAGAGAAAGTGTCAGTGACATTTGATAAATTTTAACGAACTATATTATATTGTACAAAAGTCTCATATACATCTTAGTATGAACATAATTCTGCGCTAAGATAATAATTAACATGCTGGCTTTTATTTAAAATATTGTAAAACCATTGTACTACCAAAGTAAATTCGTGAAAATATTATTTTCAGACAAATGAAGAGTAGAGAGTTAAAGGGGGCGTCCCTTACACTCTCTATTGACATAAAGCTGGCAAATTTTGGATTTTCGGAAAGCTTTATCGCGTTTCGGTTTCAGTCTGTGGATTTCCGAATATCCAAAGCCAAAATACGCATCTTGTTTAGATGCTATAGACTGGGGTATATCATCTATTATGAAGTGAGCCCCATACTATGTCTGTCCTTTTCTATCATTAAAAATATACCTATGGACAGAGTCAGATCATAAATACTAACCTATTACAGTTATACCAGCTGCTGCCGTGCGGCTCCCATGGGCCAAGGCACACCCAGCAGAAGTCGGCCTTGCAGTTCTGGTTCTTACAGACCATGTGGTTGCACCCGCCGTCTTTCTCTATCGTCACATTGCACTTCGGACACTCCTTCGTATTTGCAGCTATCCAGTTTGATGTTTCCGAATCGTCGTCACATTTCTAAAGATTATAAGAAATATTATTGCCATTAATAAAAGCAGAAAAGATAACGTTTTGCAAAGGTTTACAGTCAGACGCAGAGTAATACGAGATAAACAGGACCAACCTTAATCCACTTCCTGAGCAAGCAGCAGCGTACGGGATCGTGCCAGTTCTCCCCACAAGCGAAGCAGAATGTGTGGCCACAACGGCAAGTGACTGGTGCTGCTTCCACATACGCGACTTTGATCGCGTTGCTGCAGTCGGGGGACGGACACCAACGAAGTAGCCGGTTACACTGTAATTCCATACATTTTAAATATGAGGTGACATTGCGATATTGAGAGCAGAAATTTTGTCTGTATTCTCTTCTGGAAATCTGTTTCCATGGAAACAGAATCTCATGTTTCTTTTCCTCACTTCTTCAAGTATTGAGATTTACCTCTACAAAGCTATTGGTGATAATGTGTTGGTATTTGAGTTTGACACGGGCGTCGCGGACCAGCCGCATCACAGTCGCGTCGTCGACCAAGATCTCGCAGGCGTGTGCTGCACATGCGATGGTCTGACCCTGTAGAGAAAAGAATTTATTTATTTAATTTAATCATTAAAATTACAATGTCATGACAGGTGAGAGTCCAAATTGACACTGAACTTTAAAAATTAAAAGAATACGATTAAACTATGACTTATAGCTGAATATTAACTAGTTAGTTTACTTCTTAGTTTACTATTACTAATTATCAGTTTATTATTTTATAATCCATATGAAATCATAAACTGTAAAAGCTTCACGAGCTCACTCCATACATCATAGAATATATCTATTTAGTTTGTCTACATTATATACTAAATCATATATATATAATTTAAAGACTAAAAAAGGGTTTCCCATATGAAAGGGTTAATTGAAGTCAAACCTGCATGTAAGTCAATTGTTTCTTCAACAATATAAAATAATTGAATTACACATCGAAAAAGATATATATATATATATATATATTATTTTTAATCGCTTACCAGACCCTCTTCCATAATCTTCGTAGTTAAATATTCACACCAGCACTGTGTACAAAACCTATGACCACATTCCAAGCCAGTCATCATCTAAAACAAACATAAACATACAATATATATCTAGTATTTTTTATTATATATACATATATTTAATTGGTTTTCAGCATTCTACTTTTCATTTATGGCTGGTAATAAATATAAAATTCAATATAGAAAATATTAACGTTTTGAACAAATAAATTACATATCCACTTTAACATATAAGCAAATTATAACTTACTGAAGTGGGAAGGATAGAGAAGCAAATTTCGCATTCCTCAGTCCCGGAAGTGGATATCCTTCTGGGCAGCTGAAAATTTAAAAAAGTAATTTTTAATTAAACATTCTAACTGGGTCAGATTAATATTTAAGTGACCTGACCTAAAAAACCCAATGAGTCATGCTGATAGAGTAAGCATTATACAATAATTTGCAACAAATAAGTTGAAGTTGTGAAATAAAATGACATAAGATATATTTGAGATGATGACCTCATTAAGGAAAGATATACTATAATAAAAAATGTATCTATTTAGGTTTCTATGCATTTATATAGTTTGAAGCCATGCAACATCTTACATCCATAACTAATCCACTTTCATTCACCTTTGGCCTCTGTATGACTGGTTTTCTAAATGGATTTATAACTCTAGCCTCTGAGAAAAGTTGATCCTGATCTCCATCATAAAATCGTTCCATGAGTTTTTCTTTATCCCATTTGAAGTGATTGAGAAGTATACGAGTCGTGGTTGCAGGTATCTATAACAAAAGCATTTCATAAAATTTGTGTGTGTCACAAAATATCCCACATTAAACATACTTAATTGTGTCCAGCAGTAAATTGTTTTCATGTTTGAAAGTAGATTACTTCTATAAGCTAAAGAATTACTAGAATTTTAACAGCTAGATTCTAGATGAGTCATGAACAATTACACATTTTTCCTTCATGTGTTCCTTTTGTGTCTATACAAAAGAAATAGATTACTAGATTCTGTACTCAGGCAAACATTTTCTTGGCATACAACATAATTCAAAGCATTTTTTAGAAAAGCAACAAATGTAGTTTTTGTCAACAAATAAGTGACTAAGGTAACAAAGAAACAATTATTAACATTTTTAAAAATATACTCTTTAAGAAGAGTACATTAGCAAATACCCATTAAATACCACTTCTTAGATACATATAATATGATCATCAAAAAAAGGTATACCCTTTTATTAGGGTATATACATTTTCTTATTACGTTTTTTTACATGAAAATAAAAATGAAGATAATAAGTCTATTTTAATGTATTATTATTAGAGTTCTTATAGAATACCAGAAGTTACCATGGATAGGAACAATTTATAGCAAAAAGCAAGTAAATATACAATTCTTTTGTTCTCCTTTATGAATATCTACCTAAATTAGCTCATTCCAATTTGAGCCATAAAACAGTAAAACATAGTCTGCATTTAAATAAAACGGTAATGTTTTACACAGAACTATGGCATGTTAAATGGCATAAAAGAAAAGTACATCACTTATGATCGAGTAACCTCATTAAGTCCGATCATTGTTTACCACTAACATACTGACCTCGACAACTGTGTTCACGTCCTTGATGCAATCAACCATGTGCTGAACAATCTCTTCCGTAGAAAGCACCTCGTATGGATATTCTTCGAGTTCTGTTTGTCGCTCCCTGGTACTGTGTGTCTCGTCCATGACAAAGTCGACATCGTCTCCACTGGATTCATTGCCAGAATCAACATCGTCTTTTGTGTCGTCTTCGGAATCCATTTTTATTCAAATTATTTAAGCACTAGAGAAATAAAGGTACTGGCTATAACTTCTAATGATGAAATAATTACACCTAAGATTTAGGAAAGGTCAACAATGAAGAAAATAGTTCACCTACGGACTGCCAAAATCTCTGACGTACAAACAGGCAGATACAGATAATGAAATGTTATAAATTCTGCTAGTTACTGACAGAAATTCTTGTCTATACACAGTAAAAAGTCACAGATTTACTTTAATAATTGCTTTTCCACAGACTCGCCAGATTAATAATAGTTATTTTTCTCTCCCCCAACTGTAATACTGATCTTCATTCTTCATAAAGAATATTAATAATGTGTATATTCCATTTTCTAATATCTTTATCTATATATTTTTATTTTATTTTAGAAAAGTGCGTTTGTTAGAACTTTTTTCTAAATGGTTCTACATACATTCTATTTTTTCGTTTATGTGTGCAGTTTCTAAGGACACACTGAATTGATATTATTTGTACATTTTGAAGTGCAAAACATTATTTGTTATGGTGTAACAAACAATCAAAATACAAAAGATTCCGGATAGAATAAAGAAATAATCAGAGTGCAGAAATTTCTATTTACTAGACGTACCTATATAGAAATTCTTTAACATAAAAAATACATACTATGCATAAGAATAACAATTATCATTGATGAAATACACATACTGCACATTTTCTTACTATGGTAAAATTAAATTATCAAATTCGTGTTGGATCGATTCAATTTGGAGAAAAATTGATTGAAGTTCAGCATGTGTCAATTCAACCTCCAAATCCCTTTTACCAGACACGGTCCAATAAGCCTTTGGAACTTTACATTTTTTATGGTAACCTGAACTGATTTCAGCATTAAGTTTCCATGAAAAGTTAGGATTGTCTTCAAAGTAGTCTTTATCAGCTGTTAATTCACCAAGTGTGGAGCTTGTTTCCGTAGACCAGAGTTTTATGAAAAGATCTGTTTTCTGCCCATTAAGACCTATATTTAATAAATCTCTTTTTAAATTTATGGGCATAAAAATGTATTTTAAAATCTTTTTAAATATGTAAACAGTAGTCTTTGTTGCTAGTGTGAGAGAGTCTGCATCAACTTGAAATATTTTTTGCAACTTTTTCTTCTCTTCTTCAGTAAAAATATGATCAGATTCTTGGTTTTTCAACTTTGTGACAATTCGACTCAGATACTGTTCATATTTGTCTTCATCCAATGAGTTCACAATTGATATTCCTTTGCTTAAGCTAAAAAACAAATTATTGTAAATCAAGAATTATTTATTATAAATGTATTTATGTTAATGTAATCTCTTTCAATAAGGTTCCAAAATATATTAATACAAAGTTATCAATCACCTAGGAGACACTTTAATCCAAGAATAATCCATTCTTTAACATTTAATTAGATGTGTACGGTAATGTATATTATGACTCTTCCTTCTTAAGTTTATTATTTAACAACTCGAAACAAATTTTTTGTATTGCCAGACCTAAGGAATACGTTTCAACCAAAGAATATATCTTATTTAATCATGTTTTAACAATCTATGGCAATCATTATCATACAATTATACAGACGTATAAGTGTACAAATGCAAGACCGTGCTAACTGTGTTGCAAGAGACGAAAAGATGTCAGTGTCAGTTTAGAGGGTCAAAATATTTTCCAGCTTGGCAGCTTACGACTACAAATGAGTAGGATAGGTATTGAAATAAAAACTTATATTAATTCTTGCACCATGTCTATATCTGGTCAAAAAATTCGAGTTCCCGAAAACATAGACTTTCCTAAAGAAGAAGAGAAAATATTAAAGTACTGGAAAGACATCGAAGCTTTTCAAACATGCTTAAAGCAATCCAAAAATAAACCAAGGTATAACCTCTTTCATATGGTGCGATTGTGTAAAATGTTGTTTTTTCTTATATACTGAATATATTTTTAGGTATTCATTTTACGATGGCCCACCTTTTGCAACCGGGCTACCTCATTACGGACACATTCTTGCGGGTACTATAAAAGATGTTGTCACAAGATATGCTCACCAAAAGGTAGATTGATTTAGTACATAATAAACACTGATTTACGACACGTTACCCTTTCCTAGTAAAATATTCTATCAATCAAATTGTTTTAGGGTTATCATGTCGAAAGAAGGTTTGGTTGGGATTGTCATGGGCTACCTGTAGAATTTGAAATTGATAAAACCTTGGGTATTAAAGGACCTAGTGATGTTGAAAAAATGGGAATAGACAAGTACAATGCTGAATGCCGCAAAATTGTTATGAAATATGCAAATGAATGGGAAAATATAATCACAAGAATGGGTCGTTGGATAGGTAAGTAATTGTATGAAAAAAAAAAATACACAAATCAACTTGCAACTTATTTCAAGTAGTTTAAAATGTGGGTACTGATTTCAGATTTTAAAAATGACTACAAGACACTCTACCCATCTTTCATGGAGTCTGTTTGGTGGGTATTTAAGGAATTATACAATAAGGGGTTAGTTTATCAAGGTGTGAAGGTAATGCCATTCTCAACCGCATGCTCCACTCCCCTTTCAAATTTTGAGTCTGGTCAAAATTACAAAGATGTTGTGGACCCAACAGTTGTGGTTACATTCCCAACAGATAGGGGCTTTTCATTACTTGCCTGGACAACTACACCCTGGACATTACCAAGTAATCTAAGTCTTTGTGTTAATCCAAAGCTTATTTACATAAAGATCAAAGAAAAAGCTTCAGGTCAGTGCTATGTACTGCAAGAAAACCGATTTCCAGTTATTTTCAAAAATATTGAAGACTTTGAAATCATGGAAAAATTCCCAGGTGAAACTTTAAAGGGTGTTAAGTACACCCCAATTTTTGATTACTTTGTTGGCAAGTGCAAAAATGCATATCAGGTGTTAACGGATTCATATGTCACTGATGATTCTGGTACAGGTATTGTACACCAGGCTCCATATTTTGGTGAAGATGACTTTAGGGTTTGTTTGGCAAATGGTATTATAACTAGAGACCAAGAAATAATATGTCCTGTCGATGCAAGTGGAAAATTTACAGAACCTGTTAAAGATTTTCTAGGCCAATATGTAAAAGATGCAGATAAAAATATTATTGCTAATTTAAAATCACGCAATAGACTCTTGCATTCAGGGCAAGTAAAGCACAGTTATCCGTTCTGTTGGCGCTCTGAAACACCTCTCTTATATAAAGCAGTTCCTTCATGGTTTGTTAGAGTCGAACAAATGAGCAAGGATCTTATAAAGTCAAGTGAAGAAACCTATTGGGTTCCTGATTATGTCAAAGAGAAACGGTTTGGTAACTGGTTGAGAGACGCTAGGGATTGGGCTATTAGTAGGAATAGATATTGGGGTACCCCTATTCCCCTGTGGGTTTCACAAGATAAGCAAGAGATTGTTTGTGTTGGTAGTATTGCGGAGTTAAACAAGCTTACTGGGAAAAACATAACAGATATACATAGGGAAAACATTGATCATTTAGAAATTCCATCATCTCGTCCAGGACAACCTCCATTAAAAAGAGTATCAGAAGTTTTCGATTGTTGGTTTGAATCGGGTTCTATGCCATATGCTCAATGTCACTATCCATTTGAAAATAAAAAAGAATTTGAGGAAGTATTTCCCGCAAATTTCATTGCGGAAGGTATCGACCAAACTAGGGGTTGGTTTTATACACTAATTGTCCTTTCTACTGCACTTTTTAAGAAACCACCCTTTAAAAACTTAATTGCAAATGGCCTCATTCTGGCTTCTGATGGACAAAAAATGTCAAAACGTAAGAAGAATTATCCCGACCCCCTTGACGTGGTACATAAATACGGTGCAGATGCGCTTCGGTTATATTTAATCAATTCCCCTGTGGTAAAGGCAGACAATTTAAGATTCAAGGAAGAGGGGGTGAGAGATGTTATAAAAGATGTGTTTTTACCGTGGTATAATGCTTTCCGATTTTTGATGCAAAATGTAGAAAGAATTATTCAGGAAGACAAAATTCCGTATAAATTCAATGAAAATGCGGATAGGGTAAACGTTATGGATAAATGGATAACTTCGTTTACGCAGTCTCTTATTCAATTTGTTACAAAAGAAATGGCCGCGTATCATTTATACACGGTAGTACCGAGGCTTACTAAATTCATTGATAATCTCACCAATTGGTATGTGCGTATGAACAGGAAGAGGCTAAAGGGTGAGAACGGTGTCAAGGATTGTCAAGTAGCTCTTGACACATTGTTTGGGGTTTTGTACGACATGGTAAGGGTGATGGCCCCATTTACCCCTTTCCTAACTGAATTCATATACAGTACATTGAGACAATTGCTACCAGGAAGTTCTATGGAGAGTGTTCATTTTAACATGATCCCTGAACCCAAATTGAATGTTGTGGATTCTGTCATTGAAAGGGCTGTCGAGAGGATGCAGGCTGTAATTGAATTAGGACGAGTTGTCAGGGACCGTAAAACTATTCCAATTAAGTATCCTTTACCAGAAATGGTAATTATTCATCAAGATCAAACTTATTTAGATGATGTCAACTCTCTATTGAGTTTTGTTTTGGAGGAAATGAATGTAAAAAAGGTAACTTTGTCAAGTGATAAAGAAAAGTATGGCATTACTCTGAGAGCTGAACCTGATCATAAAATTCTTGGTGCCAGACTGAAGGGCGATTTTAAAGCTGTAACACAGGCTTTGAAAGATCTCACAAATGAACAGTGTGAAAATCTTATCTCAAAAGGGTATGTGGAACTAGTCGGTCAGCGTATTGATGTATCAGAAGTACGAATAATATTCCAAGCTAAAGGCAACGATCAGTATGAAGCCCACAGTGATAATGACGTTTTAATCTTATTGAATGTAACGCCAGATCAAGAAATGCTCGATGAAGGTTTTGCAAGAGAAATAATAAATAGAGTTCAGAAATTACGAAAAAAAGGCCATCTTGTTCCTACAGATGAAGTGGATGTTTACTTCGCCGTTAACAAATCAAGCGACATTTCACGAATAATCAATATGCATCGGGAATTGATTGAAAGCACAGTTAAAGCTCCCCTCAAACCCATAGAAGAGTTGTCTGTTTCCAAGCCCGTTGTTATCCAAGAAACGCAAGAGTTGAAAGGCTCTGAATTAAAGTTAGTAATAACCTGGAGGAAAGATGTTGAAATGCCAGTTAGTCCGTGGGCAAATGTAATTCTTCAAGGTGTAACACCGAGATTTGGAAATGAAGCTAGTCAAGGAAGTATTATTCTCAAGGACGGCGATAATAAGTATATTTTTTTAGACAAACTATACAAAGAAATAGAAATATTGTTTGGTTTGTATGGCATGAAATTTTCTTTATGGTGTGAGGGACGTGAAGTAATAAATACTGGTGATTTAAATGCCAAGACAATAGTGGTTTCCTTAACAGAACCTAAAGCTATTGAAGCAGAAACTGTACCATTCTGTAAATTTGTGAATGTTGCGAATGGTAAGAAAACAGCGACAATTTTCCTTGAAAATCCGAAAGGAAAGGTTACAGTAACTAAAGGTGAAGCCTTGGCATTTTTATCAAGTCACTATGGTATAAAAGTAAATGATTTTTAATCAATGGTAACTGGAGTATTAACACTAAGCATGACATGCCCTGTTTTACTGTTAAAAGAAAAAAAATCTTTGCAATGCAGATATGTATCTTATTCAATGTTTACGTTTAAAATGTAAAAGATTGATTGTTGTATGTTTTTCGGATGTTAAGTTAAAATAAATATATTTATTGCAATTACTTTTTTTTATAAATAAAACTGCACTTACTTGAAAGTACTCGACATAAAAACTGAAGTCATTATCATAGGATAGACGACAGACAAGTGTGGGGCCAGCTAATTCTGATGCGATGTGGGCCGTAATATAGTTTTGGACGTTGGAATAATAAAACGAATTATTTTGATTTAATCTTTATTTTAAACGTTTATTTATAAATAAAACAAAATAAGCATTATACAATGTTCACAAATTAATATAATAACACAGATATGGTGTGGCTTCATATTTTTAATAACATCAGACACCGAAGTCTAATTGTTATTCGTAAAATAGTGATGTAGACAAAATATGTAAAGATTAAATAATTCGCGACGAAGACTAAAAGTTGATCATCATAATTGGGGTAGCAATGGAAAGTAACAGCTAATAAATCATTTCTAAAACAAGTAATATCGACATTATGAACATGAAATTTTGTAAGACCACAATAAATGTATTTATAACATTCTAAGTATATAACAATAACATATTACTTTTGAACAATTACAGCGCAGGCGTTGGTTTGCACATAACAATGACAATGATGCACTAAGAGCTGTGTAAAAAATACAAATATTATTGTGCGGACCTTAAAATATGTTATGTTTGGTAACTCCGTTCTGTGTCAATTAATTACATATGCATATACTTTGGTGACTAAATAATTTTATCCTAAAGCATTAAAATTAATTAACCAAATAAAACAACGAAATCATCAAAGAAAAATATGTCTTTTGGCCGTGCTAAATAAATTACTTCGAAAATTAGGACAGACTCTAACATTGTGTAAATTTATAATTATTAATTGGAAATAAAATGAAATTAGAAAATATAATATTTCGATAGTAGTAGTATAGTCAAGATATTAAAATAAAAATATAGTCTCAATAAGCGATTTTGAAATTATCACAAAATAGTTTCATAACTTACTGGAACAAAATGCGAAACTGTCGTGAACGACACCAGTTCTATCACAACACAACATCAAAATATTTTTAGTAATGTTGAAAATTTTTCAATATATTCTTTTCAATAAATAGCCTTCGTTACCTTGCCATATTATAATACTGTTTTACGAGGCGTAGAAAGCTGTTAGTACTGTCTTTATTGCTACGATATCCTGGAAAATATTGCTCTCACAAAATAAACTATTTTAGAATGACACCCATTATTAGATAGATTAAATATACAATATTGAAGGAGCAACACTTACACCTAACGTGACAATAAACGTTATAGAATTCCAATGAGATAGTGAATTATTATTTGATATAGAGATTATAAGAATAATTATTTAAATACAACATTACACATACTAAGCCACGATGACGAATAGAAATATAATTAAATTATTTATTATGCGTCAACAAGTTATACGATGAATGCGGGCATTCGTAATCTTAATATTAGAGAATGTAACTATTAAAGGCTCGACTGGAGTCGGATTCATAAGATAGTGAGGGATTATTGCACTTAGGACTGCCTGATTCTGCTATTTACACCGTCGCGTCGTGTCTACCACCAATGGTAAGCCATTCGCGTACCAGTGTCCTCTCACTGTGCGAATTCAATGAATTAGCAGAAACAGACTACTGGAATCACACATCCTATCTCTTAGGCCGACACCTAGCAAACAGCGATACATTCGTGTAAGGTGAATAAATAATCTGCCCGTTCTCACGAGGCATAAATAAAGGGTTTATATATTTGAACTAAAGATTCATAGTAATCAATTAGGCTACAAATTTGAACATGGGCTACTCAGTGACTAGTCTAGGGCGTACAATCAATACTCGTAACACGAACAACAACAAAGTAAATACACCAATGACGCCGGTCCGGGCGGAGTTTCATTTGTCCTATATTACCTACATTCCTTTTTCTACTGCAGTCCTTACCTGGGAATTAATTTAATTAATTTATGTGACGTTTTAAAAAGCACAGTAATCTTTAGTTAGACGAGTAGAACGCATTTAAATAATTCTATTAGCGGTTTAAAACACGAAATATATTAGCCGGCCAGTTTCGCCAAATATCAAGTACGACGGAACAGATGCATAGCAGTTTTCAACTTTGACAATAGAGACCATCTTTATTATCCCGTGACCACGGCCGCTCCAAGCATCCAAACAAGTTAAACTAATATATTTAAAATTTTAAACCGTTAAACTTTTTTACTTAAATACAATTAATGTTTTTGTATGGTGATAAGACCTAAGTAGAACGCGTCCTTAATTCTATATATCTTGTAACCAAGGATTCAAGCCCAGGACCCTGCAATATTTTATTTACTTACTCATATTAACCATCTCTTAGGAAAATAGCACAGTTCTGACTTACACTAAGTGGAGTAGTGGGGGTGATGATGTATAGGGGTATCCCGTTCTGGCAGCTTCCGGACTTTCATCGTGCCGTCAGCACCGCATGAGAACAGTCGGCCGCCATTATCTGAATTTTTTATACATTTTACTTGATCGTATTATTAAAAGCAGATAACATCTGCAAGATCCATAGATAATAGTGAAAAACTCACCAATATGTATTTGCGTGACACCTTGTCCGATATGTTTGAAGAATGAGCTTCTAGCGTGTTCTCCCGCAAACGTGTGAAGAAGTTGGTGCGTTGCTAAGGAGAATACCTGTTGAAAGTAGGTAACAATAAATGATTGAATCTTCAATAGTAAATCAAGGATATTTTAGACAAAGGCTAAAGCTGTCTCCTTTTTTTGAAGCCGTATCGAAAATTCAAGGGTCTAAGGTCGCAAAACAAAAAACGAACTTTTTCTTTATTCTGCTTTTATTATATACAAAGAATAACCTTACATGTAAAATGAACACACGGTAAGTGTAACGTTTTTAACAATGTTTGTTTATTATGAAACTATTAAATGGTTTAATTTTTGTCGCGTTCTCCTAAATATCGTTATTTACTTTAAATAAATGATTGGGGTTCTTAGTTTTTATGCACATAGCTACTTCGTGAATGCATTAATATTTAGCAAATTGAACCTTAATGTCGCCATCGGCAGCGCCAATTGCATAGTAGTCCTCTTTGGGGGACAGTGCGACGCATTTTAGTGGGGCGTGGTGGGCGTGTAACTTGTGCCGAGGCGCACGTGCACGCAAGTCCCAAACGAGCACGTCACCTCGCCGTCCGCAAGATACCAGAGCGCCAGTACCACCAGCCCATGCTATGCAGGACGCACCGCCTTCATGGCACGTCCAGGCTTAAAAAAAAGTTTTATTCGATAAAAAAAAATCTTTTACGAAAATGTAAATAATAATTTTAGTTTTTTTTTTATAATAGAACGGACAGGCATGGGGTCCACTTATTGTAAGGTGTACCCTGGTCAAATGCGCTATGGAACTATTTTTCCTTTGGATATTCGGAAATCCACGTCGTAATTTTAGTATATTATTATGAGAAAAACATGATGGTTTATACCAACAATATATAGAAAATTTCCTTAAAAATCCTATTTCATATAGAACTTCTTTAAAATACTTACAAACCACCAAAGCCTTTTTAATAGGCATTAACGTGTCCCAAATTGCAACGTTTTTGCTCTCAGAACTGTGACCAGCTGAAATACAAAAAAAACGTGAATATTAAAATGTCGCTTGACTTTTTCTGTCAAAGATCTTTATAAACCGCGTTTTACCTGTCGCTACTAAACTACAGGAACCTAAGAAAACAAAGTCGCTTATGCCTTTGCTATGACACTGGTGAGTCTGAAACAGAAAAAATATATAATAAGAGTAGAGTGTAGCTAGAGTTTTTTCAGCTGATCAAGCATTACATTATTTTCCACGTGTCATTGCACATAATTGTTTTATATAAATTAAAAATCTATTCTATATTTCATTTAGTTTAGTTAATTCAATTAGGAACACGGTAGCTCAATTGGTGCAGCTGATGCTAGCCATGGAAAATTTGCTCGCTCAAAGAAATAGGAGCCTGACATATTACCACAATGGGAGAATAGTTCCATTTGCATAAAGAGTTACATTTAATTAAATCATTTTTTTTCTTAAAGGTTTATGTATGTGAAAGCCCGTTTTCCCTCTCGTGCGGCATGGGGCGAACACATTTCTGTGTCCAACGGTGTTCTAAAGGTTTTTTCTGTGTCCTGCCCGACCGAAACAATTTTATTTTGTTTCCCTGGGATTCGAACCCTGGACCTCTCGCGCTCAACGCAATGCTAAGCAATACGTTTAACCGTTTGACTACAAAGGCGGTCCTTGAAAGGTTTACGAACACGAACGCAATAATAAGGTGACATTTTTAAGAAACGCAGTATCATGTAGGGCAGTTATTATCAAACATGTGAACAAACAGTTTTTATCCAACTTACGAAAAACGGCCTAGGTGGCGCTTGTGGTTGACTAGTCGTATTTTTCGCAGATGGTTGCAATTGCCACATAGCGAGGTTCCCATCTGCATCTGACGCTGCAAACTTGTTGCCGTAGTCGGAGAATCGCACTCGTGTGACTTTGGCGAAGGCACCAGGAGCACGGGGCGACCAAACGCAGTATGGGTGGCCCCACTCCCAAAGCTGGACTGAACCGTCTGCGCCTCCGGTCAGGTCTGCAATAATTTACATCACACTGTATATCTCTTTATAAATGAAGAAGACAGTTAATTTTGCTTTTGATAATAGAAAATCATAGGCGTGAATTGCTAAGGAACTTTTATTTCTATAGAATGTGGTTAGTGATTACGATTAAGTTTATAAATATCCTACCACCCGCTTAAATCCAGATCTGAGGTAGGGTCTACAATGTACCAAGTATTGGATGGATAACGAATGATGAGTAAAACTACCATAGGCCCGTATAAGAATAACGAAAGACAAAACTTACACAATGGTTGCGAAGGATGCGCCGCCATACGCTTGATGTTGTCGATTTTGTGCTTCAAGACCTATAAACAATATTTTACAAGCTACATCACGTAAATGATTGTTGATAAAATAGCATACACGTTAACAGTTGCCTTCTTTATGTTACATGTATTATATTCAACGACATAAAAAGCGATAATAGGGTTATTGATTACGTAAACCTATAGTAATGCAAAAAAAACAAAATACGAGCACATATATATAAAAAACACAAAACGTTAGCATAAAGTCGCTATGCGGCCAAAACGAGACGAAACCATTCTTGCTAAAGGAAAATATACAAAGTTCCAATATCTAAAATGACGTGAGTGAAATAAAAAAAAATGTAAAACCAATCTGGAGCCAGAACAAAACGACAACGGTAGAAACAAATTGAAATACGTCTATCAACTCAATTGTAAAATGATGAGCGTGATGAGAAACAAAAAGACATCCAAAATTTTTATACAACGAAATAAAGCATCTGGCCGTGTATGGGTTAAGGGGGGATGTGGGTAATGCTGGGGGGGGGGGGCATATGTATAGGAGGGATTGGGTCTCGGTAGTCACTGACCGGTTTCATGAGAAGCTTGGAGCGATGCAGCACCAGACGACAGTATTTCGCATCGTGGCAACCCGGAAACTGCAATCCTTTCACCTGCGGTCAACACTTGTTACGATAACTAAAATCCAATCTAATATGCCCTAGGTTCACTTATCCATGTATTTGTCTCCGCCGTTTTTGAAAATTCCTGCATACCATTTGGGATATTGGAACTTCTTTGTTTTTTTTAAGATCGCATTAGACTTGACTGAAGTCCAGCTAAAAGCCAAGCGTTGAGGCGACACGCAAGACGTCACAATTAACCGACACCGTTTTATAAACCCAGCGATACATTTCGAATGAAAGATTGAACGTCAAAGTATTTAAAAAAGGTAAAAGTAAATTGCATTTTAGTACATTTATAATGTGTAGATACATTAAATATATATGTCTGTCTAAAAGTTAAGCCAGAGGATTCCATATGAAGTTGAAATCGAAATATTTAGAGAGCTTTTAATCAATATCATGATTTCTCTTTTTGGTTCAATCGTACATTTGCTCAATTCAATTCGCATCGAGTCAATGTTGTTAGTGGATATACCGTTCACGTACTGTGACAATAAATGCTTCGTGCCCACTTGGCTTTGTGGCAACTTGGCTTGGCCGTCGCTCGTGCTGTGAATTTTATCCTTGTTAGAATCTAAGCGATTATATACCGATACAATAAAATATTAGTACAATTCGTTAGATAAATAGTTAATACCGACGACTAAAATATTAGTATTTTAGAACATATACATGTAAATAAATTAATGAATAATCTATTAAAATACGTAATTTTAGCCAAGCGGTACTTTTGATGTATTTACATAAACAAAGTATACAAACTATTATAACATCAGTTATTTTGTTCCCCACCTTTATGCAATGCGTGCTGTTTCAAAAGTATTATAAATAGATCGACTTCAAATTTATAATATTGTCAAATATCTGGAGGAAAATTCCTTGTTATATGGAAATTGCCTCCTAGTGTAATACAAATTAGGATTTACGAACCACGCTCGCGCCACGTCCAGTCTGGCTAGCCATGCCTACAGGCGCTTGCGGAGCATTTGGGTTCAACGGGGAGCTGTTGCCTGTTCCTGGCACTGAACCACTGTTGCCCCTAAATAAAATGTGAAGTTAGTTCTTGGAGGAGCAATAAGGGTTTAATAGAAAAGTTTAATTTTTATAATAAAAATAAACGAGTGATATTGGTGGAAAAATATACTACTCTTTTGACCGACCCTCTTGCTCTACCTAAAGAAACCGATTTACGGGAATTAACATTGCTACACGGCATCCTACAGTGAAAAAGAATTTCACAGAATACTCTTAATATCTGGCCTTCTGGATCTGTTTTGATTTTCCTGGCATGCATTTATATCACCGTGGTATACATACAATATTATATAAGTCGCGGTAAAATAATGTATATAGAGATAGCGAAAAATGTGTCTCTGACTTGTCATGATGCTGTATTAGTAGAAATCCAGTGTCGGGCAGTGCAGCAGGATCAGCGGCCAGTGCCAGAAGGTCAACCTCACATTCGTCTTCTGCCCAGCAAGCCCCGCCACGCAACAGAAGAGACACATCCATTTCTTGCACCTCTCGCGCTGTGGCGACAGCAAGCAGACCACCGCCCACCTATAAAAGTCAATAGTAAACAATATTACACTTGATTTAAAGTGCTGTTCCTTGTCAAGACCTACTATGGGTTGATGCGTTATGCGGCATAAATAATTCAGCTATACTTACCGCGTTGTTAGTAAGAACGAATTTCTTAAAAAATGTATTTAGAAACAACTACATTAATGATTGGTCCATAATAGCATTTTTTCAAAGAAACATATGACTACTGAAAAACTAGTTTGAAGTAAAAGATTCGTTTGCATCTTTTAAGACTCCGAAAAGGGTTTTTATTGGAGATAATGAATTAAATTACATTATTACAAAAAAAAACGCAATGCCTTGTAAAAGTTGTGGAATCATTTAAATATTTTTTTGAAATTTTTGAAATGACCCCGAAGTTTTGGATGTCAACTAGCCTTTACAAAAAAAAAAATCGAAATTGGTTCCTTCTTATAAACTAACCTTATTGAGGCAGAAAGCTGCTATCGAATCCTGTTCCTTGTGAATGATTCGCACAGGACTATGCAGGTCATCGTCTTGTGGTTTAATAGGAAGGGCAGATGGGCGACCGTCAGTGGTAGTTGTGGTCGGAACCAATTCTCCGCCGCTCACCGATTGTGTACGGCGACGAGAGAACACGGCACGAATAAATATGTCCTGAAATGTAACAGAGTTAAATTAATATTACATTTTAGGTATTTACTTTTTAAAATATATTATGCATTGCTACATTTTTTCTTAAAAAAAAAAACTTAAAAGGCCAAAGAAGGCCTATTCAAAAAAATCACCTGAATCTGTTCCTGCCTCACGAGGTAATTCCAAAGACGTCTCGCTGGCGCCGAGCTATACACGGACGAGTTGAATGGCGTATTGTGTTTCTCAAGAAGACATCTATGAAATTCAAGAAAGAGAATTTGTAAGAATATATTTTATTGTAACTCCAGAAATGTGGAACAAAACAAAATCAATTTTCAACATGATTTGAACAAGAAGTTTACGTTTTCTTTTGTTACTTTTAGGTTTCCCTTGAAACTAATGTCCCCAATTTCCCCCTGCTTATAAATTATGGCTTTATCTAAATTTTAAATGTATTTCTTATTTATTGATTTACCTGTATTTATTGATAGGCGGACCGGTGGTAGTTCTATCTGGGAAGCATCCCGGAATGTAGTCTTGGGGTGCTGGACGAGACTCCAATGTTTCCGATAGCTGTTGCTGCCACTGCTCTACACGACGCAGTGCTGCATGCACAGTGGGACTAGTCGTTGCCAATTCTATTTTTAAAAGGAAAATACGCAACATTATATATTTATCATAATATGTATAGAAATATATTTGTTATTATGCTTAATGTAGAAAAATAACTTTGAGATTTAAAACTGTGCAAGTAAATATTATATTTTGTTAGTTGGATAATCCAATGTCCTCTGTAAAGGAGGAATAGGTGACATGGTTAGCAGATAATGTAGATCCGGCCCTCTATCGGTGACCCCAGTAGAAACTAATAATAATTATTATTTTTTTCAGACACGAGTGACATTAATTTTAATAAGTGAGTACTTAGCTAAATGATAGTGCCAACTCTGTTGAAAATACATATTTATGTATTTTTTGGCTTATTATGGATACAGAGTACTCATTTTACCGAAAGTCGGGCCAAGTTAAAAATATTTTCAAATAAGTTTAACTAATATATCGCGTTTTAAACCGTTAAAGTGTTTTATTTAAATGTGTACTAATCGCGTAAACTATAGACAGTATTTAGAAGAAGTACCTTTAACTCTTTTCTCATTAGCTGATCGACATCGTTTAAAGAATTTTAAAGTAAAGTAGACAAATTTATAATCCTATGTTATGTATACATGTTTCGCTCACCAGACATTTCAATGCCGCACATCTGCAGGAAGTTCTGCAACTTGCTCTGTGCGAGACGCAATACTCCGACCCTCATCACGTACCATGAGTACGACTCGGGATCCGAATGTTCTATGTTGCCTCGGGATTTTGTCGTTCTATATTTAAAAAAAGCTATGTTACAAGGACAGTTATTTTTAGTAGTTACAGGCACTAGTAACTACTAAAAATAACTGTTGAATATACAGCTATACTTAATAGCTATACACTTCATGAAAAACCCTTTTTTAATTAAATGTATCGACCCAGTAAATGTGCGGTCGGCCTACTAAGAAAGGAATTAAGAGAAAATATCATACTTTGTCGTTCCAAACTCATCCATGTAATTTTCAAAACCTTCTCCGTCTCGTCGTCTTTCGGTATGTACACAGATAGACTTATGCGCATATCTCAAACTGTTACATTGTATTTTTATTGGCTTAAAGATATATACTCACTTTGTAACGTTTGTATCGAAAATGTCGTCTTCAGTTTCACTCTCACTCTCATTCTCGTCTTCTATGCCTGATTCCGCTGAATCGTAATCATTATTATCTGGATCTTGCTCTGCAGACGGCTGCAAAAAAATAATTATTAACATCAACAAATAAAAAATCTATCATGCGTATAATCAATAATAACATGTGATAAACGCTTAACATTGTATTGATTTTTCAAAATGTTGAGCACTTCTTCTGATCTAGTTCTAATCTACAATATCTTACTTTAGTTAGCAGGAATGTGAGAATACTGCACTGCGGAGACACAAACTGTTCTCTGTATGTGGGGCGCCCCTCTTGTATGTTTGTGTGAGGCGCTGTCGGTCCCAAACCCAATAGCCGCATGTGCAGAAGAGCACGCTTCTCGCGAAGAGATGACCACACCGATGTTCCTTCTGTTCGTTCTATAATCTTTGGCTATAATAATTACATCGATGTTTAATAAGTAATAAAGCGTAATTCTACTTTTTAATGTAGGTTGCAAATATCTTTGTCCAGCTCTGTAGTTGAATGTTTAACCGTATTGCTTAGCATTTCGTTAAGCGCGATGGTCCTGGGTTAAAATCCCGGGAAACAATAGATTGTTTCGGTCGGGCGGGCACAAAATTGTGAGTGAATGCCCGTAAAAAAAACTGATGTGTTCGCCTCATGTCCCACGGGGGGAAGCGGGATTTCACTTTTGCAAACTTAATTATAAATGTAGTTTCAGAAAGACTCTAGCCTTTCATTAAATGTGTTTTAAGATGATACGTTTTAATTACCTGTGGTGGTGCTGGAGCAGTGGTAAGCAATCTGCGTACACCACCTCCAAATAGTCTGGGGTGTACTTTGGTCTCCATATTATGTGCGGCCAGCCTATATAAGAGATGAGCATCTCTGGCTGCGAGAGCCCAGCCCAAAAGTGCTAGGTAGACAGCACAAAATGCTTCGGCGAGTAAAACAGGAAGGCGTGGTGCATCTTCCTCCTCGGCTGCGCGTAAAGCCAAGCCACGGAGAGCTGAGACACCTAAAAATAACCAAAATCTATAGTATATAGCTTTAGGTTTTTGCATGAGCAAGTAAAAAAACAATAAGGATTTTTTTCATTAGTTATATGCAATGTTTTTTTTATATAATATATCTGTTTTACTCTAGGACAGTGTCTCGCAAACTGTGTGCCGCGGCACACTGGTGTGCCGCGGGAGAATGTTAAGTGTGCCGCAAAAGATTTTCCAAGTTGCACTAGATATTCTGAGATTAATCTATAAACCAATTTCTGATAACTATAAAATTACCCAAAAAGTAATATTTTAACTTTAACTAAATAACCCAGAACGCAGGTACTCGTAACAACAAGATGCACAAGCGAGGGCGAATTGGTTAGAAAAGCACTGGGCGTGGTTTTTCCCCCACTCAACGTATTTAATAATGTAATTTAGCTTAGTGTGCCGCGGAAAAAAAAATCATCAGTTAGCGTGCCGCAGACTAAAAAAGTTTGTGATACACTGCTCTAGGAGTATCAAAATATTGAAAGCAATATAACCAAACCCCATAAAAATACTTACCAGGCCACTTATTGGACGGAGTAGTTACAGACAATTCCTCACTGGAATAACGTCTAGATCGGACAAGAAGGTTTGTGGTACCAGGCGTTTCAGCTATGATTCTGTAAACAAGGATTAGGATTCAACATTAAATCATTTTTACCTGGCAAACTTTGACATAAAAGTCACTGCGGAGTCACGTTTTATTGCTTACCCATCATGATGTTGAGGGTGCTTTAAACTAAACGTATCGGAGTCGCACAAGCTTTGGTAGATGCAAGCAGATAGAGCCACCGCCAATTCCCTTAGTGTATGAAGGATGCGGGTGGCTGAACCGCCTGGCACTCCCAACTCTCCAATCGTGCCCAGCATATCGTGGGCTACCGCCTGACAACAAGATGGATACAGATTATATAAGACAAGAATCATTTATTTACGTAGGTAACTAGGAACACTTATGAACGTCAAACCACTTAAAAAGTAGAATTTGCATTTACTACCGGTTATCAAATCAAGGTCGTAGAACGAACGAAAAGAACTGGCAAGAAACACGCTACCACTCCTTTTATCGCCAATTTTTATTTTACATCAGGTACTTCAAAATGTAGGTTGTTTATCGTTATAAATAACGGTATTTTTTATTCTTTTTTTAACCTCAAGCTTAACACGGCTTTTGTGATATAAAGTAAGCATATTTTCGTCTCATGTCAATTTCATTCAATTAGTGAGAGCGGGATTAAATGTGAGTGAGACATATTAATGTAATAATGCTGACTATGATAAACATGCGAATAACTAAGTATTGGTAATTTTATATATTGTACTCTTAATTCAATATCTTAATGATATCGATGTGATAAGGACAGCATATATACGCTAAACTATATTAACAGTCATAGAAAGCTACTTTATTACCTGCAAATGCCTAACGGGATCTGCAACAACCGTATTATTGGCAGCAACAGCAGCTGCTAGTAACGGCAATGTAGTGGGGAAAGGCAGCGGCGATAGCAGCTGCTGGTGTTGTTTATCCTGGCCCAACTCTTGGAGTAGAAGTACTAGCTCCATACGGACTGATGCAAGACCACCTCCACCCGCACCGTGCAGGGAACAGTACGACAGAAGAGTGCGTAGTAACGTTTCGTTGGCTGAAGGAAAGTTGTGATTATGTACTATACTAATTTTTTAAATCAACAAAAAAATGTTTAGTATTAATATTTAATCGGAACATTTATTAAGTACTAGGTAAAATTGCGAACACTTAAATTGAATTGAAAACCAAAGCAAAATATGTCAAAGGTGTAATGTCTAACTAAACTAAAATAAAAATGTATATATATGGTTTAAGAAAATGGTAAAATTATTAGTTACAATTTAGGGTTACAAAACTTGTCACAAACTTAGTGTTAAAATTAGGTGTCCAAAAATATCTGTAAAGTGTGTGCCTTTATAATACCTTTAAGCCATTTTTTCCTTCTTACTGCACGTTGTACTTTGGCTTCAAAATCAGCTTTCTCACGTACTAATAGTTGGTGTAGTGTCGGTTTATCTGGAAGGGGCGCCTGCTCTGCGTCTGCGCACAGTAGCTCACCGGCAGGGGGCGTGGCTACATAGCCACAGAGACGCCGGAGCGCTTCAACTTCGCGTTCTAACCAAATATAAAGCTGATACCGAAGGTGACCACCTAAAAATAAAAGTTTGACATAACAAAAAAGAAAATCATCAAATAGCTACGAATACCAAAAAATATATAAGTACCATCAACTTCGAAACCGGTAGCGAGTGTACTTAGTTCTTCCATAAGTATTTTGAGGCAAGCGACAAACTTAAGCTGTTGTGCCATGATATCGACTGTAGGAGGTTCTTCTTTTTCTTCCTCGGGTATACCCTTCACGACGGGTTCTTCTTCCGCCTTATTTATTTTAATTTCTAGAGGCGGCGTTGACGCACCGGATGCATCAGACCTGACAATAGTAAAAACCCAGTTATAATTTGTTTTAATAAATAATATTAAAATATTCAAGAGTAACAAGTACAAACTTATTGTCATCGTCGTCCCAGGTTAATACTAGTTCGTCATTTTTAGCAGAACTAACAGGTGCACTCCAATCTAACACTAACTCTTCTGTTTTGGGTGCACTGACCGAAGCACTCCAGTCTACTGTCGACGCACCCCAGTCCGTACTAGCCGCTTCTTCTTCTAAAATCATCAAAAAGTTGAAATCCCGTAAGAAATTTTATACATACATATATATATTGAGTAACATGAAGATTTTCTACACTCGAGCCAATCCAGGATGTAGGAATCAGTAGTTTTCACTCTTCCCAATGATTATCTCAGAACCACCGAATACAGTATACTTCAAAGCTTATAAATTTTACTTTTAGCAATACAATTTAAAAATGAATTCTCTCATGATTTAAAGTTTATCCGGATTAGAAGAAGTTACACAAATGCCCTAAATATTATTTTATTAAGGGAATTAGTCCATTTCACTTACTTTTAGGTTTCTCATCGACCAATTGTCCAGTGTGTATAACATCGTGCTCAACTGTTGTCGCTGCTACTGAACCCTTCGGTTTATCATCTCGAATGCGTGACGGTAACTTTGAAAGCACTTCTAGAGCGAGAGCAGGACAACCCGCTTTGAAGTGGCCGTGGGCTGTTTGGAAATATAATCGTCGTTCTAGCCGTGTTATGCCTTCGTCAGATTCTTGGTTGAGAAGAGCGAGTGTAGCGCCCTAAAAACCACAATAAAAGAAAAGTTACATATAATTGTGGGTAGTTAAGGTATTTCAACTTTAGAGACATTTTTCATTGCTTGGAAAACCTTTGACATTTCATAAATTATTTTAAGGAAAAGAAAAACCTTTATAAAAATCTAGGGAAAGAAAACTAGGAGATAATCTATTGCTAAAATTATAATAATTTCCATTTCTATACTGAATGAAACAGTATGACGGGAGAACCAAGTTTCAACACCTTTAAAATTTTGCATATGTTATTATTATTATTATTTTCTATCGGGGACACCCGTGGCAGGACGGGTTCAGTCCACGTTGTCCGCTGACCATTTCACCCATTTCCCCATTTCCTCCTTGCAGAGATTTGGGTCAATATGTTATTGTACATTGTACAAAATCAACTGAGTCGAGGAGCAGAACGGACCACTATAACCATACCTGGGTCCTGAAGTCCTGTCCATGTTGTATTTTTTTTATCTTAATAGATTTTTAACCATTTGTAAACGCTGGTGCGCTAATCATTAGTGTACAATTAAAGTCATACATACCTGACTAGGCATATTATGACGCTTGAGTCTCGGATGTGTCCGTAAGTACACGTAGAAGTTAAACACACTCGGTTGCGGTTCATTATTGTCCCTAGCAGCATGGAGACGACCAGCGGGACTCAGAAGGGTATCTAGCGCCTCTCCGTATCTTTTCAGTTCCCACAGCGCCATTGATCGTATAAATGGGTCGGGATGTGCGCGTTCTAGGTCTATTTCACCGTCTTCCGTATCGCCACTGAAAATTCAATCGAAGTACATATATTAGAATATTAACAAATACTGAATTCTATTAATGTCATCTGTCTGTCTGTATGTCATCTTACCGAGAAACGAAATGTTGATAAAGCAAATAGAAGAAAAAACTTTTTAGTTTCGTTAATATGTTAAATAAAACATTTTAGCTTGACACTATTGTGATAAAAAACTCACCCCAAAATTTCATGCATTATCAATTTCTTTAAACTCGGTGGCAAAGTTTTATCCGATTCATAAAGTCTCGCTATAACCATGGCCAATTGTAAATCTCCTAATCGAGTAATTAGCACCTGCAACAAAAAAGGCATTAAGATTTGTGAAAGTATTTTTATAAAGTAAGTATATCACGGGCCTGTTGGTTGGTCGGTATATATATAATTATTATTTATAATTATCAATGGGTCTTGGGATTGGTACCACGCGGGGTTTTCTGAAATATGTTGGACTTCATGAGGTAGGAATATCAAAATTCCTTCCGGGTCACGAACCACCGTTCACAGATGAAAAAGCCGGGAAGTTTAATTAAGATACACTTTCAGTCCGTGGATTTCCGAATATCCAAAGCCAAAATAGGTTGACAGCGGACCCTGTTTAGGTGTTATACGGATGGGGTATGTCACCTACTATTAAGTGAACCCTCTCAATTATAAAAAAAAGTAAATAGCATACTATACAGAAATTACATATTTACCTCTAAAGCATCTTTCAAAGCACCTCCTAGCAAGAAGAAAGCCGCCGCGTGCTCAAATCTCTGTTTTCCCAAAAGTACGAAGGCATTCTTAAGAGCAGCTTTGCGCCATCGATCTTCAGTAAAATCATTAGCAAAGAACTGTAAAATATAATTACCATTAATGCAACTAACTCTTACCTAATTAAAAATGATGTATAAGGCATTAGTAGTCATTTTCCTTTTTTAAGTTAAATCAATAGCTTAACTCACCCCAGTCATTTTGTCGTGATGATTGGACCTGAACAACCCCCATAGTAAGGTCTTCTTTTTCATAGCCAAATAGTACAGTGCGGCGTCCATGGGATCCTGTTTTGCCATATACGAAGCACGGGCTAATTTCTCCACGCAGGTACGTAAAAGATCACCACGCACCCACCAGCCGACACCTTTGAATAGTAAATATTATTGTAATAACATGAAACAACAATTTCAGGTGTCCATTTCCAGTGTTTAAGCATTATGTTTAAACAAGTTAATTAAACAATAAATGTATTGTAGCCGTATCTAATAAAAAAATACGGGAGGGAGGACCTTTTTTTTAGTTATTTATATTCTTTAATACATATTTTGAAATTTACAATTCGAACCAGTAGATTAGCGCGTTTAAACAAACAAACTCTTCAGCTTTACATATTATGGAAAAAAAATTTATTTGTAAATGACATTACCCAGTTCTCTCATGGTACTCCATTTGGGCTGCCCTTTAGTGTATCCGGGAACCAAAGCCAGTAGCTGTTCATGGGATTCCGAATGGAAAGCCCATACAAGATTACATGTTCCTACCCCACTGCGTTGTAAGGAGGCGCGTTGAGCAAGCGGCAAGCATCGCAAAAGATAACCGTAGTGTTTCATTGCTAGGAGGAACCTAAGACCGCAGTCGTCAAGAGAATCTGTCGAAAAATATTATTCCATTAATAAACGATATTATTTAATACGTTTATGCAAAGTAGAAACCTAATAGAGTTGTCTCTTTCGCACCTACAGCAACTTTCAACAGCCTCTTTGGTCTTATGGTAGCATCGATGGTTCGTGGGTTCGATCCCTACTAGATCAAGTTGGACTTGGTAGATTTTTAATCGATTCATAATTTTTCTGAACCATGTTCGACTTCATCTGGAAAATCTGGATATGAAATTGGTGGTCAGAATCAAAATTAAAACGCCTTTCGTTTTCTGTGTGTGGATTTCGGAATATACAAAGCCAAAATAGAACGACGGCGCATCTTGTTTATATGTTATATGGCTGGCGTGCTTTTACACCCCTGTTACTTTAGGATTAGACTAGGTAAATATTTATAGAACAAAATTTGTGGTATGGTTTCTTCAAAAGTTACCTGGCATAACTTCCTGTCCACTTCCTTGTGTGACATCCACTTTAGCGTTATTAGTTAGCCGTTCTGTGAAGTCGGCATCACAGGTCGACACTGTATCGGCCAGAGCCAACAGATGCATTTGATCTAAGGAGCTGAGGCCCGGCAAGTGAGTATGGGTTAGCAGTCGAGATAAAATGCGACCTGCGAATTAGGTAAGAATCATTCATACTTCTATCATTGTTAAATGAGGTTAAGATAAGTTAAATGAATTGAAAATATACGGTAAGCTTAAAACATTACAAACCTTGTCTAGGACCAAAATGCGATAACGGTTGCCGTTCTGGCATAGATGGTCTTCGGTCAACTACGTCCTCGTCCTCTAGGAGCAACGCATCAAGATCCTCTTCAACCTCCATCGTCCCTTCAAACAATTCGTTGTAATCCTGAAAATATTATTTTGTAATAATTCCAAGTGCCTTTCGATGATTTAAAATGTGACTATATAAAGACTAGAAAAATTATAACACGGGCAGGACTAGAACCGTCATCTACAGCGGTCCGTGCTCCAGTAGTAGAGAATGCCGGCTCAAGCCCTGCCGCTGTCGTAATTTTAGTCTAAAATAGATTTTTAATTGATATAATGCCATCTTGTGAAAGATATTTAAATTTTCAAAAAGTCTAGACTCATTACCTTGTATAATTTAAAAATCGAAAATAAATTGAAAAAAATTTCGACTCGGGCAGGACTTGAACCGGCATCGTCAGTGTTCCGTGCTGTTGCTCTACCAATTGAGCTACCAAATCCTACACCTCATTGTCTTCTGCTTTGCAGCTTAAGAAATCATTTCAATTTATTTTCGATTTTTCATTTATATAGTGCCTTCATGTGAAATGTAAAAAATAATAAAGTTTTCATTACCTTGGCTTCCTGGATTGTGGATGGATGATGTGCTGACTCTTTGTCAGCAACTAGCAATGTCCAGAGTGGTAAGGGCGGTACTGAGGTAAGCTCAGCGTAGTCTAGTTGAACATCTTCTGTTATCTATATTCATTGAGTATTAATTATTCGTTCGTTAGGTTCGTTATATGCAAAAAAATAACAATCGTATTAACAGTCGATTTGTAAGCTTTTAGAATCTTCGCTTATGCGATTTACTTTCGTTAACGAACGTAAATTTTACAATGCACTGACTAAAATAACAATTAAGGTTTTTGAATAATGAAGAGAATGATTGACGGGGACGGGATTTATTAATATTGCAACCAATATTATGTACAGCTATAAACATATGCCATAATAATTATAATAATCAACATTATTCGGCTTTTTAAGGAATAATTACTGTAGTCGTGTTATATAGTTAGGTACTAAGTGGAAAGATGAAAAATATATGCCATTAAATAAAACATTTATCGTGTACACGGCTGCTGTATAAAATCCGAAACGTAAGTAAAAGTAATAAACAACGCATATATTTCAGGTTTTAAACTGTCAAAAAATGTTACGTTCTCCTATAATTATAGCATGTTTTTATTTTCTATTTTTATCTATTACGAATGTTGTATGTTACCTGTGCAACGCCATCAAGGGGCGATGCGGCGCCGGCTGCGAATGAGACGGACAGCGTGCGTGACCTTGACCAGCCTCGCTGCAACAACGTGCGTCATGCATAAGCCAGGCAACATATTGGCTTGTGCCATGCTATAGACTCGTATTTACATATTCTGCCTATAACTTATATCCGAGGGTTTGCTTTAATTGGAATGAGCGTTTAGAACCATTTTATTGGCCTATAAGGATTTAAGACTAAAATGAGACCAGGTGGGTTGATTGCATAATGACTCTGTGGTAAATAATGTGAACTTCCACCTAAGTCAAGACAATATTTGCAGACTTATAATATTCTCTAAAGGATTGAATCTAATAATTCTAAAACATATATCTTCACACCTGTAAAGAACAAAGGGATCCCACTATACAACGTCTTAATACAATATGGTGTCTGTTTGGAATACATTGTAACATCAAATAGTCAAACAAACCACAACCATAACCAACAATGATCCATTGAAACTAGTAAAGAGTAGCTAACCTGTCGCGATATACTATCCTCGTCACCTTGTGAGCTTCGATTCGTGTATGTCCCACCTATACATCTGAGAAAAAAAAATAATGTAAATCTATTTTTTTCATCAATAAACATTTAGTTACAGATTTATACCTGACTAAATGCGCTAGAATAGCTTTCACCCATCTAATCTTGCCGCTGTTGAGCAGCTCCATCAATTGTTTCGGATGATATTGTGGTAACACCGGGCAAGCCATTTGTGATGCCTCAAAGAGACCAAAGTCTGGCATATAGTTCAATAGAGGCTGAAAACACATACAGGTTAATTTTGAGCAAATTTTTTGTTATGCCTTTATAAAAAAAGGAAGAATATTACTCATATTTAAACAAGGAATAACCGCCTCTGTCGCATTACTTGAGACGTGAGAGGTCCCGCATTCGAATTCCGCTTAGTGAAACGGAAACGGAAATGTGATCGCCCCATGCACCATGGCGTAAACGGAATTGCACTTTTTATATAAGAAATGAATTAATATTGCGAGTTAAGGCCAGATTAATATTTACCTGCGGTTGGTCCGGTTGACTTTTATTCTTGCGTCTTGCATCCCGCTCTAGCAGCTGCAAGTTTATAGAGGACACGCGTTGCAAATGCGGTGCAGAGACTCGCAAATCTGAATCGCGGAGTGCGCGTGATTCGCCGCCTTCCTCGACTTCCTGAAAATATGAACGCAATTATAACTTATACGAATTAATAAAAATAAAGCCAACAAAAAAATATCCTACTAAACTATTAAAGTATACCTGTCCATTTTGTTGTCCAGATGTGATTTGTGGATTTTCCGGCTTCCATTGCGAGTAAACATGCATTTCCGAATCCATTCCCACCACCAGAATTCCATCTCTAACCCATGAAATCTGCATGGGTAGAGGTGGTAGGCCATCTGCTGTTTTCAGCTCGATACGACGGAGTTGCATCCATCGGATTTCTTCGACAAATAATGGCGCCGCGAGGGACGACGCTTTACGAAGAATCGGCCGATTGTTATTTATTGATTCTTTCATCGCCTAGTAAAATAAATTAAAAAATCTGTTAAAAGTAAAAAAATACAAGAGATCTACAATCTAAAAGCAAGAAACCTTCATAATCCATCCTATAAAATTATATATAATGAGATATATAAGTAACAATCGAAATTTGTCAATATTTATAATCAAAGAAACTGACTTGAATCATGTTCATAACAAAGTAAATAAAAACAATTATTAGAACTCATGTTTCTTGTCTATGATAGTAGAGGACCGCATCGGACAAGCAGGTAGCTTCACTTCATGGTAGATGAAGCAGCCCAGGGGTATAACATGTAAACAAGATTCGGCTGGCGAAATATTTTAACTTTAGATATTCGTAAATTCATAATGTTATCATTATTTAATTACCTTGATATTAGCTTGTGCTAAATCGCTCGAGACAGGCGTGAATAGCAGTACCCGGGATCCAACAGCTACAGTCAGTATGTGCGATCCGTCTTCCTTAGACACCCAGTCAAGTTGCACCAAATGCTTCTGTGTGAGAGGGCAAGTGTTCCCGTTCTCCATTATGCTCTTGCGTAACGACTGCAGAGTACTGAACGAGGGTACCGCCAGTAAACCCGCAGACTTGCCAGTGTCCGCTTCCCCGTTGCGATTGTTACGGCTCTCTTCTGATGATAATGTTTGTAGGACCTGGGAATCATTATAAAGAAAGGCGATCAAGTTAGTAGGTACTTAATTTTTATTATCGTATAATATATATTTATATTATTATCTAGCTAGATATATTTTTTTTATTTTAAGTGATAATTGAAATACCTATTTATTTTTTTCATTCATAATATTAGAATATGTATAAGTAACTATCAATTTGTTCAGCACAATTTTTTTAACTACGCTATTATATAGGTATAGCAGGACAGATATTGGCTATAGTGATAATAAGTATTGTCTGTAGTTTACGAGAATAGTAAACATTATAATAAAACACTTTTAACGAAATATATTAGTTAACTTATTTATAATTTTACTACGGTGTAACATTCGAAAAACCCTCCATATCTAGTCCATCACTGATTACGACTGCTGCAAACCATCCCAAATGTCCCGACATAGTTAAAATAAATTGTAAAAATGTTAACTAATATTATCTTATGTTTTAAACCGTTAAAATTATTTTATTTAAATAGACCTTATGAAGCATATATTCTTGATTAATGTTTTTCGGTTCGACAAACCTGATTGATCCTCTGTTTCTTTTGCATGAACGTAGTGTCGTGCAAGTACGATAGATCAATCTGTGTGTCGGTACACACTCCAACGCGGGGTAGACTGACATTGCGCAAAGGTATTGTGTCTTCTAGCAGCCACTCCGCGCCCCCGGTACTCTCACACTCGTAGACGCAAACGCACAGGTTGACGAAACGTGCGTCCGGGTTGTTCAAATTTGTTGCGGACAGCCCCTTGGGCCGCGTGAAAGAGCGACCGCATTTGTACGCGCACGCTATTCGTCCGGAGTACGCCGCACTTATGTGCAACGGTTGACCTAGACACATACAACATCGCTACAGCACCAAAATAAATATTTTCTTATGGTAGAAGAATACAGAAATGATAGGGGATCAATTGATAGTAGTTGAAATATCCCAGTAACTAAACAAGATGCGTTGTCGTCTTATTATAGTTTTGGATATTCTTAAACCACAGACTAAAACCAATACGCGATTAAACGTGGATGTCGTGACCCTGACGGAATTTCGACATTCCACCACCCCACCACAAAAAAAAAATTGTTTTTATTTTTCTTATAAATAACTGTACATCTAATCCTTGATATTTATAGATATTGTTTTGTACCTGGAATATCGATAGTAGACTCTTGATCTTTGTTCATCATCTCCCATTCCTTCCAAGAATATTCAAAATCATCATCTTTTTTAGTCACGTCACACTTCCAAAATCTGGTGATAATAAAACAAACGTTGCTAATGGACCGATACAGAATATCAGGTGAAAGATATAAGAATAAAAAATATAAAAACAACATAAATGTAATGGAAACACGAAAAATCAAGGTCTAATGATCTTGTAAGCAATGCCCTGTTGTAGCGTCATGCGTAACAATTAAAACTTATAGCTTTACAATGGATGCATTATAAGAGTTTATTGTGTTATAAGTTCACATATAGAATACCTCAGGGTGCTGTCGGAGCAAGCTGTAGCAAGTATGTATGGAGCAAGACAAGCTGGGTAAATCGAAGCAGAGCTGAGATGGCCAGCAGCCGGTGTCGCGTGGATGACATCCACACCTTCTGGGAGAGATAGAGGGCACTCGCATACCTGTATTTGGAATAAAACGATAATTACTATTAGGTATATTTATAAGCAAATACTTCTTGATCAAATAAGGTTTCTCTAACAATAAATAAATTCATTGTTTAATTTTAAATAATAACTAAAGGATAAAATACTGTCTGTAGTTAACGCGAATAGTACACATTTAAATAAAACACTTTAACGGTTTAAAACGCGATATATATTAGTTAAATTTATATGAAAATTATTTTAACTACGGCTCGACGTCTCCCGTGATCATTAAAACAAATTTCAAATAATTTTAGTTAATATATATCGCGTTTTAAACCGTTAAATTGTTTATGTAACCTACAGAATATTTAAGAAAACATACCTTCTTAGTAGAAATAGATAGATGCGAATGTATGTGATGGGTGGGCGCAGCCTGATCAATGTCTGCTGACACGGAGTTCTTTCGTGATTCTCCTCCCTCCTCTTCCTGTACTAGAGCACTATCCGGAACATACATCATACTGTTGGTCATGTCATCTGAAAGTATTTTTTTTTATAAGAATAAATTGGTTTCAACAATAAATACTTAAAAAAGGTAATCTTTTGTAACAAAATTTAATTTAAGCTTGTCGTAATATTATTATTTTACTTTTATTATTATTATTTTTTTATTGTAATTACATTTATTTTCACTACGTCAATTTTTTTTTTTATGTGAGTTCAAATATAAATATTGTCAAATGTTATTGTCCGATACTAATCGGATACTTATTAAAGCAGCTCGCACGACGCTGTGTTTTAGTACAACGCGTCCGTTGCATATATATCTGTGGCGACGAGAAAATACCTACGCGTATAATGGCGGATATAGATAATGGTGAATATTGCGCCATTGTTGTTTTACAATACGTTATAAAACGAGAAGACTTTTAAAAGTAGTCTAAATCAAAGGTTTATTGCTAGTGAAATCGGTTAGCGGAGATCGCATCTACCGGCGTCCGCTAGATATATAACAATAAATATTTTCTCATACCGCTAGGATCAGCTTGCGAAGAAACAGTGAGTCTCCACATATGAACCGTAGAACCACCATCTGTTCTCTCCAACACAACGATATAGAACGGTTCATTAAAAACTGCGGCTTTGCGTAGATCTACTATTGCTTCCATGCCCGCTTCCGTAATAGTATTGATATCTCCTTCTACACCGGAGTCTGAACTCTCTGTATCGCTTGATGATCTCTCTCCTATGAAACAATTACCAATATATAAACATTCCGAAATTATTACATTTTATGGAACATTTTGGAGGGCTCGTTGGTGTGATGGTAGAAAATCTGAGGCTGATAATCAAAGGGGTGTGGGTTCTATCCCCGCCCGGCCGAATGTTTCTTATTCTTAAATGTATAATTTTTCTGAAATACTTTGGACGTCGTCAGAAAATCTGGATATTAAATGGGTGGTAGGGAATATCGAAATTCCGTCCGTATCACAAACCACCGTTCACAGATGAAAAAGCCAAGTTTCATCACGTTTCGGTTTCAGTCTGTGGATTTCCGAATATCCAAAGTCAAAATAGGTCGACAGCGCAACTTGTTTAGGCGCTATAGACTTGGGACATTTTACTTACCATGAAGCGAACCCCGTGCTTGTCTGTCCTTCTCTATCATTAAAAGAAAAAAAAATCTTCGATTCGGTTTTGGTACCTGTTATTAACTGTTCTTGGAATACGTGCAACAGCTGCGTATTATGCCAGTCGTGGGTTGCATCAGCAATAGCATGCAACTGAATAATAGCTCCGGGACGCGCCGTTGACTGCTGCGATACAATCTTGAATCTATCATGAAGGGGTACACCTCCTCCCTCTTCAACAGTTGAATCAGATGATATGGACATCGTATCGTGCTGAAAAAAGAGTAGCAATGAAGTCACCAATATTAATAATCTTTATTAATTTCTAGTTCTCTAAAACCTATATTTATGAGAATTAACTTATTTTATTTATTGTAATTATTTTAATATTACATAAACAATGTTACTTACCATGACATCTTTATGGCGTCTTTCGGAGGAAGCTATTTCCGCTAGTAAAGTTCTAGCGTCTATGACAGCTTGGAATAAGCGTAAACTTTCTCCATCGCTCGCAACGAAACAGGCGGATGGGGAATTAGATAGATTTCCTAATGTAGTGCTGCAACGTAAAATACAAATACGTTTAATAGGTGTATCTAATAATAGTATTTATAAAATAATTTAATACATTAAGACTTTTAAAATAATTTGCGCTTGTTATAACGTATAATATGATATATAACGTATAGTATGAGTTACTAACCTTGGCAGTAACGTAGGCAGCCAAGCTACATTACTGAAGGCGGAAAGGTGAGGCGAGTTAACTCTCGCCAGTTCAGATACACCACCGGATTTCCCGAGAGGACCTACGCACTCGACTCGCCACATTATCAACTCTGAACATAGGCCACCCGCTGCAAATTGATCGTCTGTCGGACCGGCGTCTCGCGCTTCATCTATTGCATAGAGAATGAGATAAATAAATATTTCTTTAATAAGGTATAATAGTATAACAAAAGTTAGCGATGTATCCGGCTCAAAGGACTAAATGTTAAACTTACCAGATATATTGTGATGACTAGTAGTGAGTAATAAAGGTAATACTGGATGGCATGTAATGTCATTCACCCTGAACCGATGACCTGAGGCTCTTGAAGCATGACCAATAGAGAGAACCTTAAAAAGTATTTTTTTAAATGAACAAGTAACTATTCTATAAGGTGTAGCAAATACACTATTGTCTTTGAGATTTCATGATTTTAGACATACCTGAGAGAATTTCGATTTGTCATCGAATGTTAACTGCCACAGGTTTAATGTGCCATTAGTGTGATTGGTGACCATCGATATAACGGGAGCAGATTCCAGCACGTCGCTATCTTGGTTCTCTGTATCTTCAGTTGCGACACTCGTTTTACGTTTCATTTCGTTATTGTTTTCTTCCCTTGTACCTATAAATATCACTTTTAAGTAACGTTGTTGTAGAAGATACTGTTTTATAGATCACAGGGAAAAATGTTTCATCAAAAAGGAATAAACATTTCTGGTTGACACTTTCTCATATCTAAACTATAATATACAGATTAATCTTCTGAAACATAGTGTATATTGTGTCTTTGCTTATAATGCGTCGAAGCGCGTTTAACTGTGGGAAGCATTCCAATTGCATCCGGACAAAAAGGCAAAAAAATTGTAATTCAATGTCTTAAAATTTATACGATTACTTACCATTTTCATGATTTTCTTGATTTTGTTCGTTTTGAGGCCACTCGGCCTCTTCTTTCTCTTCTTGGACACTTGCTAACGGTGTGGTTACTGTTTCCGGTTGTTGTCCTGATGATAATTACTATTTATTAAGTTGTTTAGACACAATACATATGACTAAAAGTTCCTTGTGCAATAGCACTAATAAATAATAATTTGGTTTGAGAATTTTATTAATCGTTTAAAAACATTAACGATTTTGATTGCTTCCGCATTGTGAATTTAGATATCGGTTCATAATTAATACATACCAGTTATAACTGGTTTAGTTCTATGTCGCACGTACAAAGGCTGCGCCGCCGCATGGTATAAGGCAGCTGGTGTACACATCGTTGTCGCGTCTCCGAGAGGGAATGCTGATGGTATTCGTGCTGAGAAGGACACTTGAGCTTGACGTATCGCACCAGCTTGTAACTCATCAAGCCATTCGCAAACCCTGTTATATTATATGCTATTTCAATTTAGGTCAGAAGACGACTTAGCAAAGATTGATAGACTTTATGAAGACAGGGTTGGAACCCTTTGAAAGATTGAAGTCTCATAAAATAGTATTGGTTAGATACATTATGTAATGATTGGTATTAAGTGGAGGTACCACTTTGTATTGAAATTGCAATGTATCATCTAAGATTTTTCATATCTACTCACCATATAAGAAAACTACCGTCAACAGGATGTATAGAAAACAGTAAATCGGGGCTCTGATGCCAATCACGTAGTAACGCCTCGATTTTAGCGTCCAGCGAGTCAGGTAGATGGGTGCAGGTGACGTCCGTCGCAATTGAGTTGATTGAGGTCGTATTGGAGAGGGTTGGGTGACTATTTCCATTTCCTGTTAGAGTATGTTAGCATTGTATAATACTGTACGTCTCTTTCTTTACGATAGACTAGAGCAGCTTTGTAAAACAAAACGTATATATCTATCACGTTTTGTTTAACAAAGCACGAATATCGCTAAAGTGTTATTTTTTACTAAAGAAACACGTTGATCTTTCTATTGCTTGGCTTGTAGTCTTCGTGGCACCATCTGTGATCCATAGGACACAACTAGATACCAATGCTAAGTATTTTCAATTCAATTACAATCTAAAGCGAACAAATGTACGTATTATATTAACCTTTGTATCGTAATGGGACAAAATAACAAGAGTTTCAGATAAAAGCTTCAGTAAATGAAAGCAAAAGCCCGTCGATTTTTACCTGCTTGTTCGTCGCTATTACTGTTATCCTCAGAAAGCCCTTTAGTCAAGTGTTGGCTTGGTCGCCTATGTCCTACTTAGCAGCATGAAATAAGCATTCAACTCAATCAAGAAGCCAAAACTTATCGTTTTGCATGAAACTACGATTAGATCCTTTACGATTAGTTAGTGTGTGTTTATGCATGTATAGTTTTAGTGGATGTTATGTGTAATCATATAGGATCTTTAGTTGCAATGTATCGAGAACAGATGATTAACTGATGTTATAAAAATAATAATACGACACGTCACAATGAAAGGATTAAAACACGACATTTATCATTAAACAAAATGTTCCCGTTGTAGTTGTAGTAGTAGGAAATATTAATATTAATAAGAAGTCTGATACAGTATTTAAAATCGCGTTTCGATTAGTTTAAACCGTTGAACACACTTTAATGATGTCTTACTTTCGTGGTTCTCGCCATCTAATTGGGTGGTTTGATCTGACGCGGAGCCACCTTCTTCGGTTTCTTCTTTGTCTAAAATCTGTGAAAAAGGGATAAAATCTTCAAACATTTATTTAGAATAGAAGGTAATTGGCATATCTTACTGCATCAAATTAAAGCTTCAAAAGACTATAAAAATCATATTCATTTTTAACTATTTTAATATATTACTCACTTTTTTGGTTAGATCATGCAATATCGCCTCGGCTTGGCTTGTAAAGTGCATCTCCTTATTATGCAACCAATGCAAAATAAATCGACCACCCCCTGAGAGTGATGGCACCAAGGGAATGTCAGTTTCGGCATTAATTGACGCTGCTAGATGGAAGTGGAGACCTACAAATAATAATACAGGATTGTGGAATTTTGCTTAAACAACGTAACGCTAATCATGAAATATTTTTTTTTATCAACATAGGCCAGTCACTTAGGTCTTGCTGTAATTTATTTGATGTTAAAAAATATAAACTTTAAAAAAAATATTTATACTAAAGAATATTCGGAAATACGATGGTTTACTAACCAGCTGTGTATGACGTAGCGTGGGTCGGATTATGGAAGTCGTGAGCACTGTACGTCGACGGTAGAGTCGGGATAGGAGCACCGGGCTGTTTAGACGACTGAGCCGTACGTCTGATGTGGAAACATGTTCTGTAATTATAATAACACGTAAACACGTATTATCTCACGAATTGTATCTATTAAATATACTTTCATAAAAATCAATTAAATAGATAGTAAAGTTTGTTTGAGTGTATGTCTTGTGTATTGCCCAACGCTTACTTCATATGCTTAAGTCGCTGCATGAAGCGGTGTTTATGGCGGTGAGTCGCTCGCTGCCGACGCGGTGGCGAACGCGAGTGCGCCGTTCCACAGCTCCCCCATTCATCCTCTGGCAACAACGTCTCCGCCCATACGCGGCAAATGTTATCCACGCACGACGTCACTAATACGTTTCCGACGCTTCCCCTAATAAGAAAATATTATGTACTGAAATGCAATTGACAGTTTAGAATAAATGTACAAATTCTATTTAAGAATATAATACTAAAATTATTATTACTCTACGTCCAATACGACATGTGGAGTGAAAAAAAAACACCAAAAACGGGCGCAACTTTCCCTTCACTTCTTCTAGGTTACCAATTCAGCTATACTTATAGGGCTGTAGTTAATTATCGTAGAACGAAGTAAGTGTGTTAATGATTAGCGAGTTTACTCACTTGGGCATATATTTGCTTGTCTTTCGCCACGAGAGGTGAGTAACAGCACGTGGATGCGCGACGTATATGAACGTGTAGTTCAAATCCGGGGGTGGATGTTCGCCGTGTGTGTGAGCTAATACTGCAATTATTGATATGAAAATAACAGATCAAGAAGCATATGATAGCATAAGATACAGAAGTATCAGTCAGTAATTAGTAGATGATATAAAGAAACCCTGATTCTATGAAATCTAACGATTCTGTTAGATTTACATCGTAAAAAAATACGTTTTACCACTTTAATATTTCTTTGCATGATGTTGGTACATAAGTTTTAATCCGAGTAATTAGTTATATATTTAAAGAAATGTAATTTAAAATGTATATTAATAAAGAGGTGGTTCAATAATAAATTATACTGGGTTAACTTAGATTTAGATAAACTTGTATACCTTTGTTTTGGTACCATATCTTCACGAGCCTATCGTTTATGCCGGAGGTAGCGAAAAGGACGCCATCGGGTGAAAACGCAAGGTGGTGCGCCGGCGTTGCTGTATGGCATTGCCATACGCATAACCATCCCTGAAATAAATAATAAGACTCATACAATTTGAAAAGAAAATAAGGGAACAAATGATCTATTTTCTAATTTGAATTGAATGCAGTGTTTGTATAAAGATAAAATGGTAACATAATTTTATAGGGTACTTCATACTTTTTGGTTCATTCTATCAATGTTCCAATACCAACAAGTCTCCTTTCCAAAGAAAAGAGAGTATTGAAGCTAATATCCAATGGGAGTAGCAATTACAGCTCAAAAATAGTGAAGATAACCAAGAACGATATTTTAATGTGCTCTGCGAGGCACAGAACAGAACAGAACAAGTTAACATTTCGTCCGACCACGAATTCGAACGCCGGGCTCTACAGTCAAGTTAACTGACCACTATACGATCGACCTGTAAGTTATTTAATTCAACCAAAGTAGTGAAGTCATATCACATAAGGTTCTAAGTTTCACAGTTCCAACCATATGAAAAACGTTGGACGAATGTCGCTATCGATTTTAAATTATCCCCAAGCGAAGGATTAGCTTGAAATGCTCGAAACCATTAAGAGTGATGTATGAAGGTCACTATTCCATTTTACACCGAACGCAATCTGTGACCATTTACCTGAACAGTTTCATTCACAGGCACTGGATTCTCTTACGCCACGAGAGGGTTACTCAACCAAAACTATTTAGTTTTTATTTTGCCTGATTTGAACCGAAATCTCTCATGTTTAATACATTGTTAGTTAACGCTTTTAAGTTATATTTCATGGTTTTAACTCATAAGGCATATTTTTTATGGACTAAAACGTTAAACGTATGCTTGATCTTACTATAAGGCAGTGTACACAATGTTACAATTATACAATGATATCAGTGGCGCGCTTGTTTTGTTTATCTTATCTCGTTAGCTAACAATATACACTCGATCAATTTGGCTCACCGGTTCCTCATCTTCGGCCGGTTTCGGTTTCTCGTCCTTGTCACCGCCAATTTGGAACGTGACGCCTGAACTTGCTGAAATATTAAAAAAAAAAAACGTATTAAAGGCACCGGTCAAGTGTAACTCGGACTTGCGTACTTAAGGTTCCATACCATAGAATAGGTAAACAATAGTAAGAATACAAATATCATATTGTCTTTAGGTCTTTCAAGTGCTTAATAATTGCCTTACATAATTATTGCATGTAAATGTGGCAAAAAGGATATAAGATCTCATTTGAATGGAAACGTATACCTATAAAAGTTTTATATTTACTAATATATTATAGGTATTTAATTGAACTTGAAGTGCAGACTATATGTGCACACGGAGCACAACATTCAGAATTATATTTCATTTTATTGTAAAATTGTGTAATACATGTTTAATGTAAAATATATTTAGGCATATAAACTATTAATTTAAAATAAACAAGTTAAAGATTACGCTGCAGGGTGGTACACAGAGTAACATACTACCCTCTGTAGCGTTTGTGACACCGTCGTAACAATAAGGTTAAGACCATTCAATATGTCAAGAGCGCTGCTTAACTTTAAAGGGAGTACTCTATTCTGGTCTACGGTAACAGAAACTATATACAAGCTAATCTCTTTTCAAGCCGAATAATTTGACCTAAAACAGAAAATCAATAAAACACTAACTAAGAAAAGCTACTGGAAATGTGCCAGGGTCTGTTACCGAAGTAATTTGATATTCCCCTGGTTATAAGCGGGGATAAATATTAAACATTTTTTTCTTGTAGCACAGTGGTTAGTGTTGCCTAACTTTGTATTAAGCTAAAGAGATTCTGAGTTCGATGTCTGGGGAAACAAAACTTTTCTGTCGGGCAGGGCAGAGCAATATCACTACTACTACTACTATTTGGCGTGAAAATTATCAACCAAAGAACAGACACAGGTAGGTGTTCACCGAATGGTTTACAGGACCACAAACACACACTTTTTAAACAGTGAGAATCAAAGTTAGTCTCCCTGTGACCGCGGCTACTGCAACGCATCTAAAACGTCGGGACGTAATTAAAATAATTTTCAAATAAGATTACCTAATATATATCGCGTTTTAAACCGGTAAAACATTTTTTTTATCATAATTAAGTCTCAACATCTGATTTTTCTTATTAATTAAATTAGAATCTTTTATTAATTATACGTATAATTATAAGCCATACATGTGAAGAAAGTTGTTAAAACAAATGGGTTCTTACGTTGACTGTCATCTTGATATAGCGATGCTTGATGCCACAGCTGAAGTATCCTACCACCGGTGAGAAGCCTCGTCCCTTCCAGGTTCCAAGATAGCGCTGTTATAGGCCCATCTGCCACCAACTTTCCAGTTTGAACCCATCTGTATTCTAAACCCTTGAAGCAAATTAAAATGACGTCATCAGACAACAGGATAAAGATACAGAAGTTATTATTGGAACGCACGTATTCTGTATTATCGTTGACTTAGCTACAAACGGATTGTTTTAAAACTTCTTGAGAAAAGAAAAGAAAAACGGTTAAACATCTTTTTTAAATACAATGTATTTGCTAATTTGGAAACCATTTATTTATTAAACTTTATTAATTAAAACACTGCAGGCATTGTTTACATCTATAGAAACTGATGAACTAGATATACGATTATTTTTAATTACAAAAGATGAAAGAAGGAGATATTCTTTCATCTTTTTAAAAGTTACTTTCATTCTTGCTTTAAAATTATACATACATAAATTATTATTTTTGAATCTTTTTTTTTTAAGATTCGAAACATTAATATTATTCCCGTGATATCTTTATATAATCACTGGCAATCGAACCCACTACCACAGCGTTGCGTGCTGTTACTCTGACTATTAGTCAGTAGTAGCGCAGTCGGAGGTTCGAGTCAGTAAATCTAAATAGATTTTCCCTATTAGGTTTTAAGTGATGTAGAAGAACAATACGACTGCTTAGCAGTATCGTAATTTGTTTCTCCTGCAACGATGCATACTTGCTTTCCCAAGTACAAACAAAACAACTGGAAATAATATGTTTACTGTTAATGAAACCATAGTTAATTTTTCTTGTAAGATTTCCACTTCCCACTTACTATTTTAATTGCATTACTTGTGTTTTAATGCAAAGTGTACAACTTCATTCTTAGTTAGGTTATTAGCTGGGCCTAATCTTGTAATTTAAGGCCTCGTACGAAGATTATAACCCCAGTTAACCTTTGCATTCTATGGATTTTAGCGGTCGCTACTATAACAAGTCGTAAAGTTTACCAAACTATAATGGCGCCTGAAAAGTGCGACCAACATAACTATATTTTTAACACTTTTTATATAATGTCCCCTTAGTTCATAGATAATGTTTAATTTCATGCTTTACATTGGTTTCTATAATTCAGATTTACATTTCCACTATATTTGTTTTTATATTCACAACTATGTTACTCGTAAAGATAGACATACTTATTCTTTCATACATATTTTTATGGTTTCTTGAACCGTTTTCGCACGCAAAGAAATCCCTCAAAGTTAAATGAGTTTCCCCGTTTTATCCAAAATTTCCAGTTTCTTTGCTTCCAACTGGTCGCTTGATGTTATATGGCTTAAAGCTTTTCTCGATTAATGGTCTATCCAACACATTTTATTTTTCAATTCGAACCAGTAGTTCCTGAGATTAGCGGGTTTAGACAAACACATACTAAACTGAATACATACACACAATGATCAATCAGCCTTCATTTTCGTTTCGCCGAACTGCCCGATTAAAACCTGTACTTTTCGTAACAGTAACAGTAACACGACGTAACGAAGTTAACGCTATTACATTATTATGAAGCAATTCAACACACAATTGTAAGTCATGTGACCGACTCGAGCTGAACAATTTGATTCCAGCAAACCCGTTTAGATATCTTCAATACGTCCGCTTCAATTTTGTTACACTTTAAGATACCCATTCAATTTTAATGGTAGTTTATTATTAACTAGCGACCCGCCCTGGCTTCGCTAGAGTGCAATGATAATACACTACAGTAAAATTGTCACCGTTGTTCCACAAAATCCCTCTCGAATCACGTTGTGAAGTTTTAAAGATTTAAGCGTACATAGGGACAGAAAAGGCGACTTTGTTTTATACTATTTAGTGAAGCGTTCCTTCTCTCTGAAAAGATAATATAATCAACAGGACGTAATTGCGCAGCGCGTATTAATTAATCTTCATATATAGGTATTCCACTGTTGTATTTTGAGGTCGAAGCGGCAGAACCTAGGTATTCAATATTCATGTTTCAAATCACTTGACGTACCTACCTCAGACACTTTCTCAGGGAGTAATTTTTTTACAACCTACGAGTGTGAAATAAGCCTAACAAATTAATAATGATTAAACTCATTAATTATTGTAAAAACCGTAGCACAAATGATGCGCATCGTGTTACATGCATCTATTCAGTGTATATTTAGAGCAAGAATAGAAATTAATACGCAGTAATTATACAACACCTTTTCAATTCGAAGATTAAAAATGGTATTGACTACTCCTTTTAAATGTCTTTTATTTACTACTTTGATCCCATATTCACACAAATATTTTAATTGCACATGTGAGGGATCTGTGTATGTCTGTCGCTATTTCCCTGCTACAATAGCTTAAAAACGCACACAGACGAGAGCGGCTAGACCTAACACATAGAGTGGCTTTTATACACGAAAAATTGTTAATTCTTACTAGCTAAGTATAATTATACGTTTAATTTAATTTAATGTACCGCATAAATAATAGTTTAGGATATGATAATCTATTTCTCGATGTATCATTGGAATTAAAAGTTTATTTCAAACATAAATATTATGGGTAGATGACTATTTCAAGATACGATTCACAAAAGTAGTTAAGTACAATGATAAAAATAGTGCGTGCTTTCCACGCGTTTGTCTGGACATTTTAATCATTAACCTAATTCTTCATTTACTTTCAGATATTTCAGACGCGATGTGCGTTGAACATGTAATTGAAGAGAAAATAAACAGTAAAGTGTATATAGCATCAAGGTTACGCTCGACCATATAGTTTTATTTCAGCTGATTGTTCATTGAATTTTTATACAATTTAAACATTTTTTTCACAATCTAAAGCTTTCACTGGAAGGAGAAAGACGATCAACTCACATTGTATAAGATTCAAAAGCAGCACAATCCTATTATAAAATGCGAGAAGAGATTCTAAGATAATAAAGAAACTAGGAAGTCCTAGAAGTACTCATTTCGACAACTGGAAAATTAGGCAATATTCTTATAGAATAGTAGACTTCCAGCATTGGAACTTTTAATGATCATAAACAAATACAGTGTAAGGAATAGTTTCATTTAAATATTTACTTTGCTAAATACCATGTGAAACACAAGTACTTAATAAAATGTATAAAACATATCTTCTTAGACTAAACTCGATAAAAGGTTAACTTTCTTTATCCTATATCAAGAACATAATATATCAATACATGTCAGATAAGAATGTAAACAAAGATAAGTTAAAACTAAATAGCTTATCTATATTTTTAAAGTACCTGTTTTTCAATAAATCTGTATACATAAATATAGAAAAAATATTTAATATTGACAATTTAATTAAACACAATACTGTAAAATATGACTCATATTTATAATTTCACACTTTTTCTTCTTACACACTAGGTAATTGACATTTGAAAACTTATTTCACTAGCAAGAACTTCGAAAGAATATCTCCAAAATTAGTCATTATTTCATATTGACACGATTACATAATTAGGTCTAAGTCATGTTTCATAATTTAAGTGGATTATGTAATATATAAAACATATAACTTACATGTGTTGTAGATGCTGTGTGTATAAGAGGTGTGGGTTCAAAAATGCACACTTCAGCTCCATACGCTGCAGCAATTTTTCCAGTATCTGTGCTGCAGTCCAAGGAACTTATACGGATATAACCATGAATGGCACCAGGAATTATTTGAACACGTTCAAAGTTTGATGCTAGTATTACTATATTACATCCTGCTGCGTATGCCTAAAACACACAAGTGCTGTTATTTACCTTTCCTATTTCAAAGTGTTTCAACGTTGTATAGGCCAGCTTATGTCCTGATTTAATATTATTGATAAAGAAATGTGTCTTTCTATCCCAAAAATCATCATCTTAGGAGATGATAAGACAATTTAAACAAAGCTAAAAAATGCTGAACAAGATTACATCTTAAATTTAGCTAAGTATATAAAGAAAAATAGTTATATATAGAAATATTTTTGATAAAGTAAAAATTTGATCAACATAGAATCTATGAGGTTTTATAAGACCAAGTTTACCAAAAGCATCTATGCAATTCTATATTTCAATCTATTTTCTTTTAATTATATTAAGCAATAACAAAGAATTAATAAGTCATTTACTCTTGCTAGAGAAACTGTGCATGAGGCAGATATATGCTATTAAACTATGTATCTATTTAATATGAGTTAACTTGCTCAAGGTAAACAATGTCATCTCATAGACAGTATTAATATGATTTCAATAACAAAGCTAAACTCAAGGTGCTCTTTCACACAGTTCCAATCTGCTATAATTCACCTAAATATTCCATTATAAAAAAAAAATGTATTATTATACTAGAATTGAATAGTAAACACATTATAATATTAACTATGCAGGAATTTTCCTGGTATTTTGAACTAAAGTAATAAATTGACCTACAAAAACAAGCATTTGCCTGAATAAGGATTACTTTAAATCAAACAATGAATCTTACTGTAAAGGGAATTCCTTCCACGGAACCAACAGCAAAACATTGATCTCCTGAATTACAGGCACCACTGAGAACTTGATGACAGTTCATTATGAGCTAATATAATTATATTTTCTTATTAAGTTTGCACCAAGAAACTGCACTGCACTGTCACAATGTTACTAAAGAAATACATAATTAACAATCATTTCTAACTAACCGAATTAACACTATATAAGACAGTTTCTATGAATAAGATTTTTTCTAATTTCTATGTGAAACCACGGAGGAAACCACACAGCGAACGTGAAAGATTAAACTCATCAAAGAATGACGTATATTCTTGACGCATGACATTGAATGTGTTACCATCATAATAAACAATAAGATGCCCAAAGTAGATAATATGTCATCATCAAATCCACAGTGTTCGTTAGCTTTTTCTCATAAGAAAATAATAGTAAAAGAAAACTTTTTTTAGTCATAAATATGCCTTTTTATGGATTATAATGCGGACCCCATTAATTTTTTTGTCAAGTTTCTATTAAAGTAACAATAAAATTTTAAGACTTAAGTTTAGTTTTAATTATATAATTTCTTTTATTCTTTTCATGTTCAATTGATAACGTCGTCGTCGATAAACGGTGTTCTTGTATTTACTTTATGATTAAGCACAGACGGCATATCAAACACATTTATTTAATTTTTAAATGTCTCTTTAATAAGAATAACAGCATTTTTATCTCAAAAATATGTTTAATTTATCAGTATTAATAATAAAGTATAAGTTGTGTTTTCTAAGTTTGCCTACCTTAACGTCACTTTATACCGTTGATATCAATGTCATGGGTGATTTGATAGTTTAACGGAAGATTGACAGTATTTTAACAATTGACATATTGTAAACTATAAAGCTATAATTTTGTTGGGCATTCGAAATCCGAATCAATGGTGTAATTTAGAAATTAATTGTAGTTTCACTTGAGAAAATATTTAATTCATTAAAAAATCTCAGCACCAATTACGGTGTCAAATATCTAAAGAGATAACGTTATTATTTTTTATTTTATTCAGTACTTTAATAATTTTATGATACAAAATCACCAAGTGTCGTTCTGGGAGACAATTTTTTTTAATACGCTGCAAGTGAGCCGATAAAGAAAGTAACAGATAATTATAGGAATTCAAGTATATAAACATTCCAGGTAAGTTATTTTATGGTTGATGTTATTTTCTAGTGTTTGTGCAGTATCAATTCTGACATTTTAATTAATAATTATCAATAATTGAGTTCAATACAAAATTTTATTAGATCCTACATTTCTTGTTCTTCATGTAACTCTGGAAATTATTTAACTTAAAAGTTAGGAATTCGACAATAAGTTGACATAGTTTAATGTTTGAATATCATTTCCCATTCTGGATATATGCTATGTAGGAGAGTCAGCACAGTTTTTTTTCTTTTCTTACTTAATGAATGTGACCTTCTATGAATACTAAATATCTTGACAGATCAGGTATTGGTATAAATTATAAGTAAAGTATTCAATTATTAGTAATTTTATTCAAGTGCTATTATGCTTTAATGCAACTATGCTTTTCACAAATAGGTATGATAAGAATTGTATGTTGTAATAATTTTATTACAAAAATAGATTCGTAGTAAATTAACCCTTTTGCATTTTGCTACTTTGACTTCTAGAAAGTGACTTGAGTTAAATATAAAACAATAAGTTTAATATTCTGAGTCCCTAAAGAGATAAAGTCCATAAAGACTGACTTATTGATGCTACAAAAAAAGATATAAAAATTATGCTGCAAGTTATTATTTGTAGGGGATACTATTATGTAAAAAATCTTCAACTGGTAAGCACCTGTGTTCTGTTGATTCTCTATTTTAAAACCAGATAAATATATCGTCATAAATTATTGTTGTTTGAGATGACTAATTCTCCAATTTGAACTCAATAAATGTTTTATTATCACATTATAATGAGTGATTTTACAATCAATAACTTATTTTATCATTACAATGTATCATTTTACAACCTCTAAACTGTATACTGTGTCTATATCAGCTCTGTGGCGATGAATCTGGATTCACTGGCCTTTGTTTCCTGCTTCATTATATCATGAATGAATGGTTATGTATGAACAGATATGCTCCTAATTGAGACTAATAACAGCTACAATGATTAAGTCACTTGCCAAAATTCAATCAGAGAATATTGAACTTTTTTACTATGGTATAAGATAAGAAATTGTGTGAGTGGTCTTATCATATCTACAAAAATTTATGAGCCTTCTTTCGTAGTTTTAAATGTACAACCAACATTTAATATTGTCTGTTGTTTTTGCGAGTGGTGTGAATTAGGTAATATAATTTAACGGTTTGAAACCCGAAATCAACGTATGTGATTTGGAAGCTTTATAGTAGCTGTCTAAAATATTTATCGTTTAGCAAGGTGTTTAATTGTATAGCGACTAATACTATAAATAGCTTTTACATGATAATTAATACACGCACATGATGGTATCATGTAAATAAAAAATCTATTTAGATAAAAAAAACTACGACACGGGCAGAACTTGGCACTAGTTAGAGCATCAGCACGGAACGCTGTGGAAGCCGGTACTGCCTGTGTCGATTTTTTAAAAATCTAGCCTTTAGATTTATATAACGTGTATTTTGTGTTCATAATATGTTCTCTGTGCTTATGTTCCACTTATTACGAATAATTAGTCAATAAAAAGTTTATAATTATGTATACAATATTATGATTATTACATATTGAGATAGCACATTTGAAACGATATATAATACATCATTTAAATGTCATTACAAACATAAGCAGATACGACGCGGGGGTCCTTCTATTTTTAAACGTCCCTCCGTCCACACAATTAACGTATTTATTCCATTAACGCTCATGTTTTCTATTTCCTTATTAAGCTAAATACCTTTTTAACTATATCCTTTTTCCAAGAAGGGGGAGTCACGTCGCAGGACTCTTACACGGTATCCATATTACCCGTGCAGGCAATGTGTCATTGAATGAATGGATCGGCAAGCCTTTTAGATTTCTTTACAAGGGAGTCAAAATGCACAAGGATCTTTGAAAGATATTTTTAATATGAAATTCAGCTTGAACTACGGGCTTTTTTCAAGTCAAATCTTTTCTAGCGACGAATTATTGCCGGATCTCACTTTCAGTACGATATATAAAAATTTGGTCATAATGTTTGCGTGGTGAAAAAGTAACCGATATTCCTTCCACCCACGTAATACCCAGATTACTAGACGAAGTCCAGCATTTTTCATTCCAGTCGGGACCGAACCCACGCCCGTTGATTATTAGCTATACATTGCTACCATTAGGCCAACGAGCTCGTCCAAAATGATTACTCTAAAAGATTCAATTTCTATAATTTTCACGATAGGTTTAATGAATGACGTATTTAGCCTACTGGTCTATTTGGCTGGTTCAGGGCTAAGCCAAGACGGCAGACGGGCGGGCGCCTGATCTCAGCAATACGCCTCCGCCCTGGCATCTTTAAACTTCATAGATGTCGGTTATGTGATGACCTTAATGACATGACAGCTATGCCGAGAATTTTTTATCCTTTATTCATGCCATTTATGCCTCTACTTTTTAGAAATAAATATAATTATTTATTACCACAAAATCTATAACAACGAACAAAACCTATTACAAAATCAAGGCATAATAAGTTTCACAAATTATAAAAATTGGTTGTACAGATAAAGAAAATAAAATAGTAAACTTTACAAAGAGGCTTTATGGCTTTGATTATTGATAAATCCTAGTTAATTAACCCACAGGAAAGGAAGAAATTTCCGATTTTGAAAATTAGGAAATATACATATAATGAAAATGGCATTCGTAAATTGGATTGTGAATTGTCCTTCCTCTGGAATCCTTCAAATACTGTGATTAATTATAGTACTTAAAGTACCTTTCAGTTCTTATTTGATAATTTGGGCACTCGTTTCTTGTAAAATTCAAATTTTTATAATATCTTTTCGGTGTGCACACACCGCCTGTTCAAACAAAATATAACTTTCCATTGTGTGCAGAATTAATTACACATGTAAAATAATTTATAAAGCCAAAGTAATATTGTCAGATCTTCAGTTTCGGCAATATACATGCGCGCGCACCCAACTTCGATCCAAATGTTGGGGCATTTGAATGAACCGCCGGGTCATAATTTTGTCTACTTAGTTACCGATCCGATGCCCCTTCCTGAGGTTTGAATGGCCCGTTATTATATTATTTTGATGTGAGGATTTATTTAATTAAGATACGTGCCGAATTAAGACTTCTCAAAATAGATATAATATAATATAATTTACGTAATCTATATGCAGAAATAGGTAAATAAATACTAGCAGAATAGGTTACAAATTTTCCCAAAAAACATTATTTCGTATCATACCCTTATAAATCACTCTTAATAGTTAATTCTTAATACGGAACATCATTTACTAATTTGACTTAGCGGTTATTATACAATTAACCAATTATAATGATAATATAGCTCTATTTTTTGATAATTGTACAAGTTAAAGCAATTATAATGTTAATATATATAAAACGTCGCTAAGCAATTTTGTTTAGCGCTTCTAGCCCAACTATCTAAAATACTTTTTGTACCACATTGCTATTGATTGATGTAAGTGAGAAAACTACTACGGTTCTATAAATGTTTGGTCAAAAGGGAAAAGAAAAAACCACGAAATAAATTTATTTATATCATTTACAAAATTAGACCCGGTAATGTTATTTACGCCGCGTCTTATTCCTCGAATACGTAGGCGAGTACTCAGCTGTAGGACGTTTCAGTGAAGTAGAACGTTATCCTTTGATGAAGCACCCCCACGCGTCTTCGTGTTATTAACTGCCTTATTACGGTTTGAAATTGTCGAACACACAATAAATAATAATATAATAGAATTATACCTTTACAAATGATTATAATATCTCTTTGAAATACGTTTTTAAGAATGCTATTCGTGTAAAATGTACATCTATTTGTTATAACCTCCTTTAATTTAATATTAAACTGCGAAAAGGACATGAAAGAAGTTCGGTCGTAAAGAGAAACTTAGCGGAACGTGCACTGCAATATGGACAAAGTTGTGATAAAACATATACTCGTAGTACAAGATGTCTTGGTGATATTTTATTTTACTTCACCTACTTACACAAAATTTACATGGTAAGTACCTTGTTGATTTTTTTTTAAAACTCGTTTTTATATTTCTAAACTTTAACATCCAAAGCGATATTAATTACTTCTATTCAATAAGTCGTTAATTCTATACCAGTTTACATTTTTTTCCCAAAAATTATTTCATGTTTTGGTGTATAATGGCTTCAAAGAATGTTGATATCATCCAGTTGGACGCATGGAAAATAAAATATCCCATACATTCTTAAATCATTTTGAAATAGAATCGTGGATTGATATTGGGTACATGTTGTGTGGGGGCGAGGCTGCGCGCGCACTTGCATGCTCTACGAGGGACGTAGTTGCCCCCGAGCTACGAAATACGTGTGACCGCTACGCCGACGTAGCAATTTACCCCGTAGCACTTCTACACAATTTGAGGCTTTTTACTGAGGACAGTGAGGTATGTTCCACGGAAATACGTTTATACAAGTTTGTACAGAATCAGCTCCAATATTATTTCACTAATGTGCTAAACAATTTTATTCTATTCCGCGTCTTTCTTTACGCATTACGACTATTAAATAATCGTACAATTATCGATTGGCAGAAGTAGATTTTCGTGTGAATTATGCATGCATATTTTAATTTTATGGGCACTTACTGGGATATTAGCGCTTGCTCTGCTATTTTGAGCCGAGTCAATTACGGGGTGAATCCAATTTGGGAAGTGAGAGGGCACATCTCTATAGTGACGTGGGCAGTATTTGAAATGACATTATTTAGTTCGCTGATAGTTTCTAATGGCACTCTATTGTCTTAATTAACCTTCACGTGTTTATAGTGAATGAAACTAAGGTTAATATTTTACTGATAAATAGGTCAAAAGTTTTTTTTAATAACCCTAGGCGGCCTTAGCTGTGCTTTGTATTAAAATGTTGAGATTTAAGGTTTTTTACCCATCAATTAATAAATAATAAGTAGCGAATTTAAGTGAAAACAATTATTGTTTTTCTGTAGAACCTTTATGTTCTAACTTATCATTATCAATACGTTATTTTGTTGCTAAATCAGAGCTTTCCGAGTCAAAAGTTTGCATGTGACACGCTACCAGTAATTTAAGCAAAACGTACATTCATGTACATAGTTTTAAGGTCACGCATAACGTTTCATTTGGCCAGATAATAATTTTGGGAATATACAAATTTTCAACCCTGTAGCTCAAGTGGTGGAGTAGGTGGCAGTAATCTTTAGAGCCCAACGACCCGCTTAGGGGCAGCTTTCCTATGAGCAAACTCATGTTCGGCTATGGAAACGGTCGTTACGATCCCGAATCGGTCGTAACGGAAACTTATTGAAAAGATATATGTAAATACATAATTTTTCGCATTCGACCTCAAAGCTTTTCCGTCTTAAAGTTGAGGTTGTCTGTCGCGTCAACAAAAACATCGTTTTTTACAAGATTTACAAGCTGGCAAGAAGGCAAATAATACGGAATGTAAATTCTACTGTATATAGAATTTCCAAAGCAAAAAAAGGTTCAAAGCGCATCTTGTTTAGATGTTATGGCTGGGATATTTCACCTATTATCACGGGTTCACTTAATGCTTCTGTCCTCCTCAATATGAAAAAAGTGTGATTGCCGTTTGAGTTATTTGGGCACTGAGAGTATAAAAGCTTGTTAATTCTTATTTAAATCTCAGGTAAAAATTTTTTTATTCGAAAATTGCTTTTAATATATTGCGAGTACAAAGAATTATATATTGTTTTATACTCTAGAGTGTCTAGTTAGTGTAGACACCTAATTAAACCACCTGTTGCTAAAATTACGCATCCCATAACACGTAAAAAAGTCCTGGAAGCTTGAGCTCGGTATTTCGAAGAGGTCGAAGGTAGCTCCGCTCCGGCATCTACTTTCATAAGATTTTAGATCATTAAACCTCATTATGAAGGCTCCATTGCATAATGTTAGTCACACCTATCGATCCTGACGCGAGAGTAGTTGCCAATAAATTGATTCTCTCCTCAGATTGTGAGACTCAGATACTAAACCCCCGTGACCAAGACAAAGCATTTGAAGTGTCGTGCCGTTATTAAAAATAATTTACAAACAAGTTTTAACAAAAATATATCTCGTTTTAAATTGTAAAAGTGTTTTCTTTAAATTTGTACTACTCGCGTAAACTACACTACAAAAAGTATTTACTAACCACTTGATAATCTAGACTACCCGCATTATTTAAGTTATATGATTGAGAACTTTGATGTTTTTTTATATGTTGGCTTTATATAAATAAAAACCGATTAATAAATTGAAAAAAATTACGGCACCGGCAGAACTTGGCATCCACAGCGTTCCATACTGTTACTCTAACCAATAGAACTTGACACAGTAACTTAATTATTCACTCAGTAATTTATGTAGTTATATGATGTCAAAACTTCAACCAATAATAAGCTTTTATACGCATAAAATGTATAACCTCTTTTCAGGCTCAATTGTGACGTATTGCCTTTTGCATTCAGCACGCAAGGCCCAATCCAGTCAGAGAAAAGACGGTTTTACCTCTGTCTCGTATCTCATACCAAAATCTGGATTTTATCCTGTTTTACCTGTTGGCTGATCTATTTAAGAATATTTATAATTGGTCTTCAACCTTTTCTCGTGTCGAAGTTAATTATAACTTTGCTACGGCGAACTCCGTAGCTCCCTGTTATCTAAAATAAGAAATATTTTGAAATTTACCTTTTCGTTTTGTTTCAGGTTTTTTATTAGAAACTAACTAATCCTACGGCGCAATCATGGCATTTGCTGGACTTAAGAAACAAATCAACAAAGCTAATCAGGTGAGAGTTATGAAGTTGCGTCTCATTTAACCACAGGATCAACCGGCCGCTGAGATTAAAATCTGTAGGAACGCTGAAATGATTTTGCGGTCTGTTAGAGATTATCGAAGCCGAGTTGATAAAGTTTGCGTCTGATAGCCGATTTCTAGACTATTTTTTAATAGAACGGCACATAATGTATAAATGTTAGTCTTTCTACATTACGAATTTGTAAAAACAAATGTTGTTATAAAGAATTGGGTAGTAAAAATAATATATATGAATCTTATGATCAATTATATTCTTTTAAAAGGGTCTAATTTACCGTTGTAATATTTAAATTCTACCGTACCCACGTATTACAGTAACTAGTTATGAAAACATTTTCTTCATTAAATCGTTATTCATCTCCGCAATTTGAACTTGCACAATTTCCTGAGATTGCACGTGATCTATGAAGGCGGGGGTGATATTCGCATTTTACAAATTCAGTTTATCTCCCCGAGGGTAGAAGGGTGTTGGCGATGACCGTGACCCACAATGCGCCCTATATTGTCGATGTGGCCTAATTATTGTAGCCTTCCCCCTACAGTCCTGTGACATTGACGTACAACTTGGATAGAACGATGGCGGAATACACACAAGCAATATTGACGAGCATAAGTACGTAACCGAGTCGACAATTATACATATAAATTTAACGACGATGCATGTTAATTTTATATCTTTTTCTGTTAATTTTTCGAACTTTTAAATGGTTTTTATGATTGATAAATTAGCCAAAGACTTGACTTTTAAAATTATTGTCCTTCGAAATCTCTACAATACTTATGATTATACCTACTATGTACTAATTTGAAAACGTTTTAAATTCTCATACAACCTTTAATACATCAATAGTTTTGTTATTTCCGTTGAAATACAGGATTACTGACAATATCAGTTCTAGTCCGTATAATATCACTGTTTACTGAGCGTGACTCCCCTCTCGTTTCTCATTAATTTCTAATCTTCTGTTGATGGCGCATAATTAACTGCAGAACACCGTGGATGATTATCTGTTCAGTGTAATATACTGTGCTAACATATACTCATAATATAGAGGAATGGATGTGGTTAAACTGTATAGATATACATTTTTATTAGTTTGTGTCGTTGAAACTCGAGAACGGCTTGATCGACTTAGCTAATTCTCATTTTCAAATGTTTGTCGTATAGGCAAGGTTTAACAAGAAGAAAATACAGAACATTTTAATATAACTATTTAATTGTCTATATAAACGTTTCTTGAACATTTGACGAGTATGAAACCATTGGTGAGGTCCAATTCAATCTAAGTAAGGGTTTTTTATTGACAATATATTACCGCATATTTTCGGGTTGTATTAAGTACTCCAGATCATCTTTTACATATGTTATTCCGTAAATGCGGAAGAGCGTTCGTCCTTTATGATCTAACTAAGCAACCGCTTAATACTTGACATACATATATAAAAATTATGTAAGCGTTTAGACTTCGCGAACGTTTATTCACTGGTGTCAAACCCACAGCCTGTTTAGAATCTCGAATACATTTTATATGTAGATATCATGTGAAGATGTGTAGAATGCTATTAAAATAAAATAAGTTTACAAAACGGGAGTTACATGCTACAAGAAGTTACAAACGCTTCTTTAATTTTGATTGAATTCTGAAACAAATCCTCCAAATGTATGCATCATTTATTTAATAATTTAAAATTAGTACAACATTATATTAAGTTCATATATAACTAAAATTATGCGTAATTAATTATTTCAGACTTAAGTAATTATGACAGTACAAATATATATTATACAACTATGAATCGTCCTATCTTTTATACAAAAAATATGAGAAAATTGTAGAGTCAGAACAAAATGATTGAAAATACCAAAGAGTTGAGATATATATCCAGTTATATTTTAATCGACTCGATTTTTCGACTCAAGAACCGCGATTTATCTTCGCTATTAAACTAGAATGCGAATACGAGTACCAAATAGATGGCAAGAACGCAGATAAGAAATGGATTAGGGCTGACTTCATCGTTCTATATCGTGGTACGCATATAACACGTAACGCGGTATAAAATGTAAACGGTAGGTTATTAAAACAATTATCTTTTGTTTAATTAACTCACCATGGACGGACTCGTTGGTCGAATAGAAGGAAGGCATGGCTAATAAGCAACGGGTCCTGGGTTCTACCTCACCATGTCCGATGTGTTTATAATTTTTCTGATACATGTTGGACGTCATCTGGAAATGTGGATATTAAATGTTTGATAGGAATATCAAAATTCCGCCCGGGGCTACGAATTACCGACCACACATGAAAAAGGAAAGTTTAATCACGTTTCGCTTTCAGCCTGTGGATTTCCGAATATCCAAAGCTAAAAAAGGTCGACGGAGCGTTTATATGCTATATGGCTGGGGTATTTTACCTTTCATCAAGTTAATCCTATGCTGGTTTCTCGTCCTTTATCATAAAAAAAAACACCTCAATACGAACTTATGGAGGCTATAGACAGCCAAAATAAAGCCATTGGTCGCCAACCTTTGTGACTTGATCGGACAAGCGTTATGCAGCGTTGCTAGAACTCATCTCAAACAGAGTTGTGCTATGCCTATTGTGGTGATCAGGAGCAGCATCTGCGGTGCAATTTTGTCTAATATACGTGGAACTTTGCCCGACTGAGCACAATTCGGTCAAGGTTAGACCTCGACCTAAGCTTTTGTGTTCAAACGAGCGTTTCGATACTTCAATTCTTTTGTATTTCAGTAATACTCCTAATGTTATTATAAGTCAACTTTTACCGCATTAATCAGATCGCCTGAGGTACACCTTGCGTATTTTTGTCTCTCTCTATCCATCTTGCATATACGTCTAGCGACAATACCATCCAACATGGATGGGGTACGGGCCGCCAGCCAGTATTTTATGTGGACACATATGGTCACTTACAATGATAAAACATTGCTTATAAACGTCTGTAAACACGTGGGTCGAATCATATTTGATAAAGTTAATTTTTCAGTTAGTAAAAGGTATAATGTTAAATAACTTTTGCATGAAAATAAATAATAGATTAAATGGTTTGATAACGCATGAAGGATTCGAACCCTAGGCCACAGCGTTGAGTGTGGTAAAGCAAGAAATTAATTTAATAATGAATTGAGCTACTAGATCCGAAACGTCATGAAAAATCTTTCAAGCGCTTACTGAAACGCGTTACTATCCTTCACACTTATTACTATTAATAAAATTGATTTGTTACAGTATGTCACAGAAAAAATGGGCGGTGCCGAGGGCACAAAACTGGATTTGGACTTCATGGAAATGGAAAGAGTGAGTTATTTATTACTTTTTTTCACTTGTAAATGTTTAAAAACAGTCATCTGAAGTTTTCCTTTCGTTTCGCGTCTTATTTTAGTACTAAGATTTGCCAATGCGGACGGCTTACATAATAGAGCGCAGCCTCCAACCACTTGAATTAATACCGTCGATACATTAAAATACCGATTTATTGATATAGCATGGAAAATACTGTTTTTATAATTCACTGATATGTAAGAAACTAAGTTAAATGTATTTTCTTGATTTTATTCATGTAGCATTATTCAGATTTTCTAAGACTAATTAATGTGTCTCACTATTGACACTTTCCAATCGCCGGTTCGGTATAACTGTAACGCTAAGAAATTCTAGAACTAGAAATCTAAAGTTAGTCGCCAGGTGGCGAGATTTTTATCATACGATATCTATTTCTATCAGGCATAAGTGTGATATTGATCATTTTATTATACTGATTTTAAAATTCTCTTTCCAGAAAACAGACGTGACATGTGAGCTAGTCGAAGAGTTGCAGATAAAAACCAAAGAGTTCCTCCAACCGAATCCCACGGCACGAGCCAAGATGGCCGCCGTCAAGGGTATCAGCAAACTCAGCGGGCAGGCGAAGAGCAATACTTACCCTCAACCTGAAGGTGTCTTGGGAGATTGTATGCTCATGTACGGAAAGAAGCTTGGAGAGGACACCGTATTTGGTACGTATCATGGATATTATCTCATACACTTTTTTTTGTTTCTTCAGCCGTTTTTGCGGCGCTTATCGCGAAAGCCCTCCAAGATGAATAATACCTTTTGCCTATGCTTTCTCGATAAATAGTTTTTAACATTTTTCAATGGGAACGTTATTTTGTTTTGACAAATTATCTTTCCTATGAGTCTAGTATATATAATTACGACACTTTAGAAAAAAATAAACATAAACTCACGTTCTCTTAGTCAAATCGGTTTCTTAGATATTTAATTATATACATATGTCTGTTCGTATATTATATAGACGACGTATTTTTATATCAATAATAATTATAACATATATTTAATTTCAGCGCAATGTATGATCGAAATGGGCGAGGCGCTCAAGCAGATGGCAGACGTAAAATATTCCCTCGACGACAACATCAAACAGAGCTTCCTCGAACCGTTGCACCACTTGCAGACTAAAGACCTGAAGGAAGTTATGGTAAGCTTGAGGAATATACAATTGTACGATTTAGACACGCGACAGCGTGCCAAGCCGAGTTCAAGCAAAGGAACTGGCTAGGCAGCGCTAAGTGCTTATTAGGTTTATAGAAGACTTTATTTCTCATAATCTTAATTACATTTACAATGAGATTAACATGACAAGAAGACTTTACATTATTAGACGAACCATTTGGTGCCCTTCTATAACTTTAAACCTATCACCATCACAATTATGACAGTGGTTATTGTTAACCCTGCTGATCCGCACTGTAACAGCGTGAATGGCCTAACAAAACGGTTATGAAACAGGAGACCTGTGCTTGGTTGCGGACTTTTATACCAAAATATGCTTATTATGAAAACTCTATTCTTCATTATGTATGTAATTGTAGCTACTGTCACAGTGGCCTTTTCTTGTGTACTTTGTTGATATTACTAACAGATACGCATTTTCACTGTTAGAATGGGAATAAATTTAATTTAAAAACTGTTACTCTTCACAGCATCACCGTAAGAAACTGCAGGGGCGAAGGCTTGATTTCGACTGCAAGCGGCGAAGACAGGCCAAAGGTGATTTTTTATAGTGCTGCCATTCTAAAATACTCCTCTTTTTGGCGTTTCGTAGTATATTTTTTTATCAATTATTTACGATTATATTTAATGTACAAAGGTGTCCGGATAGGTCCTTACGCAAGCCCGAGTCACGGAAGAGGCGGTGAGAGATTTATCGCTAGCGATGTAGGCTTGTAATTTACATAGAAATATCAAATGGCTCTCATGAATTTTGGGAATTTTGTGATTTCAAGTGCCGTCAGTTTTGTATTTTAGATTCTCATAAGCCATCAGAGTGATGAGAAGATAGAACAACTCCATATACACCTAACTCGATGTAACGAAGTTAATTTACCATCATGTCAATAAAATAAGAATAATAATTACCTGAATTGTCTGATCTTAGCGCCCACGCTAGTTAACTATTGTGGGCTCTAACATCAGACAATGCCTATGCATACGGCGTACACCTTCAAACCAAAAAAATCACATTAAAATTTACCTAAGTATCGTTACATTGAGTTTACAGCATCCAAGCATTTATATTTTTACTAACATGATTTTCATAAAACAAAAAAAAATGTTTTTCTTCTTTATATGTAATAAAAAATTATTTTCTTTTTTTTTATAGCAATTCAGTTTTGTATAATGCTAGTTCGTTTTTTTTTTTCATGTTTCCCGTTCCGCTCTTGCACCGTATCTTCGCTCGCGATGTTTACGTTCGACTTTTTTTCTGCATTTGGTCTGTATTTTTTGTTTTTATTTTTTCACTGTGGTGTTTTTTTTTTGGTCCTACTATACGCCATGTATGTGAGGTTACATACATCAGGCTCTCACATTCCAGACGATGAGATACGTCAGGCGGAGGAGAAGTTTGCTGAGTCTCTAAGTCTCGCACAAATTGGCATGTTCAACCTACTTGACAATGATGTAAGTTTCTCTTAGAATACAATACTGATGTTTCGGCGCTAAGAGCCCATATGGTGTTAATATATTGACAACTATTTGTTCTCTGTAAAGTTGGTATTGTTATAGTTTCATATCATTCTATTAACTATTAAATAAATAATCAATTTAAAATCTATCTAATACGGGTGAAACTTAAACCTTGCACTTTAGCATTCTGTGTCCAAGGCTATTTGTTATTCTTACCAAGTAACTACCGGCCCGTAATTATAATAGATCATAGAATTTTATCTGACATAATCTACTTACTTAATTTTCTTGTTTTGTTGCCTTTACATTTTCACTTTTGTAATAGGTGGAGCAAGTGGCACAGGTATCATTCTTCGCGGAAGGACTACTTGAATACCATCAGCAGTGTACAGAGATTCTGAAAGGACTCGTTTCGACACTTATGGAGAAGTAAGTTCCTTGTTTCTTTTTAAATTGATTAAAGAATTACCATAATTTACATTTATTAAATCTCATGAACGACATAAAGCCTCATTTCTTATAATCCTTATCAACACTTCCAGGAAGGAGGAGGCAATAAACCGCCCCAAGATGGAGTTCGTGCCGAAGACACTCGCGGACCTGAACATCGAGGGGATCCACGAGCTGAACCACGGTAAACGCTACGGTTCCGCGCAGAGCCTTACCCGCCAGAACCCCTCAGGCGCTACCCCCTTGGCCTCCTCCCTCGCCGACCTTTCCTCCCTTGACCGCGCCTGGGACGCTCCTCCGAATTACCAGAGACAGCCTCCTCCGACTTACCAGAGACAACCCCCTCCGATCGGCTTCAAGCCGCATCCCGCCCCACGCAATACAAACGGAAGAGACCCCTGGACAGGTGATTTCTTTTTTATTTGCTGGGTCTTGTGGTTTTTGGCTGTGGATTACTATGGTGGCGGGCTTTGGTGTTTTCTTTTAAACATTTTTTTATTACGAGTAACAACTAAGCTTTGGTCCGGACACCGTTATCATGTTAAAGTAGAACTAAAGAATTGAAAGCAAGCCTTTAAAAACAAAAATAAATATAATAAAACTATGTAGTCCAGAGTCAAAACATTTATGTTACAGAGTAACCAAAAATAATAAACACCATTTATGTTAACAAAAACACTCGCAAAGCTTACCGTGGCACTTTCCATTTTGTAACTAACATCTGCCTTTGGTCGGTTCATATCTGTATACTTGATATAATTAAAACAGTCTAAATAAGAATAATTTTGTACAATTTTAATAAATCGTTATTCGTTTCAATGTATAATTGCGTTTAAGCACGTGAGGTAGCTTTGAATCCAGGGTTACCAATAGTTGCCTTCGTAGGGCACTAGTCTCATCTTATAATTGCCTGTAAATAAAAGCGATGTTAAAATCAGACACAGTCGGAAGGAAACGGGTCTTTACTTTTTGTAAGTAATGTTATGGTTTCTAGTATTTTTAAATCTAACCACAAATATCCGTTTATTTTGCTTCTTATATCTTCAAGTTTAATTTGAAAGTTTAACAGAGGAGAAAGGTTAAACATTTTGTTTTCAGGTGTCTTTCTTCCGTTCCCATTCCCAACTTCCCATTAATCCCCTTAGAATTAAGATGTCTTGTACATTTTTCACAGTATATGCAAAGATAACGTATAATTTTAAGCAATAACACATACGTCTATCTTTGCGTGTGGTATTTCTGATGCTGCGTATTTAGTCGATGTTTTCTGGTACCGGAAACTAAATTGATGTTATCTCATCTAAATGTCTCTTTTATAATTCGTAGTCCATATTTTGTGGTTACTGCTCTCTTACCTACTGTTACAAAACAAACAGACATGCACATCGCATACAATAAATTTTGGATATTGCTAATACTGAGTATTGGGGTGAAATGGTTAAGGAAAAACAAATGTTTGGGTAATATCGTTCTTGTAAGGTTTTAAGAATGAGTCAAGTTATTGTATAGTGTACACTGACGTATATTAAGTAATTTGGGAGCAGGCGGCTCTCGAGCTGGCTCGCCGGAGCATAAGCCGCCGTCCAACCTTGAGCTGTTCCCGACAACCAACGCACCGCGCTCCAACAATGGTAACACACACACTCCACACACATTCCATACATGTAGATCCCTTCACCGTTGCTATATTGATAATGTTTACTTATATTGTTTAGTAATGTTTTTTTAGTAACACGGCACGGAAAAATTGGGAAAAAGGTTTTTATAACCTATTCTTACAGTGATAAAACCAAATTGCAAATGATATGGAATGGTATTGTGCTTCATTAACCCCAATGGAATACTTGTATGATTGTATGTAGATATCAAACTATAATTGCTCAAGATGTATAAGAAAAACGTTAGATGCGTATAAGAAAAAATATGTTACGTGTCGACAAGTTTTATCATTGCGTATAAACAGTGTAAAATGGGAATTATTTTAGGCCAATCTCTGATTTTATTGATAACAAACACATTTACACACTTGGGTTTTAACATTTTCATACAATTTTGTAGTCGATTGTTTGGCTTATTTTTGCGTATTTTATAGAGTAGATTCTGCTAGACACTGCTACCGAAAACAACTCCATATATAACGGATTTCGTGGCCATTTTTCACAGCTATTTGGGTTTTCAAGTTGAGAAAAGGTTCCCAACGTTTCTCCATGAAGAATTCATGCTATAAGCAAGGATTGATGATTCATTATTAGCACGAACAGCTCGAACGCCCAAGTGGTTTAAGAACAACTCCATCCAGCAATTTTGAACTCCAATTAAGATGCATGTCAACTATATAACGAAAAGGCGTGTCGGCATAGCTTTAGGTCATGCTTTAGGTCATCGTTACTGAACAACCATTCTACGGACATTTAATAAATTTAAAAGCGATTAAAAATTGAAAAAAATGTACGACTCAGGCAGGACTTAAAGCGGCATGTATCCACAGTTAGTACGCAAGTAGTAAGGTTGAAATTTCATAGAGCGAGAGGTCAGATTGCAAAAATCGCGAGAGGTGCTGAACTCGACCCTCATTTGGTAAGAGCAACAGCACGGTCGCTGTGAATGCCGGTTCGAGTCTTACCCGAGTCCTAATTTTTTGCAATATATTATAATCGATTTTTAATTTTTATAGCGCTCAATAACATGTGAAAAATATTAGATACATTTCATCATTTTGTTTGCACTGTTGTCAATGTGCGCTTCACTTTTAAACAGACATTTTTGCCAAATATTGTGCAATGAGGAAAACATAAATGATGACTAATTATAGATTGATCAATGTTACTTATTATATTTATGACTAATGTTGCATGTAGGTAAATTATAAAAGTTATCGCATTGTAATTTAATGAGTTTTTGGCAAAAACGTTTGTTAATTTTTTTTTACAGAATAAACGAATGGGCCAATTTTAGTTTTATATGGTTTTCACAACTTAGCGTTTATACTACGTGTATGCATATGAGAAAATTGCTGTGTGCAAAATATAGATGAATTCACCGTCATTTCAGACATTATTGTTCATACAAGCATGAATATTAGCTTTAGATAGAAAGTTTTAGAGAATTTGAAAAATGTTTGTACTTCAGTCGAGACTCGAACCCACGACAATTCGAGCAGTTTAATTTACACCTAAAAGTGAAGATCCGAGTTTTTGGATGGACACAGACCATAATTTATTTCAGTTCGGTTTGTCTACCATTACATCGGCGTCGTTTATTCAATTTCTCTAAAATACTTGCTTCACCTTAATTAGAAGTCTCTTGCCCACATTAATGTGGACAGTAGATATGTCTTGAAGACTGCTGTATATTGTTGTATCACACGAAATTACATTTGGCAGCATCACCACTGCCGTCTCCCGTGAAGTCACCAGCGCGAACACCGAACGTGCAACAAAAGCCTTGTTGCACGGCCCTTTATGACTTCGACCCAGAAAACCAAGGAGAGCTCGGATTCAAGGTGACATTAACGTTCTTTAAATAAAAAACTTTAACGTTTAAAACGCGAGATTACTGCGGTTAAACTTACTTAAGAAATGATTTGTAACTTTTTAAATAAGTTTATCTAATATTGTTAGTTTTAAGGACCGTTATACTTTTTATTTAATTATTTTCTCTCGCGTACGGGGACAGTATTTAATGAACGGCGTTATCAAGACCATACTTAAACCAGAACTGCGGTTTACCTCTTAAACCAGTCTAAATGTATATAAGTTAGTACCATACTTAATCCAGTGCACACGTTAAACTTCGTTTTGTAATAAGGATTTCAAATAAAGAAGGGTTTAAACCAGGCAGTATTTGTTTTAATAAAGGCTTAAGTTTACCGCTGTTTAAATATTGCTTGTTAGTAATAATCTACATTGCAATTATATTTTTTTATCTGTGATACTCTATATTCCTATTTTATTCCCGTATCGGTTAGTAAAATAATAACTTGTAGTAATAGAAGTTAAAAACTTCAAATTGAATTTCATTTTATCAACTGTGTAATAAATTGCCCCCGTAGGGCATGGGGGCAAACACAATTCTGTGTCCGTTTCACTGATCGTTACAGGCGAGATGTTGATCAGATTTCTGCGCCCGACCTAAACTCAATCGCTGAATTCAAAACGTTTTATCATCTAGCTGCAGAGGCGGTCCGGCAGAATATAGCTCTGTGCCAAAGCTTTGTCAATATATGTATAGATTTATTCTGTTATATATAAGGTGGGAAGGACAAGCGTTGGGTCATTTGGTCGTGATGGGGCACTGTACATCTATAAGATATCTATTTATTATAGATTAAATATGTAAAATAAGAAATAAGGTCGAGAGATAACATTTGTGCTTCTTTTAGGAAAATGACGTTATCACGCTGATCAATAAAGTCGACGAAAATTGGTTCGAGGGCAGTTTAAATGGAAAAACCGGTTACTTCCCGATCAGCTACGTACAAGTCACTGTGCCTCTACCCAACATGTAAATACCTACGCTATTCTGCAACACACCATTCTATTCAAAACGACTCTATTAGCTCGTTTAAACTAATACTTTTTTTTCGTTGCTACGCAAGATTAACGTATTGATGTAGAAATGTATATTATATATAATATACTATGTTAAATTATTTTCTTTATCCAATTCAGAAAGTTCATTTGAACAAAATTGTAGTGTCCGTGTATAATTTCCATTATTATATTATTTTATTGTATTTTATCTATCTTCTAGACGGTCTTTAGAAGTTATTTCTAGTGTTGAATTACTCAAAAGTTTAAAATTATGTATTATTTGATGTTGCCATTTTAGTGTTAGGTAGACATCTTTAAAATTATGTATATTTAAGTAATACGACGTTCAACCAAAGATTGTTTCCGAGAAAAATGTGCAGCTACTTTTTAAAAATAATTTGTGGACTACACTGTTCTGATCTGTAGCTACTTTAATCGCCTAAGAATGGCTGTGTTGCACTCACCCAAATTCAGTATTACATGTAGAACGTTTATGAGTCGCATGTAGACATTTGATGAACTTCAAATAAGCGTGTCAAAAGCTCAATAAATAAAAATGTTATAATCCTATTGCCCATTATATTTAGATCTTCCATGTTATATTAGTTTTGATCTCCCATTTCCATAACGTGGGGACAGGTGAAAATTTATGCCAAAATAAAACCCAACGAAAGTATTTATGATTTGCAAGAATCTACAATGGTGAACTGACTTGAGAGGTTTAAATCTTAATTTTATAAAGCTATTTGTTATTCGTTAAGTTAAACCTACTTAGAGTATGTCTTTACTCTTTATTAGTTAGTAAATGAGCAAAATATTTTAATAGAGATGCATAATGTTTGAGATTATAACCTAACCTAACCTTAGCTATTACACAGTTCTTTTACAATAAATCATTCCTGTACTATTAAGAATCTTAGGAATATGTCTACTCGAGTAGATATATAATTGTGGCTAATGAATGCTTGCAAACCGAAACCCGATGCGGAGTGACATCCCGATGAATGATATTTTTGTAGTGTTACATATGTTTGGATATATTAGTAATGGAAGTTAATCAACTTTGATTTCATAACGGACTCCTCCATTTCGTATTGTGTATTAATAGTATAAGTTTGAGATTAGATTGCATAGATTTATTTGCGGGTATTTGTCGAAAGAGGACGGTGGCATTAAGGGACGTAAGAGTTGTTGAATCTTGGTAAATATTTGTGGCTATTCGATGTTCGACGTTCTAAGATAACTTATGTATAACGACATGATGTTATTGTGATAATATAAATAATCATGTATTAGGCAGTGCCGTTTGCGGTCAATTTTTTATTTGTATTGTATTTTTTATTTTGTGACTACTGAAACAGTTAAATAACGATATAGATGTTATTTTGAAATCCAACATGTGGCCTCTATTTCATAGTTGTTGAATGTACTTTTAAATGCATGCATTATAAACATTTCACACGCATACTCGCGTTTCACTATATGTATCGGTGTTAATGTAATATTAATGACATACTAGTGTTTAAATTCATCCATTGACTCATTTCATGACATAAAATTGACCCCATTTCATAATTTCTGGCATATAAAAGACAATACCTAGATCTAATGTTAGGTGTACGTAAGTTCTTAAACGATAATCGTTCTACCTTCAAGTGTCTATTACTAAGTATTTTGAGCAAATAATAAATTAATATTGGTGTTAAAATGTGTAATGTTTCGATGTAACGTGGGGGCGGGCTCTGCACATTTACAACGCCCGCCGCCTCATGTCTCTTTATAAATGTTTCTTCTTGTGAAATTCGATGGCTCATAACGTCGATCCTTCCACGAAGTGAGTTTATTGTTGTTATGTATTTTAATAATCCCCAATAGATTTACCCGAAGTATACTTGAATGCTATCTACGAATACCTACATCCGGGTGCTTGTAATGTGAAGAGAAATTAGAACAGTTATATTTTTATAATATGCGCCTCGCGTATTACCTATTCGAGGTCTACGCGCGCTGGTATAACTGTTTCGTAAATGTATTGTTCCATGTTACTGTAATCTAAAAATCTAAGTACATACTGTAATTGATAGCTAAACTTGACAATTTACGAGATATTTGTTTATATTAAAAAAATATCCTGAACTTATTGCTCGTTTCGCCTCCTAATAAAATGTTAACAATTAATTTGTTTTATTTACCCCCCTTAAGTGCCACTTTACGACAGAACAAAAAAACATTAATTAATTTGATGGCATAATCCCCAGCCAATACATTTACTATCAATTTTATTTGGCATGGACGTTCGTAAATCCGCCGAGAAAAACGCGACTTTACACAAACTTTTTACAAAAATGATGTATCCGATTGGAATTGGACCAACGAGCCTGTCAAACAAGCTATTTGTGGCCTCGTGATATTTACAAATCCCCTGAATAAATTGTTCTCTTTAAGTTAACACTCAACTAATTGTAAAAACCCCGAATACTTATTATATTCACGTCTATTTTTAAAAATAAAGTAATTGAAGAAATAATAATTCAACTTTATGAAAAAGTAGCATTGAAGTATATATATAAGTATAGAATGAGGGTAAGTACGTACGTAGCGGACGCCGTTATAATTTATCGTTCCTCGTGTAACCTACTTATTATTTAGATATTTTGTAGAAGTGAGTCGATGTCCTCTGAAAAGGCATTAACCTCCTTTTGTATCGAGACAAAGTCGAGACTGCTATCGACCGGTAATCGTCTCGTCTGGAACGTTCACCCTGTTAGTGTCGAATCTAAAAATACTATATGGTAGGAAACTAATATATTTTGTGTGTATTTAAAATTTTCACATATTGCACATAAGTAAGAACCACACATGAGATGGTACCTATTCTAACATACTTTTCCAATTACCAACTTGTACGTTACAATCGCTTTACGTTATCAGAGGTCAATACTTATAAAATATATAAAAAATCCTTCTTTATTGTCTACCATGTCCATTTTTAGAAGCAAGACAATAAATGGTTTTACGATAAGCTTTGATTATGTCGGCAGGTAGCCATACTGTAGGTATTTGGTTTACTAATTGGATTTATAAAAATAACACTTCTTAGTAGTCTATATTCTTATATATAGGCATTATTATGTAAGCGCTTATTAGTTCTATAAGTGCACTAATATGATTAAAATAAGGCAATGTCTTTCGATCACTTATATTGTGTATACATTTTTGCGTTGTAAAGATTGATTTTTACAAACAAGGCAGTTTATCTCAACCCAAAGCAAATTAACATATATCTATACACTACGTTTTAAGAAATGAGTTGAATGAAAAATAAACTTAACAAAGAAAAGAAAATTTTCTTGTCAATGAATGAATGAATAACTTAGGGGTAAATTTTCCCTAAGAACAAGAGAAGGGTCAAGAATTTAGATGAATACTACCCTAGCTAAGACCTGTCATTATAAATTAAATAAAATTCACTGCAGAGATTTTACAATAAAGGAAAGAAGAAACGAAAGCTTTTTGAGAAATCAAGCCTTTAATTGTATGTAATTGGAATGGTTACATTAATATCAGAAAAATAATAACTCTAGTAAGAAGACAGCAATACAATATAAAGGTAAAATTTTAATTAGTTGCCGCCACGAAGACGGAGAACTAAATGAAGAGTTGATTCCTTTTGAATATTATAGTCCGAAAGAGTACGGCCATCTTCCAACTGCTTGCCGGCGAAGATAAGACGTTGTTGGTCTGGTGGAATACCCTCCTTGTCCTGGATTTTGGCTTTAACATTCTCGATGGTGTCAGAGGGTTCTACTTCCAGGGTAATGGTTTTCCCTGTGAGGGTCTTAACGAAGATTTGCATTCCTCCGCGAAGACGCAATACCAGATGAAGTGTGGATTCCTTCTGAATGTTGTAGTCCGAAAGAGTACGGCCATCTTCCAACTGTTTGCCGGCAAAGATAAGACGTTGTTGGTCTGGTGGAATACCCTCCTTGTCCTGGATTTTGGCTTTAACATTCTCAATGGTGTCAGAGGGTTCTACTTCCAGGGTAATGGTTTTCCCTGTGAGGGTCTTAACGAAGATTTGCATTCCTCCGCGAAGACGCAATACCAGATGAAGTGTGGATTCCTTCTGAATGTTGTAGTCCGAAAGAGTACGGCCATCTTCCAACTGTTTGCCGGCAAAGATAAGACGTTGTTGGTCTGGTGGAATACCCTCCTTGTCCTGGATTTTGGCTTTAACATTCTCGATGGTGTCAGAGGGTTCTACTTCCAGGGTAATGGTTTTCCCTGTGAGGGTCTTTACAAAGATTTGCATTCCTCCGCGAAGACGCAATACCAGATGAAGAGTGGATTCCTTTTGAATGTTGTAGTCTGAAAGTGTACGGCCATCTTCTAATTGCTTGCCGGCGAAGATAAGACGTTGTTGGTCTGGTGGAATACCCTCCTTGTCCTGGATTTTGGCTTTAACATTCTCGATGGTGTCAGAGGGTTCTACTTCCAGGGTAATGGTTTTCCCTGTGAGGGTCTTTACAAAGATTTGCATTCCTCCGCGAAGACGCAATACCAGATGAAGAGTGGATTCCTTTTGAATGTTGTAGTCTGAGAGTGTACGGCCATCTTCCAATTGTTTGCCGGCAAAGATAAGACGTTGTTGGTCTGGTGGAATACCCTCCTTGTCCTGGATTTTGGCTTTAACATTCTCGATGGTGTCAGAGGGTTCTACTTCCAGGGTAATGGTTTTCCCTGTGAGGGTCTTAACGAAGATTTGCATTCCTCCGCGAAGACGCAATACCAGATGAAGAGTGGATTCCTTCTGAATGTTGTAGTCCGAAAGAGTACGGCCATCTTCCAATTGTTTGCCGGCAAAGATAAGACGTTGTTGGTCTGGTGGAATACCCTCCTTGTCCTGGATTTTGGCTTTAACATTCTCGATGGTGTCAGAGGGTTCTACTTCCAGGGTAATGGTTTTCCCTGTGAGGGTCTTTACAAAGATTTGCATTCCTCCGCGAAGACGCAATACCAGATGAAGAGTGGATTCCTTTTGAATGTTGTAGTCTGAGAGTGTGCGGCCATCTTCTAATTGCTTGCCGGCGAAGATAAGACGTTGTTGGTCTGGTGGAATACCCTCCTTGTCCTGGATTTTGGCTTTAACATTCTCGATGGTGTCAGAGGGTTCTACTTCCAGGGTAATGGTTTTCCCTGTGAGGGTCTTTACAAAGATTTGCATTCCTCCGCGAAGACGCAATACCAGATGAAGAGTGGATTCCTTTTGAATGTTGTAGTCTGAGAGTGTGCGGCCATCTTCTAATTGCTTGCCGGCGAAGATAAGACGTTGTTGGTCTGGTGGAATACCCTCCTTGTCCTGGATTTTGGCTTTAACATTCTCGATGGTGTCAGAGGGTTCTACTTCCAGGGTAATGGTTTTCCCTGTGAGGGTCTTTACAAAGATTTGCATTCCTCCGCGAAGACGCAATACCAGATGAAGAGTGGATTCCTTTTGAATGTTGTAGTCTGAGAGTGTGCGGCCATCTTCTAATTGCTTGCCGGCGAAGATAAGACGTTGTTGGTCTGGTGGAATACCCTCCTTGTCCTGGATTTTGGCTTTAACATTCTCGATGGTGTCAGAGGGTTCTACTTCCAGGGTAATGGTTTTCCCTGTGAGGGTTTTAACGAAGATTTGCATTCCTCCGCGAAGACGCAATACCAGATGAAGAGTGGATTCCTTTTGAATGTTGTAGTCTGAGAGTGTGCGGCCATCTTCTAATTGTTTGCCGGCGAAGATAAGACGTTGTTGGTCTGGTGGAATACCCTCCTTGTCCTGGATTTTGGCTTTAACATTCTCGATGGTGTCAGAGGGTTCTACTTCCAGGGTAATGGTTTTCCCTGTGAGGGTCTTAACGAAAATTTGCATTCCTCCGCGAAGACGCAATACTAGATGAAGTGTAGATTCCTTTTGAATGTTATAGTCTGAGAGTGTGCGGCCATCTTCTAATTGTTTTCCGGCAAAAATTAACCTTTGTTGGTCAGGAGGAATACCTTCCTTGTCTTGAATTTTAGCTTTAACGTTTTCAATCGTATCGGAAGGCTCAACTTCCAATGTGATAGTCTTACCAGTCAGGGTTTTAACAAAGATCTGCATTTTAGTAACTGTAACAAAGGAAAATCTGGGTCAGTATTATATATTGCTAATTTCAAGATTCTGAATAAATATTGTAACTATTGAATGCAAATGTTAAATTAAAATTGTTGATTTGGTGGGTTGGTTCGAGAAATGACACAAAAACATCTATATTTAATGTTCCAAACAAAGAACCTTCTGGGTTCACAAAATGGCGTCGTCCTTTGTTTAGAGATGACGCAATAAAATAGATGTTTCCTATTTCAAAATACTTACTTGGGTGTAAGCGCCCCAAACAGCTTTACAACTTAATTCGAAAATTAAACTTATATGCACAAATTGAAATTAATCCGAAAATCTAATAAATTAAAATGCTTGCTAAATTAGCACGTCCAAAGTTCTCTAGATACTATCCGCAAATAATGGTTCAATCGAAAATGTCTGGGCGAATGTTGTCCTATGGTATTTATAAACACTGTTCTTTTTTTATATTGCAACACATACAGCAGAGCACACATTTTATTCCTAAAAAATGGTCTGACGTTTGGGGGAATGAAGATTTGACGATTCTGTATATCGACGTTCGTTTGAGTATACTCTTTAGTTCGTGGCTCGGGCGTATTGTGAATTTATTTCAAGTGTGTAGGTACTTATTATAAACAATGTATTTGTAATTCATATGATGATGTACCTATTTCATTTGATAATTACTTAAAGTAGAATCATTGGATTTATTCTTAGTGTCTAACTTGTAACACGCCAGATTTTGGAATTGTTTTCTAAACCGACGTCCACTTACCACTTCCAGAGCTCCCTTACCTTATTATATGGAATTAAATTCGATGTGTGTATTATTAATGAAAATGTAAAATACTATTTACTTTGCGGCCTACTATTAATGAAATAACAGTGCGTGTTCTAAAAACACAAATACGTGTTTATAATGGCTGATTTAATACGTGCTGTGGGAGCACCGATTGGACCCCCTATAAAGGACAAGTTAGGATCGCCTTCTACGGAATCCGAAGACGGCGGAGGAGATATTGCCGAGTTAACAGCCGATTTGGAATTAGACGAAGCTGATGGGCCAAGCACCAATGGTATATACGCCTATTTTTAAACTTACTGATTTATTAAGAATTAATATTGCACTAAATTAATTATTTCGGTCATTAGCTGACGCAAAAGTAAAAATGTATTTAGGCTAAACTAAGTAAAATTTTTGGATGCAACATCCTTTCACTTATACCATCAGAGATTGAATGCCAAGAATGCCAACAGCACCTTATTATTATTTTATATACATACATATTTAGCTCTGTAAGGTGAATTAAATTGTGATGGTTTCACCATTCCTCAAATTAAATGTTATGTTAAACAGGTGAACGGCAAGCTGTCCTTGCTCCCCCTGAGAGTGAGTGGTATCATGGACGCCTCGACAGATACACTTCTGAGGAAAGATTGTGGGCTACTGGCAAGCACGGAAGTTACTTAGGTGAGATGAAGATATTATCAAGCTAAAGATCAAAATTTTGTATTTGTAACAGTCATTTGGAAGTAGGTGGATAACTAGATTTTAAATAAATGGTTTCTATAATGCTATTCTTTCCCTTTAAACCTTCTTTTTTGGTCTTGTCATCTTATTCTTGATTCTTCACAATTATGACCAGTACATTTCATAATGCAACTTATGTTAACTTTATAAGGCAATGATTTAAACCATGCTGTATTTTTATTGTATAATTTTGTTAAATTCATTGATGTAGAACATTGGAAAACGTGATTTCTACACAGTCCAAATAAATAAATTAACTGAAACATTCTTTCGAATTATATTATAAAATAATGGTGAAAAAGTGTTATATTTAGTATCTGGATTATAGATAATGTATTTTTATTTAGAGTACACAGAATAAATTTTAATAAGACATAATTGCCAAAAAGAATAAGATTGTTTGTTGTATCAGATAAAAAGGCTGAACAATATAAACGTAAAGAAAGATCAGATATTTCTTAAATTTGAATTAAGACTTCAATTCAAATAATCTATAAATTATTTTTTTTTTCTAGTTCGCGAGAGTGATAGAAAACCAGGCTCATACGTTTTGAGTTATTTGGGGCGCACTGGCATCAATCATTTTCGGTATGTATTTTTTTTTTTTTTTGGAAATAATAAAACTCTTTTTTAAATCAAAGGAGATTCTTTACTCTTATTTATTAATTTATTCTGTATAGCATAACTGCAGTTTGTGGTGATTATTACATTGGAGGACGCCAGTTCGACTCCCTCACGGAGCTAGTCGGTTTCTATAGCCATTGTTCGGATTTGCTGAAACGCGAGCGTCTAGTCGAGCCAGTTCCCCCACCCGAACCTGTTAATGATAAAAAGGTTGGTGTCTTGTCTTTGAACAGTTGTGTATAATAGCTACCTACGTACATGTTACAATGTTTTAGAAATCTTATTGTTGTTGACATGACAATATATGGTTACTGCAGTGCGAGACTGAATGATACGTTTTTATCTCTGCATTCATAGTAAAATGAGATCCAAAAGATCCAATGTCAATACCTCCTAGATTTTTTACGAAACCTCAAATTGACTGACTGAATTGTACTATCGAAGACATATACAATCATATAAGAGAATTGCCATTACAAAACACAATAACTCAATAATTAAAGAATCAGCAACAAGGCATAAAGGCGTAATGTATATTTTTGTGTAACTCAACAATGCGTTAAAGTGTAATTAAAGATTGCTACTAAGTTAGTAATAGATAGCATTATGTTCACTAGCGCGTGGTGGCTATACTACCCTACACTAAGATGCCGGACACGGACGAGCTCACGTTTCAGAAGGGCGACATTTTCTTCGTGCACAATGACATGGGCGACGGCTGGCTCTGGGTCACTGCACACAGGTGACTCATGATTCATAATACTCTTTAAGAACTCGGGAACGTTCTTTAACAGAGCAACTACTAAAATTAAATTCCCTTCAAGAAATTGAGTTACATATTCGCTTTTATTTAAAAATTAAAGTTAAAATATTAATTTTCTTTAAATTCTGAAAATAAATTGAATTTTTTTTGGAAGCTTGAACCGGCACCGTCAGCGTTCCGTGCTGTTGCTCTACCAATTGAGCTACCGAGTAGTACATACATATCATACAAGTCCATAGTCCATGTACTTCCCTGTTTTTCATCGATCCCGCCGAATTAAATTAATGTAAATTTTCATAAACTACTCAAACAGATAAATTTGTCTTTCTTATATAGTTATAATGAAACTACTAGCTTTTAAAGTAGCAAAAGTACTGTAGTAATACAGTAGACTTTTCTGTTGTACAAATATGTTGGGTGTGTTATGTAATGTCATGATTTTTCATAGAACTGGCGAGCAAGGGATGATCTTTAGAGAGTTAGTTGAGGATCTGGATCCATCAATTGATCCCAACACTGTTTTCTCTTGGTTTCATCCGAACTGTACTAAAAGTGAAGCTGTCGATATGCTAGTCAAAGCAGGACCTGGTAGCTTCTTGGTCAGGTAAAACAAAACATTGAAAGTGATGATTTATCCAATCTCTACTAGCAGATTTTAAGATACATATATTATTTCAGGCCTTCAGACAATTCACCCGGTGACTACTCTTTGTTTTTCCACATCAATAATCAAATTCAGAGGTTCAGGATTGAAAAGAAAGGTGTACGTTACCTCATGGGTGGTCGGACATTTGAGTGTTTGGATGCGGTAATCAATAGATACAGAAAAGAGCAGATCGTAGAAGGACATACGCTGGGACAGCCAGTAAATATTAATATTTTTTAATAATAATAATAATATACTCTTTATTGCACAAACATAGACATAACAACATGGATACATAGAATTACATATACAAAAAAAAACCTTTTTTTTTTTACAAAAACTATTTAAATTATATTAAGTTAAATACTGCCTGTAGATTACGTGAGTTGTACACATTTAAATAAAACACTTTAACGGTTTAAAACGCGATATATATAAGTTAAGATTATTTGAAAATTATTTTTAACTACGGCCAGACCTTTCGTATGCTTTGCTGCATCCGTGGTGTCCTCACGACCACAAATATATATCACGTTTTAATCTGTTTTATTAAAATTGTATTAGCATACATTAAGCATTTTTTTACACATTCCCAGCTCATAGCAGAAGGTCATCAAATAGAACCGCAGCAAAGCACAACGGGCGCCGCAGCGGAGAAGATATACGCAACATTAAGGGAGTGTCGTGACCAGATAGGTCTGAAGAAGATGAAGGGAATCAAACACCAGGGCTACCTCCACAAGAAATCAGATAAGGGCGCTAAAAAGTGGAAGGCTCTGTACTTCGTGTTGCTTCAAGAGGGAACTGATACCCATCTGTACTTCTATGATTCACCGAAGCGAACAAAGCCGAAGGGCCTTATTGATCTGTCGTGTGCTTATCTATATCAGGTAAATATTGTTGCCAGGACAGACAAACATGAGCGTCACTTGATGGTAGGTGAAATATCCCGGCCATATAACTAGATTATATGGCCGGGATTTGGCCTTGGATTTGATATAGATTTGGATAGCTGCAAAAAGTCTTATCTCGATATATTTGCTGCCAATTTACTTGATATTTTACACTCAAGAATACTATACTATACTTTCCTTTTTATATCTGTATCTACAACTGATTCTATGTCACCTGACATACCCAATATCGATAATCTTTGATTTACCAGTTTCGTAGATACTTCCATATGTAGACATCAGAATTCTGAAAGTAATTGATGATTATGTATATTTAGGTCCACGAGTCTCTGTGGGAGAGAGAATTCTGTTTCCAACTGGTAGAGCGAGCTCTGCCTTGTCTCTCTACGCACACCTTCCTAGCGGCTTCCTCCGCCACTGAACTGCGTGGCTGGCTCGATGCGCTTCGACCGCTCTGCGTGCCGCAACAGGCTAGACATCAGTCTAAGGTTAGTTCCTCCTATATTTCTAGACTAATAAAGTATCTATAAACCAGATAGTGCTTGAATTCGTGACTCATGATGTGTGTCGAGTATTCGTTTGATAGTGCCATCATGTAAAAATGTTACAGTTTCGAACGTCAAACTCGATATTTTCATATACAATGACTGTCTTAAACTACAAAGCAGAAGACGTCGAACTTTAATGCGCAAGTGTTAAGCTTGTAATTACATGCCACATATTTTTAAATGCATATTGACAGAACGCTGTGGATGCCAGGTCAAGTTCTGTCCGTATAGTAATTTTTTTTCAATACTACATCGATTTTCAATTTATATAGTGCCATCATTTGTATAACATGTGAAAAAAATAAAACTGTTGGAAAACATTAATTTTTTTCCCATGTTTTTGCACACGGAGGCACAAAAAAATTTAATATTTTTTTTTTTTTTTCTCCGGGGGGGTTTTTTTTGGCCCGGTTTTTTTTTTTTTTTTTTTTTTTTTTTTTCTTTTTTCTCCCCCCTCCCCCCCCCCTTTTTTTTTTTTTTTTTTTTTTTTTTTTTTTTTTTTTTTTTTTTTTTTTTTTTTTTTTTTTTTTTTTTTTTTTTTTTTTGTTTTTTTTTTTTTTTTTTTTTTTTTTTTTTTTTTTTTTTTTTTTTTTTTTTTTTTTTTTTTTTTTTTTTTTTTTTTTTTTTTTTTTTTTTTTTTACTTATAAGAGACTGTATGTTGGTTTGTACAGGTGTCGCGGGTAGTTTGGCTTCGTGCTTTGCGCGTACGCTGCGTAACAGCGCACCGTTTGCCAGCACGTCTGGCTCCGCGGCCATACTTACGTCTGGCGTTGGGCGCTGCTCCGGTGGCGCGTACGAGGCCGCGACCCTCGCCCGACCCGCACTGGGATGATGAGTTTGTGTTCGAGTAAGTAAAATTTCATTAGACTACACTGTAATATTAAGACAGGCTCAATAGTCCAATGGTAATAAGGTATGGCTAGTAATCAATGAGGCTTGGGTTTGAACCCCACCAGGTTTAACGCGTTTCTCAAAGCGTATAATTTTGGCATGTGAATTGATTTTTTTAGAAAACCGGAATATTAAATATTGTGTCCTCGATATTAATCGTCTACAGATGGAAAATTTGTGAATTTTAGTCGCGTTTCAGTCCATATCAAAATAGGTCGTGGCATCACACACATCCCGTTTAGTTTCAGTATTCGGATATTTAATCTTATATCAAGTGGACCCATCCATCACTGTCATAAAAAAAAGTGAAAGCCCGTTTCCCCTCTGGGGCAAACATTTCTGTGTCCGTTTCACTGATCCTTTCTTTTGAGGGGCAAGTAGTTGATCAGACTTCTGTGCCCTGCACGACCGAAACAATTTTATGTTTCCCTGAGATTCGAACCCAGGACCTCTCGTGCTTATCGCAATGCTAGGCTAGGTTTAACCATTTGGCACAGAGGCGATCGTCATAAAAAAGATAGACTAAAAATAAAAACTGAAAATTACATTGGTAATGTTATTGTTTCAGTGATGTCCCACCAGATGTTACATCTTTTACTATTACCGTACATAACACTGGCAAGAGAGGCAAGGAATCGGAGGTATGTACTGCTTTCATTCTTAACTATAATAATATTTTTTAAATGTTGGTATAAATCATTTTTTACTCTATAGGTTGCTGAATTGACCATAGAATTAGCCAACCTGGCTAACGGTGAAGAGGTTGAGGAGTGGTATCCCCTTGCGGGGATGACGCCAATTGGCGAATGGGGTTCTCTAAGACTTCGTATTAGGTAAGTCTGTACACATTTAAATAAAACACTTTTAACGGTTTAAAGAGCGAAATTACTTGGAAACTTATTAAAAACTACTTTGTGTACGGAGCGATGTTTCGTCTATTTTGCAGCACGTCTTCCCGTGACTTCGGCTACATTTTGCGATTTACACCGTTAAAAGTGTTTTATTTAAATGATCATTTAATTTTTGTAAAAATAATAAGATTATTACAACACAAAAGTACGGAAATGCTTAAGGTCTGTGCAACGAAGTGAAAGGAAAATAGAATTTTACATTTTCACCTCATTATATAGTATTTACTGCCTTAAAAGTAGAATAAAACAATGTATGTGTCTTAAATAGGTATATGCAAGAATTAGTGATGCCCCGCGAGGAATATAATCCATTGCGGCAGCTACTTTTAGAACCTGGTTTACCTGCTGTCAAGGCGCTAGCTGACTTATGCAGAACAGACAGGCAACCGTTAGCAACTTGTGAGTATTACAGTTCTTTACTATCTCTTTGATCATATCATTAATTCGGTACAGGGTAACGCTTGATATAATTTATGTTAAAAATACCTACTGCTAGCAATATCTTCTACTATTATGTCTTAAAAAAGATAATGTTATTAATTTATAGGCATTAAAAATTACATAGAAACAAGTCTTGTCTCTAGAAAATACAGAGTTTAAGTAAACGCCGACTTGCCGTATGTATTGAACACCGTTGTATTATATTTATTTATAACACTTTTTGTAATTACAGCGGTACTCCACGCGTTTTCCGAGTGCGGCCGGGGCGCGGAGCTAGCTCACGAGTTGGCTGCAGCGGAAGTGGCGCGGGAAGCAGACCACCGTGCTCTCTTCCGCGGTGCATCGCTGGCCACCGCTGTACTGGACGAATTTATGCATGCCCTTTGCAAACCTTTCTTGCAGGTACAATATTTTTGTATAGAAGGTTTTATAACAATTGTATAGTTAGCTGTTTTCTACAATTTGATGAATTAATACTTTGCTACGAAGAGCTGGCTGAAGAGGTTCTTTGAAGTACCGAATATGAGTAACTAGCTATGGCCGCGACTAATTAATCTTTTAGGTAGGAACATACTGTCGCGGAATTTTTTTAGATGGTTTAAAGAGGAATAATTTTTCCATACATTTTTTTTGGATTTACTTTCTCTAGTTTAGTCAGTAGGGCGCCGCTTTTGACCAAAATTTTTCTTCGTAGGCGGCAATATCAGAGACAGTGCAAAAGTTGATAGATGCAAAACAGTCTGCGGAACTTAACCCCACTAAGATGGACTCTCCGGATGACGCCTGCAACAATGCAGAGTTCTTACTTATGATTTTGGATCAGGTATAGATACAAAATGTCTACAGCTTTAAATACTGTTAAAACTTGATGTTGCTATAAAATTAATAAAATTTAAGAATTATATAGTTTTAATAAATAAGAGACTTAAAGTTCTACACGCTTTAGGTGAATGTAAATAACTATTTAATTTGTTATTTAACTTCAAAGATTTCAGTAAACATGGAAATGATAATACACAAAAAGGGTCTGTCGCTAACCTTGCTACTAAAATGAATACGTCAAAACACTTCGTCTTGAAATCTAGATATTAAATTGGTGGTAGGTATATCAAAATACCGTCCGGGTCACAAACCACCGTCCCCAGATGGAAAGGCCCTCAAGTTTAATCGCGTTTTGATTTCAGTCTGCGGATTTCCGAACCCCACCAATAAGCACAGCCATCTGGGATATTTCACTTACCATCAAATGAACCCCGTGCTTGTCTCTTCTTCTCTATTATACACAAAGGAGCTGTCAATTTAATGCTTTGCTTTGTACAGAAAGGTTTAAACTAAGATACATTCTGTTTTCTTCTGTATAGATAACGTTGTCAATATTTACGTCGCCGGAAGCGTGCCCTCGGCCCATTCGTTATCTCTGTGGATGCCTGCAGCGTGCGGCTGTCGCTAAATGGCCAAATGAGAGATTTGTCCGCACGAGAGTGGTTTCAGGTAAAGATTCCGTCCAGACGTAAATCTTGGCGTCGAACTATGTAATATAAAGATCCAGCGTCCGAATTAAATATTAACTTTGATATTATTTAGCTTCGGAATTATAGTGCGTGTCTTGTAAATTGTTATGTTATAGTGCGTGTCTTGTAAATTAAATTAAATATTGTCAATAATATACTTTTAATTTATAGGGTTTATATTCCTGCGTCTTATTTGCCCGGCGCTGGTTGAGCCACGCGCGTGGGGCCTCTTAAGCGCAGCGCCCCCACCTCACGCCCAAAGATCCCTTCTCATGGTCGCCAAGTGCCTGCAGAATCTTGCCAACCTCGTCGAGTTTGGAGCTAAGGTATATATTATATTATTCTAAAACTATTTAATAGCTGCTCTCCTTTTTTATTTAAATAAGTTTAAATATTATTTATTAGATTTACCTTTTAACAATAACAAACACAAAATGAAACTAAACAGTTTTTTTTTATTTCAGGAACCTTACATGGAGGTCGTAAATCCGTTTATACTGAAGAATAAGGAACGCATGGTCGTGTTTTTAGACCAACTCAGCTCAGTACAAGACCCAGGAAATATACAGACAAATTCTAACAATAACTTTGATATAGGTATGTCAAAATACAACTGAGTAAACTAAATTCTTTCCTCTCTGAAAAAAACGTATTTATTTAGTCTTGAGTCAAGATATTTTAACTAACTAACTATCACTATGTCTGTCCAATAAAACTTCTTCTAATCCCTAATCTTTCTAAGCTAAGCCTTTGGTATTTTTCTCACCTTCATTATAATGTATTGAATTGGGTTTAATTTCATTCCAGCGAAAGAACTAGCGACCATCCATCACATCTGCGTGTCGCACCTTGCGGAATTACAGAACCTGTCAAAGAGTCAACCGGCTATCAGGAAACTAGTGACAGTGACAGAGATGCTCACTAAGCACAAACACAAGTACCTCGAGATGATCAGATAGGACACGTCTCCATGTCAGACAGGTGAACCATATATTTTTTTGTGTGGAGATACAACCAACACCAGTGGTAGATGTTTTATAATCATAAGACCCTGAAGTACATATTACCTTGAAGTTCTATAAGGAGTCCCGGAATCCATATGATTTGTTTATAGTACGTCTCTGCGATTAAAATATCAGATGGACCAATTTTGGTGACTTCAATTTCGGTCGTCTTATTGACGTCACAAGTACTTTTTTTTAGTTTGCTCGATGAATATCAACATACATATTATTGATCTAAATTTAATTTTTTTTTGTGTATCTGTCTAATTATTTTTGTTTGTTTCAGGGTAAAAAGCATTAAGGGAAAGCAGTAGAAGTAGTCTAGCGGTCTCCGACGGGACTTAGTCGTACTCGTGTAGTCATTTTTAGCTTTAGCATTTTTTTTAGCTTCCTATCGATATAAAACTTTTCTACTGCGAATTTGAAACTAATGCAATCACATCCTTGTCTATTGCCACAATTATTATAAAGTTGTTTGTGAGGTTTTTAATAATATTTGACGAGGGTCAAATGAGGATTTCAACAGTTCATTTCTCAGTTCAGTCTGTAAGTCTAAATTTAGTATTCGTTTAAAGTATCAAAAATGTTTGTCTGTAGTGTACACGAGTAGTACACATTTAAATAAATCACTTATAATGATGTTTAAAACGTGAAATGTATTTAATAATTATCTACGAAATGGCGTCACAAGGGGGGGGGGGGGGGACTAAAGATGGGGGGTCCCAAGTTTTCTCGTAGCTCATATTTAGAGGTTCAATCTCCAGCCTGTGTTGCCATAAGGTTATATAAAAGGTTTTATTTCAAAATATCAAGGATGTGGTTAGTTTGTTTCAAGTTTGTTAAAGTTATAGACTGGACTGATTCCTACGTTAAGATACAGCAGATTGCTGAACTCGTTTTTTGTTTATCTATCTCTACAAGGTTATCATTTTTATTCATACTTTGCGTAATAACAGGCGCCTTCGAGACTAGAATTTTTATAAAATTTATCTTCTACATATTGTATAACGGAAGTATCTCTTTAGCATTTAAGTCCTATTTATTGCTTAGTTGGTTATTAAGACTACTGACTTCGTGACGATTTTTATATTTTTAAACATATATAAACAAAATTAAGTATACTTCAACGATACGTACCGAAAATCACAATTGACAAAATGACTCACAAGTGACATTTGTATTAGGCCAGTTATAATCAAGTCTGAATCTTAGAATATAACTTTTAACGGTAGAAACAACATAAGAAATCATAAACCCTTTTTCTGTTATTGATTTTTGAAGTTGAATCAGTATTCAAAAAGTCAAACCTAATCTAATTTTATGCAATGAAACTTTCTATTTTTTTTTTACTTTTTATTGGATTGATATATCTTGCAAAATGAATAATCAAAAAAGCCTGAAATAAAAATGGAACGTATGATTATTAAAATATTTGGCTAACAAATAGTTACATAGAACAATACTCAATGGTCGTAAATAATAATTCTGAGAATTAACATCATTAAAAACTTTTTGCTACGATCCTCATTTATATAGATTTAAGACTTATTATTCGTTCGCGATATCCAAAATTATTAAGCGAATTGTATTGGAGGATGTGATAATATATTATGGATAAAATACAATTTCCCACGCTTCCTACGATAATTGATTCTGTGATAATGGTAAGAAAACTTCTTTATTACTTTATTAAATCTTCTTATACATGTTAATTTTTGTGCAAAAATCGGCCGAAAAAAAAACTTTACACACAAATTTCCTTCTTATGTAGGTGCTGTCAGTTCAATATTGTTCAGCCACAACCTAACCCAATATTATAAATGCAGCAAAGATTTGTAAACTTAAATTTACAGTTACAGGGTCCTAGAATTTGTTTAGTTCTATTGGAAAACCGCATCACATTGAAATCCCACGCTCTTTCCTGACACAAAAACTGGATCTAAGATTAAGAATTAATTTTAAAAATTAAACTTCCAACACTCTCTGTGGAGAAGAATAAATGCTCAAATAATTCAATGTGGTGCCATAATAAAATTTATTTATTTTCAATTCTTCGCTCTGTTCACTTATCAGTGAAAATTGTCAAAGAAAATAAACTGTCTTTTATAAGATAAGGTGTCTATCGTAAATTTTGTCATCATATGTTGTTAAAATTATGAAGTTTAACTACAAATTTGTTTTTCTCTTATTGAAATGTTACAATTGTTTTATGAATACTCAAACATGACATACTTGGGTGTACGGAACCATTTCCATTAAATGTCTTATATGTATGTATTATTTCTCAGTGTTGCGTTCTAAATCATTGAAACTGATTAATAAGCTTCATAGTAAGAATTGCATCGAAAACAATTACTGTATTAAGTTAGCAATAGGCAATAGCTTGTAGGTCTAGTGGATGTGTCGCTGTACTGTGTTAGCTTATGATAGGAAAATGTCTAGACTGATTTACGCTCCATTTATTATTAGATTTATAACAATAATTGTAAGTAATATAAAGCACTACATTCTATTAAAATTGTAATGAATAATATTTTTCCAACGTTTGGCTCCATTAACTTTTGTACTAGTCGCGAAACTAAGAAAAGATAAACGTTTTGGTATTGCTGATTACAATATAATTTTCACCTCTCTATATTGATTAAGCTAAAAATTATTTTAACCTCAAAGCCACAGTTGTATTGCTTCTCATAATAATATCCCCATGAGAAAAATTATAGAACACTGCAGAGATTTTTATTTGTGCAGAATTATGTTTTTATATGTATTCTTTATACAATGTATGTAATTATGTTTTATACTCTTTTTGGAGAAATGCAAATCAATGCACAGTTTGTGCACTTGTTAACATCTGCATTCTAGAAAACATGTTATTAAGACATTCAAACGCATTTAGTTATTAATATGTTACAGTTGATTTGTATTCATAGATTCAAATATAACCTTTAGCTTTAGATTATGTGACTGTTCTATAATCTTTTTATATTCTAACCTTAGCTTGTACTGTTTTCTATAAAATTTTTATCTGTGCTAGGAATCCAGAATCTAAATAAAATTCTCATAAAAGTATAAAATATTTTTTTTTAATCCTTAATTTACCCTATGTTAAAAATAATATAGTAAAAGCCATTACTACACAGCAAACTGCAACATATGGTGACTTTCTTTCTCCAATTCTTGCACATTTCCAAAATGTTCCTAAAAGTCTGTAAATAGAAAATTCCTACAATGTTAATTGTAAAATATATATTTAGTTTACATGTTAATTTGGGTTCCATATTAACTAAAAAAACAAGTGTCAGGATAGTCAAGTGCAATTGTTTCACATGTTCTCCAAGATATGAGGGCTAAACTTTGTCCTCTAAACGCTAGATATAGAATTTTTAATAATTTTTTCGATTACTAAAATAATAAGGGATTCAAATCCTGGCCGTACATAACCAAGTGTGAGGTTAATAAATAGGATGTAAGCACAAACCTCTTAAATAAATTATTAACTTACCCAGTTTTATTTCTATCCATTAAAGTGGGAAAAAATGATCTGAGATAAGCGCAGGTGCAAATCAAGAGTAGAATCACTGATAGAAGACTTTGGAAGTTGAATATTGCACTCTGAAAACATTTTTTTTAATTCTACAAATACTTGAACTACATTACAATAGTGTCTGTATGTAAATATTAAAATTAAATTTCTTACCATACTTATAGTGGCATCAAAACTGTCTTTTCATAAATTTGTTTGTATTTTTACAATATTTATTAATGCAATGTGTCAGAATAATTATTACACATTGGCTTTTATTTTATAATCCCGTTGAATTCGTTCAGCACTAGAAAATAATACGTTGTAGGCCTTAAACCCACTGAAACCTAAAACAGATGCACATTGGTTGATGGTAAATATCAAGGAAAATTGATTTTATTATATTAGTTTACTTTACATCACTAAGACAATATATTTAATTATTTTATTGGAATCCAACTCAATGCTTACATTTTAAATTACAGAATACAGATTAGGACCCACAGCCATTAGCCACAGCAGATCAACTCCATAACGTATAGATAACCATATAAATAGTGCGCAGTGTCACAAATCACAATTTGGCAAAATTGGCAATTGGCTTTTGATTGTACGTCACACATTTTGTTTTTTAATTATAATGTTTTTGTTAAAAATGTATCAACTTAAGTTACTAATTACGAAGTAAAATATAAATATAATTTTCCACAATGGAATCTAAGTTTTGCCCAAAAATGACTGATGAAAAGTATGCTCTAGTTGAAAAAATTGTCAAAGACGTGCACAATGTTTTGTGTAAGACAGTGGATTTGTAAGTTTCATGATATAGAAATTATTATTATTTTTGTTTATTACTTATTACAATTATTGTATACAATGGTTTCATAATTGTTGAATATTTTCAGGTATTCATTCGATATTATACCTGTACATACTAACTTAAGAAATAAATCTCCTGTTGTATGCGTGGAGAACTGTCTGGGTCTGGAATCGTGGTGTGTCAAGCAAGTGTACTTACATTGTTATTCAGAATTAATGGAAAACATCTGCGCAAAATCTCAAAGACAATATAAAAAGTCATCTCTATTGAATTCAGAGAGTCTGGTGAAGTTATTAAATGTAACATTACTAATAAACCCTGATTTATGTGTGCTATGGAATAAGAGGAGAAATATGTTACAAGAATCATTATTAGACAGCACATTAGAAATGAAATTCACAAGTCTTGTTTTATCAAGGAAACCAAAGTGTAATGATGCGTTTGCTTACAGAAGATGGATTTTGGAAACATTTATATTAAGTATGGTTCTACTGCATATATTTGAAATATAATTGTTACCAATAAACAACTAATTGTTTATTTAATTATAGATGGTGAGCATGTCAATACACTGGAGAATACAATAAACACAGAGCTTAGGTTATGTGACTTAGCATCAGATAAAAGCCCAAACAATTACCACAGTTGGAGCCATCGCCTCTGGTTAATAAGCAAATTAAGAGATACACACAAAGACTACGATTTAACGTCATTATTAATTAAAGAGTATAGTTTTTCAGAAATATGGACGTCTAAGCATGTTTCTGATTTTAGTTGTTTTCATTATCGCCAATTCTGTGTCAAAAATATGTATCAATTTAACAATTCATCTTGGAAGGCATTTGAAAATTCATTGGCTGATAACTTCCATAAAGGTCTCATAAGAATAATTGCAATGAACTTTCCAAAAGATGGTACTATGCAAATGTCTGAACAAGACCTATTGTGTTTTTCAGATGAAAATTTAATGAACTTATTGATTTCTTATGATATTAAGAAATGCTCTTGTAGTGTTGATCATGTTATATTATGTAGAAAGTTGGAAGTTTTATGTCACGAACTGATACTTAATAATGAGCTAGTAAGGTTTTATAAGCATCATGAGTCATTGTGGTATCATAGACGTTTTATACTGCATGAAATTATTAATATGATGTATAATCATTTTGGTTTAGTAAGGTGTAATGGAGTTCTCATAAAAAAAACATGTAAACAGTGTAGATCACATGATTTGAGACAGAAACAAGCTAAAATCACCAGGTATGATGGTGATTGCATTTCTAACAGTATTTTGTTTCAAGTAATTGTATCACACGAAAGGAAGTTTGTTGAGGAGAGGTTAAAGGATGGTGACAATTATGCAGATAGACATGTTAAGTATTTGAAATTTGTTCAAGGTTTAAATAGTGTGATGTAAATATGAGAATTTATATAAAAAGGTAAAAACTAGCACAGTGTATATGTTTTGTTTTATTCTCTATAGACATACTACTCTGAAAGAGGTCTTGTACATAAGTAGACATAGTTTTTTTTACTGCACTTTTATAAAGCTTTTCACATATTATGTATATGTTGAGATCTGTTTTGAGTTCTAAATGATAATTTTCTGGATTTTATCATTTAGAACTGTCTCATGACTGAAGACTGGAAAAAACGAATGTTACAATCAGATGTATATTACAGTTTCCTGATAAGTGTAATGTCATATTTGTTAATAATCTTATCGGAAAATATATATATTCTGATTTTGCATAATTTAATTTTAATAGTGTAAAAAATATTCAAGTCAAATCAATTCGTAAATATGAAACATTACTATTTTAAATGTTATTATTATAGCTTTATAAAAAATATTTTTCAATAGTATTTTTTATTTATTTAAGCATTTATACAGTCTGAGACCTCGCGGCCATTTTGCGATATACGTTTTTCAGTTGTTCTTTGGTCGTAATTGAGAAACGATTCTTGACGCATCGCCATCTCGAGTGGTTGGTGGGGAGATGTTGAGCGTACCTTGACTAAGCGAAGACTGAACTCATGAACTCTAAAACTTCAAGATTTATTTGAGTGTGCTAGGTGTGATATATATAATGACTTGGTGTATTTATGTCTTAACATTAATCAGTTGTTTATAAATTGTGTATTTGTAATTTATTATAAAACATGTATTTACGTTAATATTCTGATTCTATGCACGAATAAATGTAGAAAAATAAAAGATTTAATTTTGTTTGCCTATTTTGAATTTTGTTTAGGTAATAAGTTTGTGTAATCACATAGCGTAGGTATATATAAATTGTTGGTCCCGTCCTGTTTGCTGCCAGCCACCTGCTGCCGTTGGGATTAGTTTCCTTATCTGACGTCACCTGTTGCGAGTTCGAGTCCCGTTTGTGTCACAGAATACTTTTCAAATTGCCCTGCCAAATAAGCCTTTACGGACCTAGTATTGTAACACAGTAGGGAGACGTGTGATTCGTATTTTCGTAATTTGTAGCTATTATTGGTTTTAATGTGTTTTAAGTTATCATAAAAAAAATAAAGCCAATTTTACATTATCTCAGTCCAGTAACCCACTAGCACTGGACCGACCTCGCAATATAATCTACATCTTTTTAGTAATGTACGTCCGTCGACAAATCTGGTCGTCGACATTAAATCGGCCGTTTTCATTATTTCAGCAGTGCTAGTTTCAAAGGCGTCCAGTTTTCAACAGAAATGGTGCATATCAGTGCCTGCTAACATTATTAAAGCACTTGCAAGCGCAGAAGAATACTGCTGCAATTTCTAGACGTGCCAGCGTAATTGTTTTTAAAAGTATTCTAATGTTTCAAAATGTGTAATATAATAAATCGCACCTGACATGCTTATTATAAAAATATTTTTTTATTTATTTCTACTTGTGTGCAATTAATGTGTGTTACATTTATCTATTAGTATATATTTAAAGATACCATCAACATTAAAGTTTTTAGGAATTAACCTTGCTTCGAAGAATTGAGTTAGACACCCAGATAAGCAGTTTCATGTTATGTATAACACCAGTTAGGTATATTTGACTATCTTTTCCTTTCATTCGCTTTGAAAGGATCCAGGACGCGCTATTTAAAATTGCATACGCATTGTGTAGTCTTCAGTATACTGGCCTTTATATGGGTCAGGAGGTTTTGCATACGCGATAAACCTCCGACCACCTTCTATCTGAACAGAAGTAAGTCGCCGATCGAAAGAAGTAAAACATGCTGTAATGCGTCTAGGTATGAATTACATTTCTTTGAAGCAAGTTTCACGTATCTCGGTGGGAATTGTGACGCTGGTGACGTCACAAATGTGTCCCCCGCTCGCTGGTCCTCGATCGATATTGTATTCGGCTTCGCGTATTTCCGGGGGAGATCGGAAACCGACGCTTAGTGTTCACACCACGTGCGAATTACATAACTGGAATTGCTACAACTCATTGACGAAGGTTATTTGTGTAGCTTCGAATATTACATAAGTTTACCTAATAAAAGTTGCTCATCGCACTTGTTCACAAACCATGTATCTGCTTTTGAGAAAGTTTTGTGCGCTTTTATTATTTTCTTGCCCACAGTAACGTTTTTAGCTGTCGACCCTAACATCAATTTTTTTTATAAACCATTATTAATTTTATTAATTATACAAAAAAAAAATATTGTGATTATACCTATTTCATTCAAGTAAAAAAAAATATTTTTCAAAAATCTTTGCTGTAAAAATAGTTTGATTTAATTTTTTCTTAACTAGCTTTTAATTCTAGGAAAAACTTTAATAATAAGGAAATACTCTGTGTGGGTGCCTTTCCTGAATTGCATTGAGTGTAGGTGCTTAGAGGAGCTCGTTCCCTCTAAGCACTCGGGACTGAGACTCTTAACGACTTGTATAATAATATAATCTGAAAATACTGTTACCAGTAAGCTTTTGGTTATTTAGTGTTAAAGCAGAACAATCATAGAGTAAAACTTAGAAGATTAGCAACTACTAGGTTATGTCTCGAGCAAATAATAATTATTTTATTAATTTGAAAGCTTAAACTCTTGTCAGGAGTTTGAGGTTTTAAATTATGAGAAAGGGAATATGATGAATGCTTCTTTCAATGTTAACATGATATCGTTAACACTGAAAGAAGCCATCTCATTTACTTACAATTCGTTAGTTGCCTACAGAGATCGAACTAGTTATATAATTCTTTGATGAAAGGAGAAATAATCATAAAACTGTAAAGCACAACGTAATAATTATCTTAGACGTCATTGTCAAACAGTTTTTAGTATAACAAATTTTACACCCACAAATTTTATCTTAGTTTCATTTGATGCATAATCACATTTGGGTTCTCCGTAGTCGTGTAAAAATAAGTAATAAAATGTCGGTGTTTTGAAACTGTTCAATATTATAGATACAATTAAACGAGCAAACTACTGCAAAGGTATCGCGGCAAGAAACTGCAAATAGGCTGTCTACGTGCTCTTTCCCACTCGGAACGTGCAATGAATTTTTCAATAATCATTACAGCTAAGTAGGCATTTTGGTGCCACTGGAATTCGTACTTTGCGATGGATCGTGTGATATGAGCTAAATGTGTCTGTCCGGGTTTGGATTAGGCGATGTTTTTGTGAACCTATATAGACCATCCATCATCACAGACAGGCTTATTACTGCCGATAGGTATACCTGGAGAAGTAAATTCCCTTTTTCCCATTATGTGGGGTAGACGTACTCTAAGTCTGTTTCACAGCTCAATCTTTTATACAGGCAAGTAGTTGATTTCAGTATAAGTTAAGGTGTTGTATTATCCGGGTTGAGAACCTTGTTGCTTGATGCAATGATGAGTAATACGTTTTCTGATTAATAATATAGATTACTAATGTAGTTATATGGTACATCGGTAAATAAGCCTGTTTGATGTCGCACTTTATAAACATATGGTAAATTTTATTAGGTGTGAGAATTTATTCAAAATATCGTGGATAATTAACAAGAGGTCTCCCGGGGACAACGCCGGCTGCAAAGCATCCGAAAGGGGGGGGCGGGGTTTAAAATTTTTTTCAAATATTTTTTTTTTTTTTTTTTCGTTTTTTCCCCCTTTTTTTTTTTTTTTTTAAAGAGTTCAACATTATTGCTTTTAAGTTATTCACTTTTACAAAACGAAATCAAATTTTCAAAGCTTTCGGGTCGCATTAGAATAGAGCACATTTAGACTAATGACAAAATTGATTTTATGAAAGCACAAAAGACTCACTTTTGTGCCACCAGTCATCTTAAACGACAAGATAGCTCAGAAGACAGAGGCAAGAACTTATTTCGTGTGCTAGACCATTATTTTCTGCGTCATGCAAGAAATTTTAAAGCTATGAAAGTTCAACCTTAAGCGTATACCTTTATTTGCACATGTACAATTATATACGTCAATTTTAAGCATTTAGCAATACAAAAAATATCGTTAACACTGTTTTCCCGTACACTTTGTCTTTTAAGGTAAAATTTCAAAGTTTTTAAGTTCTTAAAAAGCAACAAGAGAACTTATGTAGTTGTTATATAAAAAAATGTAGTAATGGTTAAGGTCCAGGTATAAAAAGTAAGGGCTTAATCTATTTCGTCTGCGAACGAAAGCTCAGTTACCTATAAACCGGTTAGTATCCGCATCACTTCTAGGACTAGGCCAGTGCAATAATTGCATCCAGTTTAACCGGGTTCGATCGATGTGAGGGTATTTACCTCGCCGGGCAAAAATAATCCGGGTGCCGGTGATGTCAGAAGACGTCCCGACCGCGCATGCGCGCTCGACGCGAACGTAAAAATGTGTGGATGCGCTTTCGAAGCCTTATTACGAGTCGAGCTGACACGACGAGCTTTCGTTCAGCGAGTGTCGCTGCGCGCGGTCGGTGGTGATTTCAGAGGATGTTAGTTAGTGCGCGTCTGTGATGCAATGAGTGGAAATGTCGGTATCGAGGCAGCCGGCCGGCGGAGGCGCGTCCTGCCGTTTGTAGGTTGATGGCTCGGCGGGGAGGAACCCGTCAGTCGGTCGCCGGGCCGCGCAGAGCCGGGCGCGCGTGTGCGAGTTATGGCGCCCCGCGGCGGCCGGTGAGGCGCCGGCCCCGCCGACCGCCTCGGGTCGACGGGCCAGCCAGGCCAGACGGCCACTCGTCCCACCATGTCCTTGCTCAGCGTCACAGGTAGTGTAACTTTCGCGCCACTTCACTCTCTTTGTCTCTTGTCGTTATGGAGGCGCCTATAATACAAAGCTACGTTGGAGCTTAGTACTAAGAATGTTCAATCTTTATACGACTTATGTAGACTCTGTTGCTACGTTCGTAGCGCTATACGTAGCCTCGTAGACTGTAGAGCTTTTCGACGTTTTTGTTTCAATAAGATTTCGTTATATATGAGTCAAAGACATGTGATTATAATATTACATTTATCATGGTACAATAATAGCGTACCGTTCTAATTAGAAACAGATTTATTTAAAATATTATCACGCTCTAGCGGAGTCAAAAGAACTAGGTCAGCCAAAGTACTAGTCTTTTCATATTTATTTTACACTTTATAATTTTTGTAGCTTAAATGTTACTGGAGTGAACTATAAATATAGTTAAATTACTATTTAATAAGTATACTAGGCTACAAAATAATGTTTTTACTGCCTGCACTACAAAAATGGCTATAACGAATTATATTAAAATGAGATTAATAAAGAAATCAAATAATCATCTATATTTTTGGGAAAGTTTTATTGATATGTTTTTGAGATTACAGTAGTTATTTACATGTCATTTTTAGAAACACAATAATTTCAAGAGGGATTTAAAATACATGCAGATAGGTTGAATGACCTACAATGAAATGGAATAGCCCAATTTGTTCAAATATAAAACAGGCTCGATATTCGCCTCGATGCAGCCATTGCATTTGCGACTTTACTATACAGAAGCTATGTATAATTTCGCTTAAAATTACGTAATTGGAACGTTATTCAAAGCATTTAGTGAAGCTTTAGATACGAATTGTGGTTTTGGTTTGGTTTTTGTCATCAACGAAATGCGTTAAGTTACGTCAATAAAAATTATAGTACTTTGATTTAATAGTAACAACAAAATAACATTCGTTTATTAAAAAAAAAGTTGATTACCATTTTAAAATTTAAGAATCGAAAGAAAATTAAAAAAACTTTCGACTCTTAGAATTTACTCTGAGCAACAGCGCGGAATGCTGACGATGCCGGTTCAAGTCCTGCCCGAGTCGGATTTTTTTCAATTTATTTTCGATTTTTAAATTATATAGTGCCATCATGTGCAATAAAAAAGTTTTCAATCATTTTGTCATCAAAATCCAACACCTAACACTCCGATATCGGCGTTTTTGTAAACATCTAAAACAATCCTTAATTGTGTTAATTATTATATTCAAATAAAAAACCTTAAAAGTTTAAAACGCGACATATATTTATTAGTTAAACATATTTGAAAATTTGCAGCAGCCGTGGACACGGCGAGAAACGTCGGGCCGTAGGGCCGATAAAAAAATGTCAAATAAGTTTAACCAATATATATATCGCTTTTTTGTTTTATTTAAATGTGTACTACTCGTGTAAACTACAGACAGTATTTAATTATTATATGCTTCTCGCAATAATGTGAAAAGTAATGTATCTAGACTATTCCCATTTGGCTCTACACCAATTTGTACTAGGATGAGTAATGGGGTAATACATTAATAATTTGTGATTATCTTAACCTCAAATAAAGTATATTTGGATTTTCATTGTAAAATTTCGATTCTTTTTTTATTTATCTACTATCATTGTACACGTGGGTATCAAAACTTATTTTCGATTCGAACGCACTAAGCTTGCGATGCATACTTTACAAATGAATAGGTAATGAAATATGAATTGAAATTATTTCGACACGACCACGAACGTATTTCCTAAAATTCGGTTTTAATTAAATTTAGGATACAATGCAATTCTCATTTGACAATAGAAGTGCCAAAGATACATATTAGAAGTTGTTTCATACTTTGTATTTATAAGTTACTGAATACTATTAATAATATCGCTGTAATAAAACAAGAATATAACTCACCGCTCTAACTAACAAGCCCACATTAAATTGTCATTTTTATCACTTTATCTACATGAACATAGTTGTAAGAGGCCTTATCAGTTTTATTTAAAACACTTATAGCCAACATATACACAGCTTTGTTACCCTTTTCATTGCAAATCATTAGGAAAATTCCGCGTCGTTAAAGTTTCTTATGTGACGTCACGATATTTGGACTTTCTTTGGAATTTTATAACAGATTAATATTTTTTTTCTATGAAGAAGGTACTGTGTAGGTACTGTGTAGGTTTGATATTTTGTCCTTGTTGAAATATCTACATTGTCTGTATTCTTCGCTAGTAGTACACATTGAAATAAACCCCTTTAACAGTTTAAAACGAGAAATTAGGCAACTTATTTTATAATTTAATTTAATTACACCTTAACCTTTAAATAAAACCGTTAAAAGTGTTTTCTTTAAAGGTACCTATATTACTAGACTATATTCGAGTTTTAAATTATTACAATATTACATATCAATACAAAAGAAATAAGCAGAATATTACTTCTGTTTCTTTTCTATTTCTTTTCTCTGAAACGCTTCGCACAGAGCCTGTAGATTTCCCCAAAGACAGGAGCTTTCTTGCCATCTTGCCGCAAGTGAAAAATATAAAATACTAGCTGTGCCCGCGACGTCGTTCGCGTGTAATAGTCACTTGGGGTAGAATTTTTAATAATTTAGGCTGTTTATTAATTTATGTAAGGGCGCATTTAAGGCAGCCAATCTATGTTGTGCCACTTTGTCGCAACACTCTCATCTCACATCACTCCTACTCTAACTCCTACTCTCATTTCCACTCCCACTCCTACGCCCACGCCCACTCCCATTCCTATTCAAGCCAAAGAAGAAAGTTTCATTGTTCTAGCTTCAAAAACCACGAATTTCCATACAAACTTTCACCCCCCCTTTTAACCTCTTACAACCCCTTTTTCGCAATAAAAAAGTATGTAGTAGTAAAGTAAAGTATGTACTTTCTCAGGGTCTAAACCATCTGTGCACCAAATTTCATTTAAATCCATTCAGTAGTTTTGGCGCGAAAGAGTAACAGACAGACAGAGTTACTTTCGCATTTATAATATCAGTGAGGATTGAAATATAAATCTTTAGATGAGTAAAGAGATGGGCTGTAAGATTTTCGTTATTTATTTTTTTTGTATATCGCTATTAATTAATAAAAAAAGGTCCTAACTTGTGAACTTAGTCTGCAGAGTTCTATGTCTACAATAAGTTTCAAACTTGTAAAACTAACAATATAAGCTTGAATATATAATTAAACTGTATTGTAAGTATGTCAATTTGTTCTCGAGAACAATAACGATATCTTAATAAATAATACTCCGTGAAACTCTGACGAGAACCTTTCCAGTTGATTCAGGCTGCCCTTTGACATTAAACATCTTGTGAAAATAATATCTAAGATAAAGCAAATTAGCGAATGTTATTGTGAAAATTTAACCTTTCCAAGTAGACGAACGCAAATGTCATGAAGTTACAAACCTACGCTCGGTCTGGATCGCGTGGGCGCGTGTAATGTCCTTTGTAGAGCTGCAGATTGGTTCTGTCTGATTGCTATTTTGATAGAAAAAGTTGTCTGTAATGCTACGCTTAAATATACACATTAAAATAAAACACTTTTAACGGTTTCAAATACGAAATATATAAGTTAACTTTCAATTTAATTAAAAAGAGACGGGCCGTAGTCAATTTAAATTAAATACAAATTAACTAATATGTTTCGTGTTATAAACCGTTAAAAGTAAATTATTTAAAAGAGAAACGTATTTTTACATATTAATTGCGAAAATTACATATTATTGTCAAATTTTTGACATTCAAAAGCATGAATTGACATATCAATAAAATTATTATTTTTAATTACACATTTATTAATAAGAGCTGCGTCTACGCCGGTCTAGTGGTTAATCCTATCTTTATTCGGATTCAGATCGATTCTTGAAGGTGTAAAAAACAAACACGAATTTTGCCATGCTCTAAGAATATAAATTGGACTACGTTTCATTTATCAACATGCATTTTGCTGTAGATAACAAATTTAACATAACTTTGCAATAAAAAATCGTGTGCGGATTCAGTTTGAGTTTGGCTTCTTATGCCTATATTTAGCCTTTAAAAACTTTTTATGCTTGTTAATAGTATCTAGAAACCAAAGAGTTCCATATAAACAAACTGGAAAACCATTCGATTTGAGAGACTTTCAATTAAACGTACACGCGAATAAAAACGAACAAATGAATACGCAAATGTTCGCAGGCGAGACTCGGCATTTTGTTTTCGAAGCATTTCTTTGTTATTATTCTTTTGGTTCGTACGTTTCATTTCAAAGCCAAATAGGTCAGTTGTTCCGGGTGCTCACTTCGACCGATTATTGTTCTCTATACAACTAGTACTGCTGCTTACTTGAAAATTAATAGGGCACTAAAACTGTGACAGAATATTATATAAATCAAAACGCCTAAACGCATCGTGTTTCCGGGCACTGGCGAGCATAATGCTCTACAACTAATAACATCTACTATATATTGGATTGAATGTCTATTTTAAAGTTATTTAATATTTATGCATAAGTAAATAAGAAAAGTATATTTTTAAAAATACTTGGAAACTTAGAACCTAACAGCTTAAACTTAAAAAACACTTAATATAACAATAAACCCAAACAAAGTTTTCACTCATAAACTTTACTATTAAATTCTCTTGGAGTCTCGTCATAACTCAGAAAATAATTATTGCTAGGCATAGAAGTCTACGAACAGATAATACGTCAATACTATCTATTAGTGCGTGGGGTACTAAATTTTATCTGCAACACAGGAGATATGGATTTTTTAATGACACAGGAGAACAGACAAACATGGAGTTCACTCGATGGGAGGTGAATGACCCCAGCCATATAACATCTACACAAAATGCGCTCTCCACCTATTATTAGTCCACCGACTAAACTTTACGCCTTTTTCATCTGTGGCTTCTGTGGACGGTAGCTTGTGACACGGGCGGCATTTCAAATTTCCTGACACACATTAAAT